CGTCAACTGGGAAGGTCCTTATCGAATCACTCAGGTAGTTCGCAATGGAGTTTATCGCCTTGAAAACATGGAAGGAAAAGCAGTCCGAAGAGCTTGGAATTCCATTCATCTGAAGAGATTCTTTATTTAAGTATTATTTTCATTACTGTAAATCGAACTACGATAGACTTGATCCCCACCTTTGGGTACGTAGGCAGCTCGAACTTCGAGTGCAGTCTCTAAAATCAATAAAATATTTACATAGATTAAACAGTTCTATTAATCAAAGCCGATATCTATCTCGCAATTCGTAAACCGAGAATATTCTCGTAATTCGCTTTTCGCAAGCCGATATCCATTTCGCAACTATTTAAGATTTCTTTCAAATCCGAGCTCAGTGCTCGGATAGATGAATCTTTATCTCTCAAATCCGAGCTCAGTGCTCGGATAGACGAGTCCTTAAAAGTATTATTACTTTAAGGAATATCTGGTTCAACACAGTTCAATTCGGACTTCGGTGTCCAAATCTCGTATCATAATTCTTGAAAGCCGAAAATACTTCAAATGTATTTTTGTTTTCCTAAGACTATTTCCCTTTATGAACTCCGGGTTCATATAAAAAATTTCGAAAGCTTCGACATATGTTTGCAAAAAAGATTCTCGGAAAGAGCTTAAGTTTTTAAAAAAAAATCCAAAAGGTACGGGAAGCGAAAAGCAAAAGGTTCATATTAAAAACAAAAGGGGGGCAATTTTAGCCATCACAACCCCGCGAACAGATCATTGATCCTTGACGTCGAGATCCAGCTGCATCTCCTCGGGCAGAACGGCAGCCTCGAAGTCCTGACCAGCCATGAGATCCGTGTTAGTTCCGAACTCATCAATGGCGACATCATCTTCGGGAAGAGATGCCTTTTGTTCGGGTTCAGGGGGAGTCGCTACAAAGAGATGGGCAAACTCATTTGGTTGCGGTTTGAGAGCGCTTACCTCGCGAGCCTTCTTCTCAGCCTCTGCCTCATCTTTCTTTACCGACTCTAGTTCGGCTTTGATGTCCGGAATTTCTCCTTTCAGAATCTCTTCAAGAAGCTCTCGGTTCGCCCGAGTCTCGGCGAGACGCGTCCCAATCATCTCGTTATCGCTTATTGCCTTGAAGTAGGTCTCATGCTTCGAGGCAAGCCCGCTATAGAGTTCACGGAGCCTAATCCTTTCATCTTTTTTCGCTGCTGCGAGCTCCTCGTCCCGTTTCTCAGCAACAACCTTGCACCATTCCTCGCTTCGCTTAACTTCAGCTTCCAGCGAGGTAATCTTATCACATGCCTCGAGATACATGTTCTTTCCGGAATTCAGCTTCTCGGAAAGATCAGTCTTGGCAATCTCAAGAAGGTTGCAGCGAGCCTCGGCTTCCAGCATTCGCTCTCGGATTTCGTTCGCCTTTGCCACCGCCCTGGCATTTTCTTCTTCCATCTCCTTGAGTTGACGGATCTCGTCTTCAAGTTCGGTAACCCGAGTTCTAAGACCATCCAGCTCGTTAACAGGAAAGAGCTGGGACTCGTGGCAGGAGAAGGTGGTGTTGTACTCGAGCATTAGCTGACAAAACGAAGATTCATGAGGACATAAAGGAGATATATATATCTTTTATATAAGGAAAAAGTTTCAGAGTATTACCTCTCCGAGTTTATCAGCGAAGCGAAAGTAGTTCGCTCTGTTGACCTCCTTCAAGTCACTAAAGGGGGGAATTCTCATCCCAACAGGAGTAAAGTTCCTCATAAAATCAGCTGGTGATTTCGGAGGAGCTGTTAAAATAAAAAACAAGTCAAAACGAAGTCGGAGTTAGAGGAATACGAAGTGACTCAACTTACCAGTAGGGATCGGAATCTCCTGACGGACGGATTCCCGATTCTCAGAATCCCGCGAAGGCAGGATAAGCAGTTGAGTTGGTAGCTCGGATTCCGGGGCCCGTTGTGAATCTCTTTTTTCTTCTGGTTTTGACCCCAGACTGGGTCCAGCGTCCTCGGAAGGGTTCTTCTCGTCGTTCAGACGAGAACGACTCTTGCGTTGAAGAGGAGGAACTTCAGATTCCTCATTCCTGCGTTTCCTTGAGGAGGTTGCGGTGTGGCCTCCTTCCGAGTTTTCTTTTTCCCGAGAAGATCGGGAGGAGCGAGAATCCGAGATCCGGATCACGTCTTTTCCCGAAGACATCTTCTTTTGATCACGATGATCGGAGGTCTTCGATTCGGAAACCGGATCTGCGATACCCGAACTCTTCCCTTTACCAGATGAAGATCTGGCTTTCCCATCATCTAAGGCCTTCACCATCCTGGCCTTATCTTCTTTTTCTCTCGCTTCTCTTGCTCTTTCCCTTTCCTTCTGGAGTTTCTTCTCCTCGCGATAGGAAAGCGGAGACATGTTAGTAGCAACAGCAGGGGATGAGGGAGGGGTGGAGGAAATGAGGTCGGACCGCGAGTAAATTCGGGCACACGAATTTCGGATGCGTTCGCAGGTGAACAATTCCCACGCAAGGTCGCTGCGATTGCAAATCTTTACGAATTGCTCCGCAAAGGTATGAGAAAGTGGCTTCTTCGGGAACTTGACTGCAAAAGACAAAAGAAGTAAGGATTAGTTCGTTGAAAAGCAAAGTTAGGAAAAGAAAAACATGCAATACGATCCCTAAAAAGCCATCTAACCCGGACGATGTGTCCATTCTCGGACAAAAAATTCTGTGTTCGGACCATAGGAGAATTCGTCGACGGGGAAGAAGAAATATGATTTCCTCCATTTCTCGTCTTTCTCGGGGAAGTCCGCAAAGACCCTGAATTTACTTCGCGGACTGAGAAAGAAGGTCCCCGAGGTTCTCCCTTTCTTCATTGTGTACAACTGGAAGATGTCGGAGAGCGTGATTCGGTATCCATTTTCTTCAGCAAGAGTCTGAAGGCAGAGTACTACCCGAACTACATTTGGGCAGAGTTGAGGCAAGGCAATCCCTAGTTCGTGCATAAGTGCTACCAGAATTCCCGGAATAGGAAAAGACAGGCCGCACTCCGAGAAGAATATTTCGAAGGCGCAGCTATGATTGATAGGAGGAGACTCGGGAGATTCCTTCGATTCTGGAGCTATTAGCTTAACTTGACGTGGGATCCCGCAAGCGCCTTTCATCAAGGCTAGCCTTTTATCGTCGAGGTCCGAGGAGAAGTATTTCCCGAATTCACCTTCCATGATGAAGCATTCACTCTGAATTTTCTTGCTTTTCCTCGGAGCCATAACACAATCAAGGAAGAACTGGAAGTGTAAGAAGATCTGGGACTAATTTCAAAAAGAAACACTTCAAGAACAGCTTTGAAGATCTTCGTAGAAACCCAGAAATCGGGAAGATCAAACGGTCGATGTTCTTCAGAGGACGGTTGCGATTCACCGGAATATCAAGAACACGGCGGAGGAGATGAAGAACAGCGAACGATTTTGGAGCAGAGGGCTGAAAATCTGAGAAATCTTTTTAGATTTCTGGCCTAAATCTAGCACGGAACTAATCTAGGGCGGTGAACTAACACGAATCCGAAACTAAAAAGCAAAAACTAGGCGTAATCGGAAAGATGTTAGGAGAGAAAAGAAAAGGAGGTTCGGTACCTTAAATAAGCAGACGACGGGGTGTGAACGAACTTGAAGCGGTTGTACAGAACCCGAAGAGTCCAGACGAGTATTTGTAGAAGTCTCTAGCGGGAATATGGGAACCCTAGGATATCGAAGCGTCGCCCCCATCCCGAGGATAATCCCTCGATCCGCGGGAAAATTGATACCGTAAGATCTCGAAGCGTCATTTCGGTCGTGTAACCAAATCCCGGAAAAAGTGGAATTAATGACGGGATTTCTGAGCCCGAGTAGAGCTTGGCATTTAAAGTATCCCGAAGTATTCACTTCGGAACACTTGGGGGGCAAACTGTTGGTGTCGGATCCCGCAATTCGGATCCGGCCCAGAAAGACAGAAGATCGTGGGCCACTAGTTCGGTCCAGAACGGCCCAGTAGGCTCCGGCCCAGGTCGAATAAAACGTCAGGATCTCGACGTTTAATTGAAAGGCGGGTCACACGGAATCTGCGAGATCAAGGAGATTCGTAACGTAAGCAATAATGAAGGCGAAATTGGAGGCTTGATTGGCGACTTCGGTTTCGGATTATGTAACTATAAATAGGACACAAAAACCATTGTATGGGGGACGGAATTCTGGAGCAATATACAGATACATACATTTCACTCTTTTGTTTTCTTTCTCTCGATTGTTATTCGAATTATCAAGGCTAGACGACCCGGTACACATCTTAAAATTTGTATTGCGGATTCCGACATCCACAGTGCACTCGGAGCAAACACTTGGTGGAGTCACCCTCTGGCGATTTATTCATCATTGTCAAATATGCTTTACAAACCTCTAAGGGGAAACCCGTCTTCCCTGGGGAGACGCGAGACTTGGATCGTTCGGAGGTGAAAACCGGGACTAGGTGGTTCATGTTGTATATGCGTCATCCAACTACACGGGTGTGGAGTCTTATGTCCAAGACATTGGGGATCTCTGCATCTTCTTAGGAAGGAACGAGCCTTTCTGTGTCCGCGCAAGCATGTATCCCGGACTTAAGCCCAACTCCATCTACTTCTTTGAATTGAATCAGATTTATCTCTACAATTAATATTCCCGACCAAACTTTCTCAACACTCTCTTATGACGGTTTGATTTCTGATCTCTGGATTCAGCCCATCCTCCACGAGTAATTTTCAATAGATAATTTTCTATATGTTATGAATCTGCTGTTGTATGATTAGGACAATATGCACTGTGGGTTTCTTTCATGTTCTATCTAGTTCAAAACTTTAAAAAGTCTTGGTATTATTTTTGTAGTACAATGTTAATCGTATAAGTTAACCGAACCGAGAGATTAATTAAATACAGACAATCCATTATGCGTAAACTAAGTTATGATTAGCTGTTTTCTATGTCTTAGCATCTATAAAAAAACATCATCATCATTATCATCACCAATGCTCAATCCAACGAACACTAAAAATAATCAAAATTAAAAAGATGTCTGCCCTTCGGCTAAGAAACGCAAACACTCCGGCTCCGGAGCTCGACGAGTTTTCCGACCAGACACCGTTAGAATCACGGGTTCTCGAGAGACAGATGTCAATGTCTCAGCGAGCCATGTCAAACACCCTGACGTCAGCAGCCAATCTCTCAAACCTACTCCCAACGGGAACACTCCTCGCGTTTCAACTCCTAACGCCGGTTTTCACTTCAAACGGCGTTTGCGACCACGCAACGCGTTTCCTAACCGCCGTTCTCCTCTTCCTCTTAGCGGCGTCTTGCTTCGTCAGCTCCTTCACCGATAGCGTTAAAGCCGACGATGGAATTATCTACTTCGGTTTCGTCACGTTCAAAGGCATGTGGGTCGTTGACTATCCTGACCCGTCCGGATTGGGTTTACCCGATTTAGCCAAATATCGGATGCGGGTCGTTGATTGGATCCACGCTACGTTGTCGGTTTTAGTGTTTGGAGCGGTTGCGTTGAGAGATAAGTATATAACTGATTGCTTTTGTCCGTCGCCGGAGGCAGAGACGAAACATGTCTTGGACATTGTTCCGGTGGGTGTTGGAGTTATGTGTAGCCTTTTGTTTATGGTTTTTCCGGCGAGGCGTCACGGGATTGGATATCTTGTTACCGGTAGCGTTGATCGCCGGTGATTTACATTTAAACCAACAAGAAACGGTAGCGTTTTCTTGGTGGGTTGACTATTTTCGTTTGTTTTCTTTGTTTGTAAAGTTGTATAATTATACGTTATGACTATTATTCTTTTAATAAATTTTAATGTTGTGTTAAATACGTCTTCAACTAGATTATTTTCCTAATTCAAATAGACTTTATTTATTTGAATTCTAAAATCATTGCATGGACTTCTTGATGTATTTCACTGGAGAGTTCTATTCAAGCTCTGTTCACAAGCCGATGTGGCTAAAACGTTTGCTTTGTAAAGAATCTATTATCTGAATAAATTAATGTTTGTTGTAAAAAAAAAAAAAAACACATGGATGTATGTACGGTTGACATGTTACTTGGAAACGTTGACTTGATTTTGAATATATAATACCATATCGTAATTAGCCAAACATACTAGTATATAATTACATCCCTTGTTTAAAAAATCGCTAGGCGCTAGTCGGGCGGTGAGGGTGGGCCTAGCGCCTAGCAAGAAAATCGGAGATTAAACGGGGATTAATCGGGGACTAGTTTTAAGGCTATTTAATATTTTAAAAACATATTAATCTATTATAAATAAGAAATTTATATAATTTTGTTTTTAAAATTGCATTAAACACATGAAAACAAGAATTTAAGGTCAAACTTATGATTTTTATACATATTATGAACATAAGTGGGACGTTTTAAATTTTAGATTCAAAAAAAGAAAAAAAAATGTAAAAAAAAAAAAAAAAAATTGAGCTAGGCGCCGTCTAGGCGGGCTAGGCGGACGCCTAGGCGGTCTAGGCGGACAAAAATCGGATCACCGATTTTTTTTACCGATTTGGACAAAATCGCCGCGGTCCCCACCCGATCAGCGCCTAGGCGGCCGCCTAGGCGGCTAGGCGGCCGATTTTTAGAACAGGGATTACATCTGAACAAAAGGGGCTTTGTTGAGAAAATTTAGATTCTACTACTATTTTAATCTCGTTAAATCTCTATTTTTTAACATATCTAGTAAAAAATCGTTCCATGAATCAATTGGACCTGGAAGACACCAATGTACACAGTCATTATATAATACAACTTTCTCTTCCGGTCTATGTCCAAATCTGCTCGGATGTCCATCTGGTCTTAACAACATCACTTGTGTTACATCTAGTAATCTCAAATTCAATCCATTATTTTTGTTTTTGTCCCTTTTCGCAATGCGAAATTCATCTAGTTGGATGCTGTGTGTCTCTAGATTCATACCTTCTAACTCTGTCTCATTGCTCCTAAACACAAAAAGAAACCCAAATAGATGTTCTCTGTTAGGAGGTGACGAATGATTGAACCGTATAAAATCGAACTAAACCACAAAAGTCCTAATGCTTATTCTAGAAGAAACTATAATGTCGGATGAACAATATACCTATAGGGTCGCGTTTTCAAGCAATTTCCACCTTTATCCCATTCTCCATCTTCAAAATGTGAAGGTGCAAATGTCCTTAGAAACACTTCTCCTTTAAAATTCTCTAATCCAAGAATGGTCTTAAATGTTGTTCTCAATGCTCTTCTATACGCGAAATGTGCCCCGACATTTCTGACTCCAGGAATGTAGCAATACAAGCATCCTATCCTCTTTTGTTTGTCGAAAAGGAAGAGTGGTCGGAAAAACCATTGTCCAGAGGAGATGATGATGTAATCGAACTCAACGATTTGGGAAGCCCAAGTTGGGTCAGGTTCGTCGAGGTAGAGATTGTAAAATGAATTAGGACCTGCCGGACCGGTTTCGGTTTCTTCAGCGCGAACCAAATGGGTTGTCCAAAATGTGGCAATCGTGAAGTTGTACGTTTTGTATTTCCATCTTTGGAAATTAAAGTCCTGTTGTGAGTCATCCTCAGGATGTTCCACCTGAAATTAACATTTAAACTAAGGTTACTTTTGCATTAAGTTATTTAATAAGAAAATAAAGCATGAGAGAATTGGTACCCGAGAGAGTAGGCAGATCAAAGACTGAACGTGGTTTCTGCTAACGGAGTCACCAACAAACGCCATTCTTTTTCCTCTAACTATCTCCAGAAACTTGTAAGGATCAAACAGTGGGAGATCACATTCTTTAGGTTTCCATCTCCATTTCATGAAACCTAAATCAGGTCTTCCAAACTTCATGCAGTTTTGGTGTTCGTGTATCGCCTTGCATGTCGTGTTTGTGTAGTACGGGGCTTCAGGGTTTGGGATCCACTCGCCGAAGAATATATCGCAGTTCCGTTTTCTCTTTTTCCGGCGATGCTCTTTCTTAGGATGATCAACATTCAATGATGAAATGGATAGATGATCATTGTTATGCAAAGATAATGACTTGGGATCGTGATATGTGTCGTCATATTCATTATCATACAACGATGGTTCTGAATCTTCTGATGATGATGTCTTATAATAATCGGATGATGATGAACTAGATGAATGATTATACCTAGATGAAAGCGGCGATGGAGAAGATATTGCCGATGATATTGCCGACGATGATGAATTCGATAAATGTTTGTATGTTGATGTTGAATAATAGAGAGGATAACCAAAAAAGAGATAGAGGATTGGAGCTATCGTAAGTAGAATAAGAGGAAATATCACTAGTCCTATTCGTAACTTTGTCGCAGGAAGTTCCATCTCGTTATTCCGAGAAAGTATCATTTTAAAAAGAAAAAAAAATAGTTTTGGGATTTCTGTTTTATTTTCAATGGATGAGAGAGATGTTTGGAAGAATTTCGATTATTGGATTAGCATCAAACAAGGTTAGCAATTGATTGGGACATTGCTAAAAAAAAAAACGAATGAGTCGTTTGGTGTGAGGAAGACGTTTGATATATATATAGTGAAATAGAATGTTACGGTTTTGGCTATAAAATATTGGATAGGTTAACTATCATATCTTTCTGATTGATATACACGATTTTAAGGCAAATAAGGATATTGTGTAGTAGTTTGTAGTTAGGATTATACTAGATTATATATTTTAGAAATTTTGTTTAGCATTTATTCGAGATTTTAGATATTATATTTCAAAGTGTATGCCTTTAATTAGATGCCAAATATGTCGAATGGCTTAGGATTACTTCTCGTTTTTTTTTTTTTTCTCAAGGTTCTATTATTAAAAAGAACCAGTAGTCCAGTACCCATACTACACACCATAAGAAACTATAAAAGGTTTACATGAAATAGTTAAGCCCACTAAAAGGCCCAAGCCGTTGCTCCTCGTGAGAAAGTATTTTGAAGCATATCTCCAACACGTGTCGACGCCTGAAACAGAAAAAGACATGATTGCCAGAGAAGAGATAAGCTCTTCCACCACCTCTGCCGCCTGAAACTTCCGGTGAATGAAATCTTCGTCGGAATTGTAGATTTGGTGAGTTTCTTTTGAATTGTAGATTTGCGTTTTCTCTATTTTTCTCTGTAGATCTGTTCCGTCGTTGAGGATAATGTTTTTTAATCGGTGAATTTTGGGTTTGAGGGTTTCGTTTGATATCTGGAGAAAGGGGTTTCTGGAAACAAGGAGTTCATAATTCGCGATCGATCTTCATTTATATGTAAGTAATCTCTCACGATTGACGTCGTTCTTCGATTGACTCATCATTCAAGATCTAGAATTGCAAATTGAATGGTTGTTATGGTTTATAGATCCAGCAAAATAACCGTTACCCTGAAACCTTGTCGGCTCATACGTGGTGATTTCTACGATCACATGCAATTTTGGCCCGAGTTTTCTCGAATGCAAATATTTGCATCAAACCTTATAGGATGCATCCTCCACTTACACCACATAGACATCCAATGTGTCTTGAGGTGAGAGTTTACTGAATTTTGTAGTTTCAATCCTCTGTGAAAGCGTCATTGATAATAAAATGAATCCTATAACAATGTATTAGAGCTGCATGCAAATGAGATGAGAGATTTTGTAAATATATACAATGTACAGTATGTGATAACTCCTATGTTTGTTAATCTCTAGGTTTAGTAAGTCTTTGTAAACAAGCTACATAATTGCATTTGGAAAGAGCAAACCTTTCAAAAGATTTCAATTTGATCTATTCTCTTGTTCTTACTAATTCTTTCTGTTTGTCATATGTTTGCTAGATAATTGAGGAATTTCAAAAGTGTCATATAGATCATCCGATTGGGAAATTCTTCGGAGAATGTACAGAGCTGAAAGTAAAGCTTGATCGATGTTTCCGCCAAGAGGTAAATTACTAATAGCCAACAAGTTTTCCTTTCGTTGGGGTGGAGTAAATTGTCTTAGAGACGATATGATATCTTTACAATATCTTTGCAGAAAGCTGTGAAGCGGAAAGTGAATTTTGAACAAAGCAAGAAACTTCAAGAAAGACTGAAAGCTGTAAGGAAAGAAGAAGCCGCAGAGACTTGATCATCCTTGGATACTAATCCTATAAAGAACATATGTCTATTTCAAATAACACATTTTTAAATCGATCCAGAAAGAAGAGTAAATGAGTGAAAAACATAGTATTACACTTTATTGAAATAGAGAGAGAAGGCTTTTTCCTTTTTACCAATATATCACGGATTACTTAGTATAAGAAGATTGTTTTAAAAGAGCAATTAGGTTATTAATATATTTTAGAGATTTGTCAAATTGGAAGGTACTACGAACCAAAAAGCAATTGACTTTGCAATGTAAACACAAAAAAACGTACATTTCCAAAAATTTCAGACACAAAAACTTGGTATCAATGGATTTGCTCTCTAACAGGTTTGTCTTGGTTTGGTTTAGCTGAGAGTTTGATAACCTAACGGTCCTTGTAAACCGTCTTGATCTGGTCCGTTTCTTCTAGCCAAAGATGGCATCCATGGGAACATCTTGCTGAGCTCATTTCCTAATGTCCTTGGCCTCACTTCCTTATCATTGATCCCGAACTTCGCTCTCTCTATAGCTTCCATTATATCTTCCCGTGCCACCGCTTCTCCGCCTGAAAACAATCAAGAAATCGCTAATGTCTGTTAAGCCAAAAACCGCAGCTTCATCCCAAAAGATCAAACCCGGGAAGCAACCAGATCGAATAACTACTTAACTCAAGAAAGGGCTGCTAAAAGGTCACTTAAAGACTGACCTCTACGAGCAGCGAGCAATGCAGCTTCATTGACAATATTGGCCAGATCAGCACCTACAAATCCGGGAGTTAAAGAAGCAACCAGATCACATATGAGAAATGCATCTTCTTCTAGAGGAACGTCTCTCAGATGTACGGCCAAGATTTTCCGACGGCCTTCTTGGTCTGGTTCTGCAACCACAACTTTTCTAGAGAACCTTCCAGGCCGACAAAGAGCCGAGTCTAACGCTTCTGGTCGATTAGTTGCAGCAATTACGATGACTTTCGTGTCTGACTCGAATCCATCCATCTCAGTAAGCAACTACAAAGGAAGCATATCAGCAATGGCATCTGCATGGTTAAAAGGGTTCTAAATGTTGATTCTTTACCTGGTTTAACGTCTGGTCACGTTCATCGTTGAAACTCCTACCGCGTTTTCCTCCAACCGCATCAAGCTCATCAATGAATATAATGGAAGGTGAGTTTTTCCTGGCTGCATTGAAAAGATCTCTGATTCGCGCTGCGCCTCTTCCAACAAACAATTCAACGAACTCACTAGCGGAGACAGAGAAAAATGGAACTCCCGCTTCTCCAGCTACAGCCCGAGCCAACAAGGTTTTACCGGTCCCTGGTGGACCGACCAAAAGCACACCTCTCGGTAATCTTGCTCCTAGTTTTTTGTAGTTTATACTTCCTTGAAGACATGAGACTATCTACAAAGAAAAACAGAACACATGGAGGTTGGACTTCAAACTTAATTCTATAAACGTTGCATTTACGTATCGTTTTACCTCCACGAGCTCGTCTTTAGCAGAATCAACACCCTCAACATCATCGAAGCCAACAGTGGGATTTTTAGACCGTCGTTTCTTCGCAGGGCTGTTAGATGCTGAGAGTTGCCGATAAAGAAGCCACATAAGAGGTGTCAAAGGAATCCACAGAGAGATGATTGTTATCAAAGTAGTTCTCATTGACATCAATGCAGATTGAGGAGCTGAACTATAAGTAATGCCTTTCTCTCTCATTAAGCTAAGAAGAAACTTCTCATCATGATCGACTTTTCTTGTCACATACTTCCACACAGGAGTCAAAGCTCGAACCTTTCGCAGAGTATCGTCTTTCGTAACAGCTTCTGTCACTGTGCCGCCATCAATTTGGATTGCCGGATCTTCTAAAGTTTCAGACTTGTGAACATCATCAACAACCTCAACATTCTCATCAGTGTTGTAATAGATTCGACGAGAGCCTTCTTCGAGCAAAACCTTGGAAACAGAACCACCTCGAAGATTCGTTACGAAATCTGAGTAAGGAACAATGGATGGAGACGGAACAGCAGTTAACCTCAAGAACAAATAACACAATCCAAAGATTAAAGCCACACCAGTGGATAAGATCACTCTTTTGATATTCTTTTTCAAAAAGAATCGAAAATCTTCCATTGATGCTCTAAAATCGAATCTCCTAAGCCCCATGCTCACTAATCGTAATCGAGGTCGAAGCCTAAGAGAAAACCTTCTTCTCTTCCCTTTGTTTGTACCATTTTCACCAATACGAGTCTCTTTATCTCCGTAATCACCACTCACAAGTCGCTTAATCTCGCTATTACAAACAAACCCATCTCGACAATTGCCAAGAACTCTAACCCCTAATCTGGTTCCACCAAGTCTCCTGCAACTAAACGATTGATTCCTGGTTCTAGCTACACAAACATTAAGCTCACTACTCCTGGAAGACAACTTTCTAATAGATTTCTCCGGAGAATAACCACCTTTGAATAGAAATCGATTGCTACAAAGAACATTGAAAGTAGCCATGGATTCTCTATCCCGGAATCCGAATCATGCGTTGATCATTCTTGTGCAAAAACGAAAAAAAAATCGAAATCCTAAGAAAACACACCAAGCGCAAGAGTAGACGAACGTGTCATGCTCGTGAAGAAGATTGGAACTGGAGATGGAATTTGAAAAGCTTTCGTCTTCAAGCTGATGACTCTGATAAATTGAAAGGATAAGAGTTCGCAAAAATTCTTTTTTGGTTGACAAAAAAAGAAACACAGGACAGATGATTATTTGTTGATCTTATTGATAAAAAGTTAAAAACTGTCTGAAGAACATTATAAATCGAGTCATGGGCTTTTGCTATTTGGGTTGTATTTCATTTGGGCCTGTTTATAAAAGAATTAATGAATTTCTTGAACAATATATAAGCCAATTAAATTGTTCTGTTCCTAAAACTTTACGAATCAAAAATCTTAATCGTCGTGAATCGTGATTAAGCCTCTACCCAATTTGGAAAATAGAATCTTTTAGTTGTCACCCAAACTTAGCAAGTTGGCATAACCATATTTAATCAAATATTATTCTCGACGGCGTCGTTTCGTGTTGGCTTCACTTGAAGTACTTTTTCCTGTCTTGGCTCACATTTTCTCCGGAAGGAAAATAAAAAAAAAATCAATTTCTTCAGGCGGATGAAAAATTCAAAGATTTGGTACAATTGAGTCACCATCATAATACGCGTATGAGCTCCCAGATGTGATCTCCAACGTTTTGGTTATCTTCTTCAATTTCATCTCCAAAAATTCATCGAATTCCGACTATTCTTATCTCGAAAAAAAACCCAGAAAGTGATTATTTTTAACTCCTTTGGTCCGTCTTATTTCGTCGGAAACATCGAGAATTTGGTTACGAATCTTTTGATCTGACTAAACGTAGGTCAGTCTTAATTTTCCCGGGTTTTTTAAACTGTTTCTCTGAAGTTTGTGGGTCGTCTAGAACTGATGATCACGTTTCTGCTGATTATGATTGAGTATTATCATCTTTTGCTGGTTACAGTTTTTGGACAATCAAAGTTACTAGATTTAGGATTTTACTTTGAGAATCTGTTAATATTAGTGGCGATGTTATTGATTTTCTCTTTTGGGGATATTGGTCTATGGTTGTGTCATTAGGCAGCTTTGATCACAATCTTGTGAAGAAGGAGACTGAAACCAATACCAATGCAAGGAGTCTCTTCAAGTTAATAGAGAATGAGTAGAAGGAGGACGGAAAATGACAGTGAACCAGGACCAGTCACTTCTCATGTTCAGGTGGATAGGTTCGGGTTTCTCAAGCAAGAACATGGCAATTCACCTGAGCGTTTTAGCAAGCCTAGAACTACATCATCCACTGACCATGACAGGTATGTCCTGAGGAAATATTGAATTCGAGTTATTTCTGAGAGAGTATGGTAAGAGTGTGTGTGTGTGTTTTTGTTGTTGGCTATAGAGAGGAGAGAAAGGTGAGAAAATGGAGGAAGATGATTGGGGTTGGAGGTAGTGATTGGAAGCACTATGTTAGGAGAAAACCTAATGTTGTCAGAAGGCGTATACGAAAAGGGATCCCGGATTGCTTAAGAGGTCTTGTTTGGCAGTTAATCTCAGGAAGTCGGGACCTTTTGCTTATGAATCCTGGTGTTTATGAGGTAATTTCGCCCTGTATATCGTTATATTGTTTGTTCTATGAGTCATTTTCTGATCATCTATCGATTTTCCTATGCAGCAATTGGTGATTTATGAAACATCGGCATCAGAGCTTGATATCATTCGAGACATATCCCGTACTTTCCCATCACACGTTTTCTTTCAGAAGAGACATGGACCAGGCCAAAGATCTTTATACAATGTCCTTAAGGCGTACTCAGTTTATGACAGAGATGTTGGATATGTTCAGGTCTATCCTCTAGATATTTCCCTTGTTTCTTATTTTTCTTTTAGTATGGTACTAAGATTCATGATTCTTATATCTGCAGGGGATGGGGTTTATAGCTGGTTTGTTGCTTCTGTATATGAGCGAAGAAGATGCGTTCTGGTTATTAGTTGCATTACTAAAAGGAGCTGTTCATGCTCCAATGGAAGGATTGTATCACGTAAGTCTTTTAATCATTGGAAGATTGCTAGAAAATGTTGTATAGTTGAGAAACAAAACATTATTTTCTGCATGAGTTAGAGCTTGTAACCACGTTTTAAAAATTTCTTTGTCGATTATGTTAATAACGATTCTGGTGAGAGTTTTTCATCATTGATCATGAATGAACTATCCAATATAAAAGGCTATTGTATCGTTCGTTCCTTGATTGAAAAAATTAATGTCTTTGATGCAAAAATATACATTTCATCTATTCTGAAGAGTCAGTGGTTTGTGTGTGATGTAGGCAGGGCTTCCTCTTGTACAGCAATACCTGTTTCAGTTAGAAAGCTTGGTAAAAGAGCTAATTCCGAAGCTCGGAGAACATTTTACTCAAGAAATGATTACTCCAAGTATGTATGCAAGTCAATGGTTCATCACCGTCTTCTCTTATTCATTTCCTTTCCCTTTGGCTCTACGGATATGGGATGTGTTTCTCTCTGAGGTAACTAAATTTGCATCTTTAAAATCTCTTTCGACGATATATTGTGTAATCAAAGTCTCATTCTATTCTCTGGTCATTGTTTCTTAAGGGTGTTAAAATCGTGTTCAAAGTGAGCTTAGCAGTGCTGAAGTATTGCCAAGATGAGTTGGTGAGTGAGTTTCCTTTATGAGCTGTAAGTTAATGTCGCAAAACCGAGCTTTTAAAAAAATGTACCATATTAACTCTGCAGGTAAAATTACCGTTTGAGAAACTAATACATGCTCTGAAAACTTTCCCAGAAGACGCAATGAATCCGGATACCTTGCTTCCATTGGCTTACCCTATCAAGGTTCTCTTTCTTTTCGAAAAGTTAATGTTCTAGTTAAATTTCTATGATAACTCGGGAGAGATATGAAAGAATCAGATTCACGATATCGACATGATTAACTTCTAGTGAACAATTAAGGGCATCGATGTTGTTAAATCTGCTGGTATACTTGAAAAACTCTCTGAGCATTCTTGAGATAGTCAACAATTGTGGCATTAATGTGTTTTTTTGTTCATTGCAGGTATCAAAGCGTTTGGAAGAACTGAAACTAGAGTATGAGAAGAATAATGCCAAACCGGTTCAACCGTAGGAATGGAAAACTGGTTGGCAATAACCAGAACCAGAACCAGAAGCAGAAGTTGGATTCGAATTCGTTTGTCATCCTTATCTTTTCTTGTTGGAATATATTCTTTTTTCATCATATTTGTCAAGTTGGGTGGGAATTTCTTATCAGAAGCTCTCTCATTCTTTTTAGCAATTTCGTGGAAATGAAAGCATGCTTCAGCTACCAGCTAATGTATGTATAGACCTGTGTTCCTAGAAAAATCTCATTAATGTGAAAAGTATTATCATTTTTTTTAATAATCTCATTAAGGTTCATGGTACGAAACTAGTTCGAAATCTCAGACTTTTAAATATGATTTTATGGTTGAACAAAAAAGATTTGAATAATTAATTACACAGTGCTCAATATTAATTGGGTTTACTACTTTACTTTGACATATTTTTAATTTGTTGATTTTTGACTAATGGGGGACATGAGTCATGAGTGAGTCACGGGGAGGCCCAATTTTGTCATTTAGTGGAGCAGTTGAGAGCCTTTGAGAAATAGAATTTGATTCTTTTAGGCCCACCGCGGCTACGCTACGTGACAGCTCGCCTCGAGTTATCCGCTTCAACGGCACACGTATCTTCTTAACACGTGTCATTATATGGTTGGTTAATATAGCGTGTTGGCCCATCTCTGTTTATATTTTGTTGTTCCGTAGAAGATAATGTCAAAAATATATAAAAAGAAACAAATCTCTAAAATTAAAATAATTCTACTTGCGGCGAAAGGAAAAGGCAAATAAATTGTTAATTGTTGGCTATTTATCTGCGGTCAGGAATGGAGATGCTCGCACCTACCGATTCCAACGTAAATAAAGGGGTTTAAGGGTAATTTTGGTAAAAACCTCGGAACGGCAAATTGGAAAAAATCAACGGCTCAGATAGCTTCACGCGATAAAACGCAAAAGGTGTAAGGTTAAATACGTAATTGTCAAAAAGCATAACCCTAGTACTTATATAAAGGCACTCTTTCTGACCTTTCTTTTCCTCCTCACGAACGCATCTCATTGCTTCATCATTACCAAATCATCAACATAATCGTTTCTCTCAAATTTAGGGTTTTCTCTTTTCTCGAAAGTCTTGCGGTTTTCTGAATCATCTCTATCTGGTGAGTTTCTTTTGAATTGTAGATTTGCGTTTTCTCTATTTTTCTCTGTAGATCTGTTCCGTCGTTGAGGATAATGTTTTTTAATCGGTGAATTTTGGGTTTTTTCAGGTTTGAGGGTTTCGTTTGATATCTGGAGAAAGGGGTTTCTGGAAACAAGGAGTTCATAGTTCGCGATCTAGATCTATCGATCTTCATTTATATGTAAGTATCTTTCACGATTGACTCATCAGCCTAGGTTAAATAGACATCGTCCTAGGTCTTGGTATGAGAGATTGCTATTCGCATGCATGTTTTGATTGACTTATACCTGAAACGAACGACTTAGGTTTCGATTTATGTTTTGTTACTTGTATGAATACAAGTTGTCTTACGCTTTATTCATAGTTATGGATCTGCTCTAATAATTGGTTTTCTACTCATCGAGATCTATAACTGAAAATTGAATGGTTCTTATGGTTTATAGATTCGTAATGGTCATTGTTGTGTGATATTTGAATACCTGGTATGCTTATTTGTCATCTAAACATGTTCCTTTTGGATTTGTTTTGTCTATTACAGAAAAGCGTGAATGAGATTATGATGGAGTCGAAAGGTGGTAAAAAGAAGTCCAGCAGTAGTAGTTCCTTATGTTACGAAGCTCCCCTCGGTTACAGCATTGAAGACGTTCGTCCAAACGGTGGAATCAAGAAATTCAAATCTTCTGTCTACTCTAACGTTAGTTTCCTCTATAATCCTTTATCTGATTTTCTTCAATATCTCCATTATTTAGTCTCTTAACAATGTTTTTACTTTTGTTGCAGTGCTCCAAGAGGCCATCCTGAGTACCAGCGTGCACCGATCTTCTTAATATAGTTATAGCTTTCTTTATTTTCCAGTTTATAATTTTCTTCTTTCAAAGCTCCCTTTCTGCTGGTTCCCGGATCCAATCGTTCTCTCCTCCTACTACAAGTCCTGTCGCTCACACAACAAGGCGAGATGGCCTTATCTGCAATCGGTTTCGAAGGTTACGAGAAACGGCTCGAGGTTACTTTCTTTGAGCCAAGCATCTTTCAAGACTCCAAGGGACTGGGACTCCGTGCTCTTACCAAGTCCCAGCTTGATGAAATTCTTACACCTGCTGCATGCACGATCGTTTCTTCTCTCTCCAACGATCAATTGGACTCTTACGTACTCTCTGAGTCCAGCTTCTTTGTCTACCCCTACAAAGTCATCATCAAGACTTGCGGTACCACAAAGCTCCTCCTCTCTATCCCACCACTTCTAAAGCTGGCTGGTGAGCTCTCCTTGAGTGTCAAGTCTGTGAAGTACACTCGTGGCTCCTTCCTCTGCCCCGGAGGCCAGCCTTTTCCTCACCGCAGCTTCTCTGAAGAAGTCTCTGTTCTTGATGGGCACTTTACTCAGCTGGGCTTGAACAGCGTAGCCTATTTGATGGGCAATGATGATGAGACTAAGAAATGGCATGTCTATGCTGCCTCTGTCCAGGACTCCAGCAACTGCAACAACAATGTCTACACTCTCGAGATGTGCATGACTGGCCTGGACAGAGAGAAGGCTTCCGTCTTCTACAAGAACGAAGCTGACAAGACTGGGTCAATGACTGACAACTCTGGAATCCGAAAGATCCTTCCCCAGTCCCAGATCTGCGACTTTGAATTTGAGCCCTGTGGCTACTCTATGAACTCAATTGAAGGGGATGCAATCTCCACGATCCATGTGACCCCTGAAGATGGGTTTAGCTACGCTAGCTTTGAAGCTGTGGGTTACGACTTCAACACTATTGACCTGAGCCAGCTAGTGACAAGGGTACTCTCTTGCTTCGAGCCCAAGCAATTCTCTGTAGCTGTGCACTCGAGCGTTGGAGCGAACGCATACAAGCCAGAGATCACTGTAGACTTGGAAGACTATGGGTGCAGAGAGAGGACATATGAGTCTCTAGGAGAAGAGAGTGGAACAGTGATGTATCAGACGTTTGAGAAGCTTGGTAAGTACTGTGGATCGCCTAGATCTACCTTGAAGTGTGAATGGAGCAGCAACAATAGCTGCAGCAGCGAGGACGAGAAGGACGAGGGAATCTAGCAGAATTTTCTTCCTAATAACTATTTTCGAGCTTTCTGTTTTTGCTCTTTCTTTTTAAAAAACTATGTTGTTATGAATAATGACTTGTGAAGTTTGAGTTCGTCTCCTTCACAAGCAAGTGTATTGGTGTTTTTCTACTTTATGAATATCGGTTTTATGATACCGAAAGACTTATGTTGAAATATTGCTACAATGATTTTTACTATCTCTGTTTAATTGTTTTTTAAAACGATTCGTAAGAATAAACGTGATTGCCATTATGTAGCAAATGTGCAATAATGTTTCTAAACGTTACAAATTTTGGTTGTCAACAAAATACAGAACCACTTGCATGACTAATTAAGTTTTTTAGAGATGATTATCTAAATTGTATTTGTACGAACTAAAATGTAGTTTAATTTTAACAGAAGAATGATGACTCCTATAGTCCTATGAATACTTGACTAGTGGCAAAAAGAAAACCTTCAAAACCGTAATTTCTTGTTTTCATTCTTAGAAACTGAATCTGTCATTGCATATATGTGACATATGAAGAAAAAAAAACGTTGCGTAAGGAAAGAAAGAGAACATTTTCTTTCACTCAAAATCCTATTATCGTGCAACAGAGGAGTCATTCGTTCCTCCTTAACTCAAAATCTAATACAAGCCTAAGTCAAATAAAACCATGTCGTTTTGGGATCAGAAATCGAGAGAACCACGTACGTAGAAGCCTTTATGTCCTGGTCAAACGGTTAACCAACACGTGGATGCTAAAACTAGCCACCGAGTGAGGCAAGTTTCTCGAACCGATGCACGTGTCCTCGACACGTGGAGACTCCCAAGCACGTCTCTGGGTTATAAATAGCAACCCAAAACTCCACTATTTTTCTCATCATCAAACATAACAATCAATCAAAAAGCATCAATTCAAAGTATACGCAAAACCGAGAGAAAATGGATAACAAGCAAAACATGAGCTACCAAGCCGGTCAAGCCACTGGCCAGACTAAGGTCTCTAACCTTCCTTATACTAAATTTTGTTCCGAAAAGTAATTATGATCTTATGTTACACATTTCGCATCAATTTGTTGATATGTTTGCAATAGATCTCTACATTTCTAAATTCAAATTGTTTTCCCGCAAATACTTAGGGATTATTATAGGGTGTTCTTTTTAGACAATGTTGAACTATATATTAATGTTAAAAATATGTGAATATACAGGAGAAGGCAGGTGGAATGATGGACAAGGCCAAGGATGCTGCTGCTTCAGCTCAAGACTCCTTGCAACAGGTTCAATTATGATGCTATCACTGTAATTGATTTTGTCCCCTTTGTAGTAGAAAGCATAATATTGAAGTTTAAATCCAAAATTATGCAATGTAGACGGGACAACAAATGAAGGAGAAGGCACAAGGAGCTGCTGATGTCGTCAAGGACAAGACTGGCATGAACAAAAACCACTAAGCAAGCACCTTGGACTTCTATTCTAATTAATTCCCCTTTTCGACTTGTGTTTAATAAATTGGGGGTTTTAATTCTCATTCCTGCTACTTTCTGATGTTGTTTCCTTGCGTCCTTTTGGATGTTTATGTAATCTTACCTATCTAGTTAATAAAAAGTATGCTTTTTAATCTCAAAATCATGAATGCAAAGAAATCAAGAGAGATGGTTCAGTGTTCAAGTATAAAGTAACACTTCAAAGAACATTAAATCAATCAAACAATGTATATCTTGAAAAGGATGAGTGTTAGTTTGGAAATTTTATCCAAAATGAAGATAATTTGGAACATTAGGTGAAGTTTTGTTCCTCAAAGAACCTTCAAAGTTTTTTTTATATTAAAATCATTGGAAATTTAATGAGAAAACATGATTGGATCATTCCATAACAAAATATTTTCAAGAGTAGAAGATATGCTAAGAATCAGTGAACACAAGAAGACATAATCGTAAATCTGTGGAGGATAGATTATCACTGCAAATAAAAAAAGTTGTGGCTAAAAATGAAAACTTCAAAAAGTTTAAGGACCATATATTGGAAACGAGTCCAATCGACCCTTCCGTCTTGCTCAGAGGTTTAGTCTAAAGCCCTAACATTTCAGCTCTCTTTCGCCATTGCTGCTCCATCATTCCATTCGTAAAAATCCAAACTTTTTGTTCAAATCGAGCCAAAAGACTAGTGTTTTTGTATCTTAGATTGAAAGAGAGCATGAGGTACCAATGGAGGTTGCTACTTTTTCGGAGCTACCGTTCGTCTCCTCGTTCATTTCTTTCTCATCACTCCCAGTTCCAGGTAATCTCCAATACGACTCGATCTTTCTCGTCTTTCCTCCATGAACGTTTTGGAGTTGGAGCTTTGCAACAAAGACAGTGTCTTTTTGCCTTGCGATCGCCATTGGCTAGCTCTGTTAGCCGAAGCTTTTCGTCTGAGTCTGCGATTGAAGAGAAACCTCCTGTTGAGGCTGTTGTGATTGATGTTTTTAGTAGATTGACTGGTAAGGATGAGATTAGGAGAGAGCTGGATTCGAATAATATTGTGATTAGCCATGAATTAGCATTGAGAGTTCTGAGAGAACTTGAATCAAGCCCTGATGTTGCGGGAAGGTTTTTTCAGTGGGTTCTGGAGGCTTATCCTCGGAAACTATCCTCCAAGAGTTATAACACGATGCTGCGTATTTTTGGTGTTAATGGACTTGTTGATGAATTTTGGGAATTGGTTGATGCTATGAAGAAGAAAGGGCATGGTGTTTCAGCTAATGTTAGGGACAGAGTCGGTGAGAAATTTCAGAAAGATGGACTGGAAAGTGATTTGGAGAAGCTTAAAGAGATTTTTGCTTCAGGTTCTATGGATAATTCGGTGGATAAGGTTTGCAATAGGGTGTGTAAGATTGTGATGAAGGAAGTGTGGAGTGCTGATGTGGAGAAACAGCTAAGGGATTTGAAGCTCGAGTTTAAAAGTGATCTGGTGAAGATGGTATTGGAAAAACTTGACGTGGATCCGAGGAAAGCTTTATTGTTCTTTAGGTGGATTGATGAGTCTGGCAGCTTTAAGCATGATGAGAAGACGTATAATGCTATGGCCAGGGTTTTAGGGAAAGAGAAGTTTCTTGATAGGTTTCAGCACATTATAGAAGAAATTAGGAGTGCTGGTTACGAGATGGAAATGGAGACTTATGTTAGGGTTTCAGCAAGGTTCTGTCAGACTAAAATGATTAAAGAAGCTGTCGAATTGTTCGAGTTTGCAATGGCGGGTAGCAACACACCCACCCCACACTGCTGCAGTTTACTGCTCAAGAAAATTGTCACTGCCAAGAAATTGGACATGGACTTGTTTACAAGAACTGTGAAAGCTTATACTGGTAATGGCAGCGTTGTGCCGGATTCTATGCTGCAACATGTCCTCAAGTCTTTGAGAAGCGTTGATAGGTTTGGACAGAGCAATGAGGTGTTGAAAGCGATGAACGAAGGCGGCTATGTTCCTAGCGGTGATTTGCAGAGTGTGATTGCATCAGGACTTAGTCGTAAGGGCAAGAAAGATGAAGCAAACGAACTTGTGAACTTTATGGAAGCCTCAGGAAATCATTTAGATGACAAAGCAATGGCATCTTTAGTTGAAGGGCATTGTGATGCTAAAGATCTCGAAGAAGCTTCAGTGTGTTTCAAGAAGATGATTGGCAAAGAGGGAGTCTCTTATGCAGGTTATGCATTTGAGAAGTTGGTACTTGCTTACTGCAACAGTTTTCAGGCAAGAGATGTATACAAGCTTTTCACCGAGCTAGTGAAACAAAATCAGTTGAAACCTTGGCACAGTACATACAAAATCATGGTGAGGAATCTATTGATGAAGAAGGTAGCTAGAGATGGTGGGTTTGAAGAAGCTTTGAGTCTTCTACCTATGATGAAAAATCACGGGTTCCCTCCTTTCGTGGACCCGTTCATGGATTACTTATCGAATAGTGGAACAAGCGCAGAGGCTTTTGCTTTTCTAAAGGCCGTGACTTCAAAGAAGTTTCCATCTAATTCAATGGTTCTGCGTGTATTTGAAGCTATGTTGAAGTCTGCAAGGCATAGTGAAGCTCAGGATTTGCTGTCTATGTCCCCAAGTTATATCCGTCGCAATGCAGAAGTTCTAGAACTTTTCAATTCCATGAAACCTGTTAAATGTTCTTTAGAGAAACCTTTGCCTGCTCCTGCTCAAATCGAAGCCTAATTCATTATAGGTGATTCAAAAAGGTTGGCCAGAGAAAATTTAGGCTGTTCCCTTTCGCATGTAATTCATTATATGAGTGATCTAACATTTATTGCTCTTTATTTACAAAACTCTTACCAAGTATTAAAATAGTGTACCTTTTGTCTTGTTTACAAAATATAGTGTACCTTTAAGAAAGCATCTTGTAAGAACTCAAATGCCTAAAAGCTGCCAAACATTATGTATATGGGACTTCATCAAACCCAACATAATTGGAACAAGATTATATTTTTAATTACTTGAAATTTGCGATTGTGATCTTGCATAAAAGTTTGATATAATGGCCAAAAACATAATCCCACGTCTTTCCTCGTGTTCCATCACCAAATCAGACGTAACTTGAACCTGGCCCTTGCTTTGTAAAATGTCTTAAATCATTCACACTTATTTAGTTTCTTTCACTTGTTTTAACATTTTCTTTGATTCAGATACTTAGCTCTAGAGTATGCATCAAGTGGAAAGTTATCCGACAAATCCGATGTTTTCTCATTTGTAGTAATGCTTCTTGAGCTCATAACCGGACAACCTCCAGTGGATCTAAGGGGTAAGTCGGTCTCCGCCTCTTCGGTTTCTTGTTTAATCCCAAAACACTTGCAAAAACAGAAACAAAACTTGCTATTGTTGTTGCAGGCAAGGCCTTTGTGTTTGATATCAGCTCAAGATGGTGATTACAACCAATTGGCAGATCCGCGTCTAGAGCTAAACTACAATCATCAAGAGATGGTTCAAATGGCTTCTTGTGCAGCTGCAGCAATCAGACACTTAACAAGAAGACGGCCTAAGATGAGCCAGGTTCAAAAACTCATACCACTTCTTGATTCTTTTGTTTTTTTTTTCACTCACAGTTAATCTTGATGATAAATGTGACATACTAATGAATCTTCAAACATGTGTATTGATGAAAGATTGTACGAGCACTAGAAGGAGATATGTCAATGGATGATCTAAGTGAAGGAACAAGACCAGGACAAAGCAAGTATTTGAGGCCCGGAAGCGTGAGCTCAGAGTATAACGCAAGCTCGTACACCGCAGACATGAAAAAATTCAAGAAATTGGCGTTAGAGAATAAAGAATATCAAAGCAGTGAATATGGTGGAACAAGTGAGTATGGTTTAAATCCTTCTGCTTCAAGTAGTGAAGAAATGAATAGAGGTTCAATGAAACGCAATCCTCAGCTTTGAAAGAACACACAACATTTCTCATAATATTTTCACTTTTCTTCTCTGTTTTTAGGAGTGAAATTATTTTGACCAAAAGAGATTAGAGTGTGGTTTTGTTGAAATTGTTTAGTACAAAGCGTTAATCCATACCAAGTTATGGTGGTGGAATTTATAATGGATATGCATTATCAAGATTGTTTTATTATTGGTGTTGTATATAATGATTCTAAATACGAGATTAGGTGAATCTTTAGTTACCGTTGTGATAAATTTCCTTTTTGTTTTTGCAACTCAAATAAGAAAAGGAAACAATTGAAATTTCCTTTTTTCATTGAACAAACGTTACTTATAAATATGTACACCCATTCTCTCTTCTTCCTTGAGAAATCTCCATTCTCTCTTCTTCTTCGAAACCCTAAACCAGAAATAACAAAAATCGTCTTTTTCTTTCTGTAGTTATAAGCTTTGCCAATATCATACACAGAGGCTTGCCGATGATGATCCATATAGACATTGAAGTAAACCGATTATCTTTGCAATTAACTTCATCCGTAAGATTGATCGGAGCAGAGAAACCATCTCTTTTCGTGAATCATCTCCATCCTCTGTTGTGAATACATCTTAAGTCAATCCAGATCGATTTCATGTCAAGTCTCTCTTAATTTCACACGATCAAAGATCTCGGCGGTGGATGCTGACGAGGACGGCGAAGGATGAACACGACGACGACGAAGGATGCAAAAGCGGGATAGAGGATATCAAGAAGACAGGGACAGTGAGCGACGAGCGAGTAGAGAACCAAATTATGATATGTGTTTGGTTCTGTTTCCATGGCTCCGACCGTCCGACGACATCACATGAAAACCTTGTGTTTCGTCAATCACAAGCAAAGGTATTTCTTTCTTAATTTCCTTTTCTATTTTTTTTTTAAGATAAGTGTTAAATTTTAAATTTAGTGTAAACTAATTGAATACAACATCCAAACCCCTAAGAGGTGTTCTAGGTTCAATATGGTTTACACATAATTTAAATTTTTAACACTTGTTTTTATTTTATTAAAAAATGTTTTAAAACTTATATTTTTATATTACTATTAAAATTTTAAGGTTTTTCTATTAAGTGTTAAATTTTAAATTTTGTGTAAACTAATTAGACACAACATCCAAACCCCTAAGAGGTGTTCTAGGTTTAATATGGTTTACACATAATTTAAATTTTTAACACTTGTTTTTATTTTATTAAAAAATATTTTAAAACTTATATTCTTATACTGCTTTTAAAATTTTATGGTTTTTCTATTAAGTGTTAAATTTTTAAATTTGTGTAAACTAATTGGACACAACATCCAAACCCCTAAGAGGTGTTCTAGGTTCAATATGGTTTACACATGATTTAAATTTTTAACACTTGTTTTTATTTTATTAAAGTTTTTTTTAAAACTTATATTCTTATACTACTATTACAATTTTAAGGTTTTTCTATTAAGTGTTAAATTTTTAAATTTTGTATAAACTAATTAGACACAACATCCAAACCCCTAAGAGGTGTCCTAGGTTCAAAATGGTTTACACATAATTAAATTTTTTAACACTTGTCTTTTTTTTTATTAAAATGTTTTTAAACTTATATTTTTATATTACTATTAAAAATTAAAGGTTTTTTTAATTAATTGTTGAATTTTTAAGTTAAAAATAACACATAAATGAAAGAGGATTACAAAACTTCATGTAGACTCTATTTTCCTGATTACATACTATCACTGGACACTGGTGCATATAATCAGAATAGTTGTGAGTGTACTTTATGAATGTATATGTAATGGATGATTCTTATTGAATAACAAGGTGAGAATATATATATTACTATTGAATATTGATCATCAATAACTGCTCAACTTCACTATGTATCTACATATCGGACAAAACAAACACATATACATGTGTATGTATATGTGTTTCTATGTGTATCGTAATAAATAAATTAATCACGTGAACAAAGAAGCATCATCACACATCTTCTAATGATGTAGATCCTCCCCTTTTGTTCTTTGAGATATTTCCCGAGTCTTCTACTTTGTGATTTCTTCTCCTTTCTCCTCAAGCTCATGATGATGCTTTCCATATCCAGTTGTGTCCTTAAGAAACCAGTTGATATAACAATGCTTATATAGCAAATTAAAGACTAGGAAGATGGTGAGACTTTATACGACGAATCCTTCGAAAAACTTGTTTTAGATTCTTTCCAAGCAGGAATCTTCTAAAATGTTAAGAGAGTGTGATTTTGTGAAGAGAGAAGAGAGCTTTGGAAGATGAGTTATTTGATGGGGAAGATACTTGTTCGAATGAGTTTTTATAGGGAGAAATTATTGTCGACATTGTACATTAACTTAATAAACAATTAATAATAGAGTCTTAAATTTATCTTTAATGGATCAACCATATAAACAATAATTTCGAGCAAATTATTATTATTTCTATGGTTGAGTCACGTCACCAAACCTTACATAACAATGTGAAAATACACCAACCAAGATACATTGGTCGGCCATTTGTTGCAAAACAGATTCTTTTATCCACTATACTAATAAGTGAAAAAATGTTAATATTTTAAATAATAAAAATGGTATTATTGAATTGAAAGCAAGTCTTGTAAAGTTCTTGAAATCTAATTACGGCCTCTTAAGATTTGACTAACTTTTTCGTTTGAACAGACTACTATTTTGGGGATTGATAGATATAACTTTTGTTTTTTGTGAACACATTGACCAATTCAGTGGATGCCTGGAGTCATTTTGCTTCAAATGAAATGAACAAATCCCATAAAATGTGGATGCCTGGAGTCATTTTTACTCGCAAATAAAATACGATCATTTTATAACATTTGGTTAGTTTATCTATGCTAAAAATAGCTGGCAAAACTTATATATAAATAAATTAACTTGTAATATACGTTGGCGCTTATACAAAAAACTTAGTAACTGATAAAAGTAGCTACTATATATGCATATTTTCAATGGCTATGACTTCTTAGAGTCACGGTGCATCTAAAACTGAAAACCGAATTTATCAGAGATCAATATATAGTTTCGTATGAATTTCAAAGTGGCCAAAAGTGCATATAAATGCACAAGTGGATTTGATTTCCTCACCGTAAACAAGAAATTATTGAACACGAAATGCCAAAGATGATGTATATGGGACTTCATCGAACCTAACATAATTGGAGCAAGATTAGATTGTTAATTACTTGAAATTTACGATTGTGAGCTTACATAAAAGTTAAATATCATGGCCAAAACATAATCCCACATGTCTTTCCTCGTGTTCCATCACCAAATCAGCCGTAACTTGAACCTGGCCCTTGCTTCACACAGTTTCCACTTAACCATTTCATATATAACTCAATCTCTCCATTCTTTTAGTTATATAATAAATTTAAATTAATTTTTACTTAACTACTGTTCAAATACCGAAACCTACAAATTAGTATTATATCAGCGCATCAATTCTTGGAAATTGTTTTGTCTCCCCGAATATATTATATCCCGATTTTCCCTATGCCATGCTTCAAAAACAGAACATTTTGAACGTATCAATATTGTTATATGCATGTCAAATTCTTTTGGTAATATATCTATATGTTCAACTAGACAAACACATACTTGTACAGTTGTATACTTGTATATTACCAAAAATAGATATATTATGAGCATATAGAACACCACTCTTGAACAATTGTGTAGTCTTCGTAGTTCTTGTTCCCTCACTTTCCATTTAATTATTTATAAATTTAAAGGTAAGATAACAAACTAAAATATAAAAGAAAAAAAAACTAACCAAAAAAAAAACAATTAGAAGAAGCATGCTGCACGTGAAATTCGCATGGCTATGGGTTACTGTTTGGCATAACCTAGACAACTTTCGTTTTCTTGTCCCCTAAGTACTAATACAGTAGTATTATTTTACTTCGGTTCATTAGAAACCACATTCATGATAGTTTTACCATATGATATGGCTTAATTAATTAAAAACTTTAATTATCTTAAACACAATTAAGAATCATTAACCCGTATCTTGGTCTTGGATGATTCAAAAGATAGTATCCGTAATTATAAACTTGTCCGGTGCAACGCATCAAGAGCCAGTTTCGACTTCATAATTTTGATTTACTAATCATTTGAATTAAGGTTGATTGGTTTCTTGCTAATGAAGCATCTAATATCTTGGAACTAGTAATCTAATCAAGATCCTTACACATACAAACACTACTGTATATGCATATATAAATAAATATCTATACGTTGACCCAAATTTTTTGTCCTTAGTGTCCTATGTATTTTGAGCGATTATTTAACTAAAGTCTCCTAATAATCGTAGTACTTTATTTAAAAAAATTATTTGATAAAAAATATTGATTAGGGCGAATCTGATAAACTATAGGAGTGATTACTGATTACTCCAAATCTCTTATATAAGGCTTAATGGGCCTTTAAATAAAGAATTATCAGGCCTTAAGAGGCTTTATAAAACCTGCGATGAAGTTAACTTTTTTATGGTACCAACCCAATTGAGTTTTACTGGGCTCAAATAACTATTACTAATATCGCTTATATTTCGAAGCGATCTAAGAAAATAATTATTTTTTAATGAATTTTTTAAAGTATTTAAGATAAACTATATAATAATAAAAAATTGATGAACACGAAGAGCAGAGATCTCCAAAGATCCTAACTTTGATTCTTCCGGTGTTTTCTCCGACCCATTCAGATGTAAAAACGTTTCATGACAGCGACAACAACAAGCTACACAATTCATGGCGATTGTCCGAACATCAAAGCTTGATCTCCCAAACCCATCTCTCTCTCCTTCTTCTCCTCAAGTTTCATCGATACTCTACGAACCAATCTCCTCATCACTTGCCCTAACTCTATCTGATTCCTCCATCTCTCTTTACCCTTCTCTCTCCCCTCTCTCTACTCCTTCTCTTTCATACCCACAAACCCTAATCCCTTCTCCTTGCTCCTCTGCTTCGTTTCTCCTCCTCCGCTCCCAGAACGCTAACTCCAACGACGATTCCGGTAACGAAGCCTCCCCACGTGTCTTCTTTATCGTTGCTGGTCCTTATCGTGGTGGGTCTCGTCTTCTTCTCAGATTCTATGGTTTACGGGAAGGGAAAAACAGAGGCTTTGTGAGAGCCAAAGTGATTTGTGATCAAAAGGGTATTGAATTCGATCAGAAAGTTGGGGTTTTGTTGAATTTAAGCCACGGTGTTTCGGTTAAAATCGTTGGCTCGACCAATTACTTTGCAATGTATTCGGTTTCTAGCTCGAAAATACTCATCTTTGGTCTCAAGGTTGTGACTGATGGCAGCAATTGTGGAGATGATGATGCAGTGGTTGTGAAGCTGATAAGATGTGGTGAGATTGAATGTGTTAGACCGGTTTGGTCGATTGGGATTTTTTCGGGTTTGTTGATTTTGGGGGAAGATAATGGAGTTAGGGTTTTAAATCTGAGGGAGATAGTCAAAGGGAGGTTGAAGAAAGGGAAGAAAGACAATGGGAGATTGCGTAATGGGCACATAGAAGTGAAGAAGAAGGAAAATGCTGTTCATGGTAAGTCTATAGAGTTAGTTACTTGTGGTGTTTTGTAGATTTGGATAACCTTATTTAGGTTATGTTTTTGGTGATATGTAATGTGAATGATCATGATTTATCTATATATGTGATTGCCTTATTGAGGGAGTGCAGATTTAAGGATTTGGTGGTACAATGTGCTTAAGATAGAGTTAAAAGAGGCAATTTCTGTGGTAACTCTAGGTTGAAAAATGTTAAAAATGGACATTATGTTTGTTTTCCAGATTCTTTGTAAATTTTGCTTCTTGGTAATGCCTTTAATGTTGCAGTTGTAGTAGCATTCATATTTCTAAGTTTGCCTGTTACCATTTGCAGTGAACAAGGGTTTGTTAAGTAAACGGAGACAAGGATCTTCTGAAACAAGAATGTGCTTTGTGTTGTTTCAGAAAAATGCTGCTGCTGTTGGCGCTGATCTGAAATCAGAAACATGTGTGGTCATGTCTCTTAGGGCGATATCTATCCAAGCATTGTCCATTAAAAGGTTCTTGATCTTGGACTCTGCCGGGTATATACATGTATTGCATGTATCTGGTCGCCATTCTCTCGGATCAAACTTTACTTGTGATATGCAGCAGTTGCCTCGCTTTATGGATGTCCAGAAATTAGCCCTTCTTCCTGAAATCTCTGTTGGTAAAAAATACTCCTCGACTTTGCGGTTTTAAAGGGATTTTGTTTTTGACGCATTTCATATCGAAACTTCCTTCTTTTAAAACAATTGTATGGTCTTTGGCCACTGCAGGAACGAAAAGCTTTTGGATTTCAGACGGAGATTATTCCATGCATAGGGTGACAATTTCTGATGAGGAAACTACCAGCAAAGAGAAAGATGAAGATAAGAAAATAAGAGAGGAAAGACCACCTATACAAAGCTCGGATTATGGTGCAGTAACACACACAATTTTCTCTCCAGAAAAGATTCAGGATCTTGTTCCTCTTGGGGGAAACGGTGCTCTGATTCTCGGGCTACGTAAGTTGCTTGGTGCTCTGATTCCAGTAGAAACATCCTTTGCAGAAAACAAAACCGCTAAACTCGAAATGTTTTAACTCTTTTGGCAGGAAGCTTGTACGCATATGCAATATCCTGAAAGCAGCTAAGACATGATTTTGGTTTCTTACAAGTGGTGAGATCTAGTTGATACCAGATTTGATAACGATGTTTGAAGCAAATTCGAAATCGGGTAAGCGGGTTTGTTTGGTGTCTGGTAATTTATATATCAGCTTTGAGTTTATTTTGGTATCAAAATTCGTTGTTTTACAGTGTTGGATGGTCGTTAAATGGTAAAGAGTTCTCCAGATGATGATGAAGCTTCGTGAGCTGACATTGATGATGTTCACGATTGAAACTTTTGAAGACTCTGGAGGTAAATAAAGGGGATCGATGATACATACCCCAACACTGAGATCTACATCGGAAAAGTTAGTAGATAGTGGTTTCAGTCAGATGACTTATTTCAGATACATGCATCTTATAGTTGTAAAATTTTATTCATTCATTTTTAAAAATATATAAGACTTTTAAATTTTCACATTTGAGAATTATTAATTTTCTTATCTGAAAATCCTTTTTTCATTCAATTTGAAATACAGGAAGAAATAGCCAAACATGTTAAATCAATCATTCTTGTCCAGATAATCAATTCCATTAATTTTAACTGTCACTATACAAATTAAAAACATGAAAAAGAAACTAGAACTAATTGATCAAAACCTTTCGAGAAAAAAATGGAACATGCCAAGTGAATTTGTTTCCTATATATGGATTACAACCAAAAAACAAAAGACAAAAAAAGGTAAAACTTTATTGTGAGATGTTTTTAATATATGTCAGTCATCCAATTAAGATTCAACATATACTATCTTGCAAACTTTCGAGATAACTTATTTGAAAATACCCAATATGTATAATGAAACAAAATTAAAGATGAGAAAAGTACTAAAAAAAAAAAGTCAATATTTTAAAGAAATAAAAAAAAACTCAACCATCCCTTTAAAATTTAAAGGAACATTTCTTCCCTCTCTCCATCATCCTTAGCTTTACCTTGGCTTTTTCATAACAAACATTCATTTCCAATGGTTTTGCGTGGCGAAGAGCTTGAGTTCGACCTAAGAGAATGGGCACGAAAAGGCCATTTAACTCGCGAAGATCAAAGTTCTAGAAGGTTCTCTGCCTCTTGTATCCGAAGCTTCCGAGAAGACCACAAGTCTTGTACAACAAACTTCACCATCTCTAGTACTGCCTCTTCTCCCGGTTACTCCCTCAAAGGTGATAAATATATATAATAACCTCTTTTAATGCTATTTGTTTCTTATAAAAATGTTTTGAAATTTGAATTTTTGTGACAGATGAGATTGACCCATCAAATTATTCCTTCACTAGTGCACTCAAGGGTAAGTTTCTTCTAAAAATATATATATAATAATACTAAGCTTTTTCATGATTCTCAACTCAAAGATTGAATCTTATGAGAATTTCGACCTATATGATTCTAAAAAATTGCCAATTTCAATGTCTAACCAATAAATTCGGTGCTACTTCGTATAGTGTAGAAAATTGTTGCCAAAAAGACATTTGTGCCAAAATCATCACGTTTCGAACACCCTTTCTTGAAATTTGAATCAACAACTACATCATTATACTACACTTTATTAGTTTGTTTATATTCATTGATAGCAATAAAAAGAAGCTCTGTTATGACTATGAACAAGAACAGAGAAAAGATATAATAACCTTTTTGTTTTGTTCTGTCGTTTTATCTGCTTACACAGCATTGCAAGCAAAAACAGTGTACAAGAAGAATTGGGATTGGTTGAAACCAGAAGGAGTTGAGCTAAACTCGAAATGGAACGAAGCAGAGAAGTATATCTGCAATCCTTTATCTGGTGAAGTTCCTTTGGAGTGTTTATCTTCTAAAACCCTAAATTCAAGATCTTTTAGAAACTTATCCACCAAGCATGCTCCACTCATGATTTTACCTTCTAATCCTAATCTCAACATTCCAAGAATCATCCACGAGGATCCTAAAACTTCCGATCCTGTTCTTATTCAAGGTGATTATTAACGATTTCATAAAGGTGGTTTTGTGTTTGGGGTTTATTTGTAACTAAAAAGAGTTTGAGGGTTTTTTATAGCAGAAAAGAAAGTTGTGGGGTCAAAACGAGATGTCGTTAGTGCACCGGAAAATGTTAGTGCAGTGAACACGACGCCGATCATGGAGAGATCAACGAAAAGACAGGTGGAAGCTGATGATTTGCATGTTGAGTATGCACTAAAGTTGAAAGCTCAACAAGAGGTAACACATGATATACAATTTTTGCTCTAATAATTCTTGATTTTAGATTTTTTGCATATTGTGAAAAATGGGTAAATAATATGACAGTATTCGTTACATATAAGTTATGTGATACTAGATATTTTAATGTTTGAATTAAATTTTTGGAAGGACATATTACTCATTAGATGGCCCTATGAGAACAATATATTAACTTCTACCAATGATTATCAATTTTTGGTACGGTTTTGCATTGGGATATTTAAAACAATTGAAATCATGCAAAGAGGTACGTATAATAATTGCATAAAACTTTGAATTAATTCGTTTGTGCAATTAGATTCTTTCACAAAATAAGAGAAAACACAAATACATAAATGTGCAGTGTATAATGTTCTTTTTAATCATAGAAGAGACAATGATAAGACTCCACGTTTTGTTTGTTTATACATATAATATTGTATCCTTGTTAAGATTTAGCTTCTTTCATGATATTTTGATTAAAAAGGACAAATGGTCATACGATACGTGATAGTAGTATCCATCATAGAAAACAAAACAGTAACATCCAACTTCGATGTTACAATTATTTCATGAAAAATCTTCATTGGACCCCATGTTATGATTTTGTGTAGTCCAGATTTGAAAATGCTAATTATATATGTGCACGTTTGTGTATATATATCACTGGTTGAACTATTCAACCAATTAACTTTTTTTAAAATAGTTACTTATGTTTTTTTGGGGTTTGAAGGATGTGAAGTTAGAAGAAAAGGAGCAAAAGATGGAGACAAAAGAAATTCGAGAAGAAAAGAAAAGAGGAAGTGGGTGTTTCTCATGGATAAGGAAAATGCAAAAGCAACCAAGAACATCCAAATGCATATTTCTCATTTGTCTTCCTCATCTTTTCAAAGCTTCTTGAGATTCAAACCAATAATTTTGAGATATTGGTTACACAATAATAGAGCAATGTCTGCAAGATCATATGCTAGATTCTTACTTCTCTTTTGCTTGTATTTATTGGCATATGATACAACTTCTTTTTATTGTTTTAAAAGATTGTGAAACACAAACTTTTGTTCAAGGTTTTCAAGAAACTAAGTCTACCAAGATCTCCTGATCAAAATTCTTTGAAATTTTATTTTCCCTTGAAATCAGAACTATTTTTTTTTCTGAAGATTATTTATAGGGAAAAAGTAATTTGAAACAAGCATGTTTTCGCTCTTTCATTTTATAAATACACTCTCCTTTTGCCTTCCTTGGTATGAATCATATTGCTCTCTTCTCTTCTCAAGTTGGTCAGTGACCAGTGAGATTGAGGATCAAATATCATCGGACTTCCATTCTACAATGGCAAGAGTGTGGCGGCCACCGCAAGCGATCGATTTAGCTGACCATTTTCCTTCTTCTTCTTCGTCTGCGTGATTAAAGCTTCCTTCAGGCGGAGGAATCATTATAGGTAACTCCAATGGCTGTCCTGTGGTTATTTTCCTTCCATAACCAAGTCTACCATGATCTCCTCTACCAAACTGATCAAAAAAGAGAAACATAATCAGAGGGATGAATGTTTTTTCATAATGCTTCAAACTATAACCCGAAAGCGGTTTTCTTGGTTTCAAGGACTAACCGAGAAGATTCTGCCATCTCTTGTCAAAGCAACTGAATGTGTTCCGCCACAAGAAACCTGATTTTTTGGAAAGAAGAGAACTCCAGATTATTAAAGTTAAATGCTTTATCTGAGTGATATTCTCTTCAGCAAAGAAGAGAAGATCTCTCATTGAAGTTTAACGCTTTAAAACCTGAATTATATCTTCTTCAGCTAGAAGATTAACTTTCTGTGGAACCATTTTGCTGCTCTTGTCATTGTCACCAAACCCGAGTCTTCCGTGTTCTCCTCTTCCCCAACCATACACCTAAGAATTAGAAGACCAAACACATAATATAATAACGTAAAAAGGATCCACACGGTGAGAATGAGAAGGAAAGCAAAAATATTTTTGAGAGTAAGATGGATTCTAAATCTAATACCTCTCCTTTATCAGTTAAAGCCGTTGAATGCCATCCACCCGCAGCAATATCAACCTACAGATGCGTGTAACGAAGGACAAATTGTTAAAGCTTAAGCCATTTGTTGATTTAGCATCAGAAGACTATTGTGTCAGTTGAATACTTATAATCAAAATCACTCTTCAAAGGTTTAATAAGTAGAAAAGGAAAAAAAAAAAGCCGAACCAAAGTGAGATCATCGAGGCCTTGGACTGGAACAGGATGAGATGTTGGCTGGGTGTCACCGGTTCCAAGTTGTCCGTATTCGTTATTACCCCATGCCAATAATCTGCCATCTTCTTCAAGAGCCAGATTATGAAATGCTCCAACAGCGATAAGACGGACATTTTCAAGACCTTGAACTCTTACAGGAACAAATATTTGTTTTCTGCAATTTAGAGGAAACCAAACCCCACATATTAGTAATCGACTAAGAACACACAAAATGTATACTATTGCTTTGAGTTTAATCGTTCTTTATACATGTCACCGGGAGGCCACGGTTGACCCCAAGTCCAGACATGACCTTCGCGTGACAGAACCACTGAGTGAGTACCACCTGCAGCTACCTGTTAAGAAGTTTAGACCTCAAATGGATTATCCATAGATCAATATTGAGGAGTAGAAGAGAAAGTGATGGACACAGATTATATTTTGAGGCAATGCAGAGAAATTTAGAATTAGAAGACGAGCAAGTATACCTGTCGGACTGTAAGTTTCGGGGCACAACGCTTAGGGATCACAATATCTCTTCGCACGGGTCTACCCATCTCGTCTTTTAAAGGCTCTTCACCACATTGTCCATATTCATTCCCACCTATGTGCATTCCATAATCAATTTCAATACGATTCACCAAGCAAATCAGATAGAGAATGAAACAAGAACACATGCATTCTCTTACCCCACGCATATGCTCGGCCTTGATCATCAACAGCTAAACAATGCCAACCACCAATTGCTGCCTATCATCCATTACAAAAGAACATATTCAAAGGTAAAACCAGTAGTTCAATATGATAATCTATCGAAAACTACAATGGATTAGTAGAAAAAGATCAAACCTGAGTGATCTTGACATTGGCAAGGGCCTTAACCCGACTGGGGATGTTCTCTGTTTTTGTTTCTGGTGGGTGTCCTAATGTACCTCTTTGATTCCAACCCCATGTAAACATCTGAGATCAGTTCAAAGAACACGAAACATAACTTAGTGAAAATGAGCTTTTAAAATCTTATTTGTGAAATTAAACCTCTAATTTAGTCATCAAACTACTGAAATAAGGACCAGACCAAGACCAATTCCAAAACCTGTTCAAGAAAACAACTTTGAGCTACTGGCTAACTTCTAATCAAGATTCTCAACTTAGAGACTTTTCCCACAAGATAAGAAGACACAGAGCTTCATTGGTTACGATTGATAAGACAAACCATGTTTCTTTTTTTCTTTTCTTACAAGAACTAATAAAACCAAACTAAAAAGGTCTCCACTTTTTACCTAGAACAGATATAAATCATCTCCCGAAATGCATAGAGACCAATCAAAACAAGACAAATCTCATTATCATGATATTCGGATAGTACCGTGCCATCGTCGCAAATGGCGAGGGAGTTACGGCTACCAGAGACAACGGAGCGAACAGAGTAAGGCTCGAGAGCTTCAACGACGCAAGCCCATTCCTTTTCTTCGTTGGTACCAATTCCTAGTTGCCCATCTTCTCCAGAGCCCCTGAAAAGCAGACAGAAGATGGTAAGAGAGAGAGAGAGGCCAAGGTTTGACAAAGAGTAAGTGAAAAATCGAAACTTTGATAAGTAGAGAGAAGAGAAGAGAAGAGTATTGGACCAGGCTATGATTGAAGTAGCTGAAACCATTAGAGAGAGAGAAAGAGGGAGGAGAGAGAGAAGGTGAATGCACAGAGACAAGCGCAAAAGCAAAGCAGTGGGATTCGAGGGAGGTGGTAATAATAGCGATGTGTTTTTATGTTAAGTGTATGTGTTTAATTACTTAATTAATAATATTCCTAATACATTGATTTCCGTATATTCGTATTTCTATATTATGCTCAAAAAATTACTGATTTTGCATATGTGTGTTCGGAGTTATTTTTAAGTTTACAGTAGATTAAAGATACTTGACGAGATTACAATTTCAAATTTTATGACTGTTAGTTGAATAAAATCTTCTTATACAAATACACATGGAAAACATGAATAATAATGGAACAACAGAAAAAGGGATAATATGTCAAAAAAAAATAACAAAAAACAGAAAAAGGATAAATAACTTAAAATAAGGAAAGAGATATAATTTAAATGTTGGAAAGAGACATGAGTGTTGAATTGTCTCTGCTGTGAACAAAAACATTTCAAAGTGTAAAGCTTTTTCTTCTTAATTCTTTGATTTTGCTCTAAGATTCTCTAAAGATAGGTTAAAATTCTGATGCGTTAAGAAAAAAATCATAATACTCTGATAAAAAACAAGTAAATAATACACTGATACCCTCCCCTTAATGATAATCTTAGACGAGTTGAATCCAAAAGCAATAATTCTAAGTTTTGTTTCTTCACTTCCTAATTACTAACAAGTAACGAAGACGGAACCAAAGACTCAACAACAGCTTTAAAAACCCAATAAAAAAAGAGGAGAGTTTTTGAGTTTTCAAGGAGAAAATCAAATAATGATCTTTCTCTCCTTGATCCAAATCATATCATATCATATGTTTTTTTGGAAAACTAGAGCTAAATCCGATACCATACATACTTAGAAATGTCACTCCCTCTCTCTCTCTGGTCACTGCCCTGTCTCTGCTGGTTTCCCCTCTTCCGGCTCATGTTTTGACGCCTCCTTGATCTCATCACCGCCCGCCTCATCCTGAAAATGAGCAACACAATCAGCGTTTAATAGAAATCTCTGAGTAAAAGAAGCTTAGACTGCATAAATAAGAGTTTAAAGGGGGGAACAAAGGAGGGAGATAAAGGTGTACATTGATGTCAGAATTCCATAGGGTCAGATTGTCACGGAGAAGTTGCATTATCAGTGTACTGTCTTTGTATGATTCTTCTCCTAATGTGTCGAGCTCAGAAATAGCCTCATCAAAAGCCTGTGAAAACAATTGAGGGAATATCATTAAGCAATTTGGTGCTAGAACAAGTGTTACAAAGTCTGGAAGCATCATAACATCCCGTAGGACAAAACACAAACCTGTTTTGCGAGACTGCAGGCACGATCAGGTGAGTTGAGAATCTCGTAGTAGAAGACAGAGAAGTTAAGAGCAAGTCCCAATCTAATCGGGTGAGTAGGAGCTAACTCAGCAAGTGCAATATCCTACATTAGAAGAAAAACACACATAAGCATTCATCAAGATAGCCCCTTTACTGGTCTCGAGAAGCAAAATAAGATAGATAGATAGATGTTCAAAGTTAAGAGTTTACCTGAGCTGACTTGTAAGCAACCAGAGTGCTTTCTGCAGATTCCTTCCTCTCAGCACCAGTCTTAAACTCAGCAAGGTACCTGTGGTAATCTCCTTTCATTTTGAGGTAAAAGACTTTGGACTCAGCCAAAGATGCAGTGGGAACAAGGTGAGAATCCAGAAGATTGAGTATTCCATCACAGATTTTGCTGAGTTCGGTTTCGATCTTCCCTCTGTAGTCCTTGATAATGGAAACATGATCATCGTTTCCTCTGCTTTCTTCCTTCTGTTCAATGGAAGATATGATCCTCCAGGAAGCTCTCCTAGCACCAATGACGTTCTTGTACGCAACAGACAAGAGGTTTCTCTCTTCCACAGTAAGCTCATCGGTGTCAACAGTCTTTGCAACTTTCTCCATGAACTCAACCATTTCCTCATAACGTTCAGCTTGCTCAGCTAACTTGGCTAAGTACACATTCTCTTCCCGAGAAGACGACATCTTCTGTTATCAAACTCTTTTTAGATCCTGTTTTCAAAAAAACATTTCAAACTTCATCAACATCACAGTAGCTTCAACGTTATTCCCAACAAAAGACACAACAGTTTCGTGTCTCCACCATATTTCTCATACAGATCAATCCACGATACCAACAAATCAAAGACAAAACGAACACTATACCCACAGATAAACACAGGAACAAACAAGAAAAAAATCGATCGAAATCATTCCAGATTATGCCAGATCTCGAGATAACAACGAACACAGAGAAGATGCGAAGTCCACAAAACGAAACGAAAACATCAACGAGCAATCGAGAAACAAAAATTCGTCGAGAGACCAGATCCGTAGCTTACCGAGAGGATTTTTGGAATTAGGGATTTGTCGAATTCGAAGCTCGAGACGCGAAAGGAGGGGGAAGTGAGAAATTAGGGGGAAAAAAGAAGAAGAGATGGGCTTTGATTTTCTGTCTAACGGTGTTGACCCGTCAAAGACTTTAATAATCGTGAAATACGAATACTAATTTACTTTGGGCCCTGATTCCTTTTTCTAGAATAAAAATCATTATAAAGTATATGCCGTGCATTGTTGGTAATTTGACTTTTAATTGTGTTTACAAATAAATCTGGTTCCATCTCCATGAAACTATCGAATCTTTTTCTTTTTTCACTAGAAACCACAATAAAAGCATTCACCATGTTTGTCTGATACAGAAGATGAAACAAAAAAAAAAAAGGATACATTCAAAATTATCTATGACAACAAAAAGATAACAAGTAAAAATTGAAATAAAATTCATATGCTAATGCTCAAAACACGAAAGGAAAAGAAAACAAAAAGTAACAGTTTTTTAAGTAGGCTTCCTCATATTTCTTCCTGCACGAATCACTTCATCTACTAATAGCAACTGCGAAGCAATCACCGGCCTGCAACACAATTACCAAACATCCGTTTTAACTGCCTGAACTCAACCGCAACTCAATTATTTTAAATGTCAATTTTAGCACTTGCGTTTACAAATTTCCATTTGGTTCTGCACATACCCTGAATTGATAAGTTGGCGTTTCACCGAGTAATTGTCGAAAATACCGGCAAGCTGAGGGTCGAGAGGTTCTCCATCCTGTAGGTTTAGTCCCACGACGTTTCCTTTGTCATGCTCACTCTGTATAAACATCGGAATTCAGTAAATAAACCCAAACATAATTTTTTATTGGAGCATAATCCATAATGGCAGAAGAGGAAAATACAAGTATAATACCGTTAGAGAAATGATAACGTCTTGAGTGTCAAGCCCAGCATTTTCAGCAAGTGTCTTAGGCACCACGAGAAGGGCATTAGCAAAAGCTTCAACACCGAGTTGAGCGCGCTGCAATTTTCCCACAATTAACATTAGAAACCGGAAAAAACAAGAATTGGTATTGGAGCAGAGGGATATTGCTTTCTACTTACCCCTTGAACAGTTTTCTTGACTTCATTGATTAAGTGTTGTCTTGCTGCAACTTCAAAAGCTCCAGCTCCCTACATAAAGAGACAGATGTCAATAAACCACAAGCGCCCAAAAGCAAAACAATCACACTGAAGTAGTAATATATTTTATCTTTGTGAAGAAGAAGGTACTTACTAATACGACACACTCATCTTCTAGGGTATTCTTAACTGATCTTAAACCATCACGGACAGCGTCCTTAATTTGAGCAATAGTGTGGTCGTTAGGCCCTATAAGAAAACAAATTCATAGATAATCGATGACCACGCATATAAAGATACGTAAATTTGACCTTCAAAACTTAGCTGACAAGACTCAAGAGATAGAAGTTTGGGACTTTGTACCTTTTATGAGGATAGTACATGAATGAGGATTCTTCACTTGCTCGACAAATGTGTACTTCTCCTCTCCAAGAACGTGCTCATATACAAGTCCAGCCCAACCAAGAGAATCAGGGGTCAAGTCATCAACGGAGTTCACAGCTTCTCCACCACATGCCAAAACCAAACGTTCCATGTTCCTCCTCTTTGCTCTTCTAAGGGCGATTATCTGGAGATACATATAAACGTATATAAGGAAACAGAATGAAAATTCGATTGTAACAACTTGTAGACACAAGAAACAGAGTACAAGACAATAGACAAGCTTAGTGGAAGAACCAGGCATTTAAGAGATTCTACGTGAATACTCTTAGTGGATAACCTTTTCTCTACTTGGTTTAAATTTCAGTTCACTTGATTTCACAATCTTCTTCTAGATTTTTTCATGCTTTTCTGCATCAGATGCCAAAAATACAAAGCCAACAATAGCTTACCCCTTCTCTAGCAAGAAGATCCAATGACGGGGGATCAATACCCTTTTGATTTAGGACAACAAAGCTGTTATCATTACCAGCACAAACCTGCATGAGAAATAGAAAATACAAATAAATATCTGAAAGAATACAGCATATAGCTTGGAGGTAGTAGTTTCAAACTCACCTTGTTCTTCAGCTCAATAATTTTCTGAACTCTTTCATCAACGGAACGTCGCTCAGCAGTAACCATGGCTTCCCTCTGTTCCGCATTCGAGTAGAAGAATCCTGCATTAATTTCACTGATATATATACAAAGTTAGGCTACACAATCACTGATACACGGGATAGTTCTTCTAAATTATAGTCTTTCATATCTCTTCAACCAATCAACCAGAGATTTGTCTTACGTACCTCTTCTCATACTCTAATGACACATTGCAAGTCAGGATGTGACAATTCTCCGCACGTCGCTTCATGTCAGGGTGTCTTGAACCATGATCAAGAACAAGCCCCTCAACCTAATACAAGAGAAATAATCCATGTTATATTCACAACGAGTGCATAAAGATAACATTTATGATTCACGACCAGTAAAAAGATTTTAATCACATACAAAAGTCATTTTACTAGCGTAAAAATCCTTAAATTCCGACTGAAGAAATTTACAGTAAACAAAGGCATACCAATCGTGTGTCAACATCAAATTTATGGCGCATGTGCATAATCTCAACCATAAACAGATCAATAGGTTCCTCAGGCTTCCGAATGCAGAGAACCTGTTAAATGCAAACCAAAATTGATCCATAGATTAGTTCCCAAATATGTGAAAAAGCATGATGATATTCAGTGAGAGCTATCAGTAAACTTACCGAATTAACAACAATATCAGTCAGTTGATCAGCTAAGCCTTCATACAGCTAATTAAGCCAGAAAAAAAAGACAGTCAGAAAGCGAAGAGAGTCGGTGATAACAAAAAGATATAGATATCAGCAAACAAAGAATACCTTAGTTCTTAGTGTTGACCTCGCAACCATTTTCAGGATCTCTTTATCAGGCTCATCACCCATAACCACAGGTGTCTTGAAAGTGTCGAGAAATTGGAGAGTGGCTCTTTTTGCAATCTCGAAACCATCAACTAAGACACGTGGATGCATTCCTGAGACATATATAAACCTTTCATTAGGACCATTTCTCACTGAGATTAACTAAAAAAATCAAGGTAGCTGACGAAGAAAAGTATCAAATGTTAACCATGACAAACAGATACAGAAAATGAATGGCATCAGATCCAGTATAATTGTCAAAAAACAGACATAGAGAAACATAGAACTACCCAACTCATCAACACATCAAAGCATAATGCAGACAAAAGCAAGTTTGGCTAACCTTCATCGATGCAACGCTCCGACTGCTTCATAAGCTCACCAATGAAGATGACAGTGGAAGTAGTACCATCACCACTTATGTCATCCTGAGCAACAGCTGTCCTGGCAATCATGATGGCTGTTGGATTTTGAATTTGCTGAAAAGATAAGCAAGTCAGCACTGTAAGCATCATCAAACCAGTTAAGTGTCATTCATTAGAGCAGGATAATCAGATAACGAGTCCCGGTCTAAAGATTTATGTCTATCATTTCTATCACAATCTTGACAAACAGCCTAACCTAAGTAGGGGTTTACATGTCTTCGAAAAAAAACATACCAAATTAAATTTCTAAAACCAAATAAATAGGCACAATCCTAGCGTTTTACAAGCTTCTGAACACACTTCACAAGTAAGAAGAGACATTTAAGCTTAGATTATTCTAATCAATCAACGAGATCTACCATTTTTCCCGACCAAAAAACGATCTACCAATATTTTTACTCTATGGGACTTACCATTTCCTTCAAAAGCGTGTTGCCATCCTTGGTAAGCTTGATATCTCCCGAACCACCAACAAGCCTACACACCGATAAAATGGCATGAAAATCAGTAACAAGTGAAGAGACGAATGAACTAATAGATAGATCCAGCGAGAGTGAAGAAACTTACATCTTGATAGTTCCCTTAGGACCGAGATTCGACTTGAGTACATCCTGTAAACCCTTGGCGGCGTTGATGGTCATATGAAGCGCGGCCGATTTGTTGAGCACCTCAGCATTAGGATTCAGTACACGCACAGACATTTTCGATGATGAGAGATCGAAAGAAACTGGGATTAGGGATTTCTAGGGCTTTCTTTTCTTCTCTGGGAGCTTCTCTCTTTTACTTCTTTTAAATTTCAGTGAGGGCTCAGAGGACGACGATGTGAGGGAAAAGAAGCATCTTAAAGCATCCATTGGTCCATTAAACGACGTCGCATTGTCAGGAGGTGGAGAAACTCTACATGGGCCAGAGACTTCGAGTTTTACAAGTTCTGGGATTAGACTTTAACTTTTCCTCAAAATATTCCAATGAAGACCAAAGTCACTTTCTGTTAAGGATTCAACAAAATAATAACTTAAATGCACCCTCGCGAAGATAACTTACATTAGAAATAAGAACTAGCATTAGAAAAAGTAAAAAATAAATATCATACAGACATACCAAAGAAACGTTAACAAGATTATCGAGTTTAGTTGTTGTTTTTTTCATTTTCCATTTTTTTACTTTTACTATTTAGGCACATACACAAAGTTCACAAACAATAAATGTCCCCAATTTGACAAAAATAACTGGAACAGGAGATTTTGTAAGGACTAACGACGATCAACGACAATACAAAGAAAGAGAAGATGATAAACTCCCTTTTAAACCGAGAACTGAGCCATGAACATGGACAAAGTGACGAGATCATGGACTTGGCCCCCACAAATATAAAGGTAACACATATGGACCAATGGGAAAGATAGAGAGTAGGTAAAGTAAACTGAAGAAGCTTATTCCTCGAACTCATGCATGTGATCTAGAAGATAGTTTGCAGCCAACTCTTCATTCTTGTTGCACGCAAAGAACACTTCCAACACCAATGCTCTGTCAAATCCCATCGCTTCAAGCTGTTTTTTTTTTTATAATCAATGTGAAACCGAGTTCAGGGATCATAAAGAGTGATACAAACTTTCTTCTTTAGACAAAAGATCAAAGTTCTAGAAGTGAAAGAAAAAAAAAGAGAGAGAGAGAGAAAATAAGGAACATACCCGTTCAATTGCTTCGCGTTCCTCAGGTGTGACTTGAATCGCCTGTGGCTGTGGCATTCCCGCCGCCATTTGGCCAAGGAGGTTGCCACTGAATTACATAATGCACAACAAATTATCCAAGAAAAGAATCACTGTTTAGGTAATCAAAAGCCTCCCAACGTTTTGGTGTTGATATATATATTACATAGGAATCATAATCGTAAATCATCATAGTAGCGCCAGGATTATGCATACCTTTCTCCCCCTCCTTCAACGGGTTCATTGATTAAGCGTAAGAAGTCAGCTTGGTGGTCTTGAATCAACCGCATCAAGTTTGGGTTCTGCTTTCCCAGTTCCTGAAGCATGGGCTGAAGAAAAAACGCATGGACAAATTCATTTAAAACGATATTAAATGAAAACCGACAATGATTTCAGGTCTCTGTGAATTATATCAGCATACCTGCAGAACTTGAGGGTTTGCTTGCACCATTGCTCGCAGAGCTTGGAACTAATATATACCATAATAATATTTACGTTACACATTGATGTCTGATATACTCTTTTGTAAGCAAGTGTACGGAAAAAAACCCAGCTTATACCTGTTGGCTGTTGCGCAAGAAGTCAAGTGTTCCAGCACCAGGATTTCCTCCAACATTTGGCAAGCCCTGTCAAAGATAAAGAGCAGATTTTAGTTGCACACCTATATATAATCAAGAGTTTAAATGAACCAAACCTGCTTTCTATCTCAAGGTGTATTACCTGTGGGAAGAGATCTAACGGATTTGCATTAGGACCACTTGCGGGTGCTGCAGCAGGTTGTTGAGTCTGTGCTGGAGGATTTGCAGGCTGTCCGCCACTAGCTGGAGCACGGGCAACTGGTGGAACTTCAGCTTGCTCAGGGATCCCCTAAGACATAAATTTCGGTGTTTAAATATATATTCTCTGTTTGCTCAAAAAAAAAAATATATATATATTATCTCACTTTAGTAACAAGGAGAATAGTAGGTAGCCAATAATAATGGAAAGGAAATATATTCTAGGCATAGTGATTGATTAGTGACCAAAATCTGCCTCTTAGACAAAGCTGCATGAAGGGACGCAAATTCAGAGAATATAATTGACTCACAGTATAAAGATATTCCACAGCTCTTTCGGGGTTGTTAAATGCAGCACGAAGTGCACGGACAACAGTCTCACGATCCCAGGTTCCTCCACCCATGTCAAGAATCTGCTGAATGGTACTCTCTAAATTACTTCCAGCGGCTAGATTTGATGCTGCTTGTCCGTAAACATCACCTTGACTTCTATCTCAACCAAACAAATAGGAAACAGAATAAGAGAAGGTCAATCGCTGAGCAGAAGATTGAGAGGAGATGCTAACCCCGCAGGAGCTGAGTCTGGTGCAGGAGTGCTTGATGGTATAGTAGCAGGTACAGGTACAGGTTCAGGTATAGGTGTAGTCACAGTTTCAGTTGCAGCTACAGGTGCAGGTGTAGGGGCAGGTGGTGGCGCACGTGTCGGTGCAGGTGCCACTGGTCTGCAGAGTTTTCGAATTGGGGGCAAAGGATTGAAAATTAGTTTTAGTCCATAGTTTTTTCAGATAGATTCTAGGAATTTTTCAAACAGAAACTACTTGTCTCGGAAACTCACGTTGCTACAGAAGCTGGAGTCTGAGGGGAAATTGAAGGCTGTGATGTTGAGGGAGGTGTCGACTTGGCCTAAACCAACCCCAAAGTTAGATCATTCAACAAAAAATAAAGTATACAGAAGCTTTGACACTTTCGTTTCATTAGTTGCAGAGCCAAGAAGCTTTCTAAAATCCCATGTTGCAGCATCTCAGCCTTTACTACTGAAGCTACATCAACAGAACCAACTCACCTGCGCTGTGCCAGCAGATGCACTAGATGCTCCAGTTGAAGCAGTTTTACTCTATTACATGTTTAGCACCGGAGAGCATAAATCAGAATGGGGAAATGAAAGAGCTAAACAGAAAAGAACAGATTTACTTTAATCCCCCAGATCCAAAACGCACCTTGTTCATCATTACGACAATAAAACTGTTCTCAGCAACTTTGTTTTCCTCAATAGTAGTCTCATCTTTAAGCACTTTACCTTGGTGAATAAGCATCTGCTTAGCAGCAGGATATACATCTGCGCCCTGCACAGTCTCTATGTTCTTCTTCACATCAGCAACCTGAATGTATATATTTTACCAGCATAAGTCTAAGAAAATATAGTCAAATGCATTGAAAATAAAAAATGTCAGTTACATCTATAACATCAGAAATGCATTCACGAAACAAAAAAAAAAAGAGAGATGGAAACAGCAATCCCATAGACAAAGATTGCTGAATTGTATAAATTCTCTTTAGAAACCTTCAAATTACTACAGTCCACTTACAAGAACATACTCTCAGATCACGAAAGAATGTAATAAACAGAGAAACCCCTAAACTCTACCAAATCAAATATACTCGATCGAGAAACTTAATTGAGGAAACTACCTCGGATACGTAAATTCAACCGTCTCAATTAACAAATAAAGAAACTATCTGTAGAAATTCGCATACCGAATCCTCGAGTTTTACTTCGATCTCAAAGTGAGTCCCCTTGAGAGTTTTCACAAATATCTTCATCTTCTCTCACCGGGCAAATTCCCTTCCCAGTGACCGATTTCTCCGGCAAGGATTCCGTTCAGATTGATCGCCGCCGGCAAATAAATTCGAGAAAGAGAGTAGGTAGCTGAAGAAGGTACTACAGAATCTGGCCCCTACCTTTGCGTTCCCTCGATATCTCCACTGGATTGTGGCCGAAGCACATGCCTTGTGCTTTCAACTCTGCCAGGTCAGCCGTCATTCATCCAATTAAAATATGCCACGTACTGTTGACATTTTCCTCAATACAGTCTTGAATAGATAGGCCCAAAATGTCACTTAAACGAAAGCAGATAGGCTCAAAATGTCACTTAAACGAAAGCAGATAGGCCCATGATACTTTCAAATTAATCAACCCTCTTTGTTAATATAATTTCTTTTCTGGTTTACGGTTTTTTTTTTTGGCTTTTATTCGTAAAGAAAAGAAATTAATAATATCTAGGCCAATTCTTGAATTAATCTCTGTAAATAAGTTTGTACATATACTCTATTCTTTGGTCACAAGTCACAACGGAAAGTGAAAATTAAAAGGTGAAATAGAGAAATATATATTTAAAAAGTTATCGGCTCGACTTGACGATCATCATAGCCGAGCCGAATAGAGCTGATTGGGGCAAAACTTCTGAGGCAAGCTACAACGGAGCTCAAAGCATTAGCTCAGTCTTACACGTGCTCTCCTTCTGACACGTGCCAAATACGCCGATCCTTCTCTTCTTAACAGGTACCACATGATACGCACGTGACACCGGCTCGAGCCCTAAAGTTAGGTCAAGCTTTATCTCGCCGGAGCCCTGCACAGTCGGTGGCGAGAATGCCAAAACCTCCGAGACATTGCTCTCCGATTCCTTGCTCTCTCCTTCATGAGCAGCCACTATTTCAGACTGATGACTCAAAGACGACTCGTGACTAGCTTCGCCGGACTTTCCCTCCGATTCCGCCTGTTTCTCGACGGTGGATACCCGCTTAGCCCGGCGAGTTTTCGGCCGTTTCAAATCGGTTGAGCCAGTAGCCGCAGCGGCGGCGGCGGAGTTATCATCCTTGGAGATATGTCGGATATCGTAGATCTTAAGCGGCGGACCTTGGCCGATCGTCGCAGCGTCTGTGGCGATCTCTTTGATCGGTTCTCCTTTCATCACAGCCTCAACGGCGTCTTGACAAAGCTGCCAATTCCCCGACCACAACAAACCCACCGAACCATAGATCGGATTCACAATCCTCCCACAAGCTTCGTGCAACAACGATCGGAAAATCCCTGCAAAAATATTTACCCTAATTTGGTTCAAAAAAATGACCTAACACAAAACGACATCGTTCGAAAGTAGAATTCACAACTGCCATCAAACGACGCCAGTTTGTCAAAAGGTTTAAAGAAAACCACTAACCAGGACGAAGGTGATTGGGACCGGCGTTAATGAGGTTCATGAGTCCAGCACGGCCATAAAACTTGGCGAGAAACACAGTTGCATTAGCTTGCGCTTCAGGCGATTTGATCCAAGCCAAACACGGTCTTATACTACAATCCTCACTACACCCTTTTCGAAGAACTCTGCATCCATTACAGCTCATCCGCATCTTTGATTTCGAATGTCTTACAAGTAACAACAACTTGATCGTACAAAACACAAACCCAACACACAAGAAAACGATTTGAAACTTTTTGTCTCTGTTTCGAAAGTTATTTCTGAGATTTTGTGGGAGGTGACGATGAAAATTCACTAACTATATAAGAAAGACGATATCTTTAAAGGATTGTGTGCGTGTAAGAAGCCCCTGGGTTTTTGGGGAAGCGGAGAGATTATAAAACCAAGGGAAGAAGGCAGAAGACAAAGAAAACAAGATAAGAAGAGCTGTTTTCCTCTAAAGACAAGGGTTGTTTTGTCTTTTAATTGCGAAATCCTTCCTTTTTTTTCCCAGAACCGCCGCTGTTTTTTGTCCCTGGTTCAAGGTTTTGCTTCTTGTGTTTCTTCCCCAAGTTATGTTTTTGTCCCCACTTTCTATCCAATGCGCGTGTCCTGCACGTGCCATAACATTTAATACAATTTTTAATGCTGTTTATAAATTCTGGATTTTACAATCTAATTCGTTCCAAAACGATTTAATTTGGTTGTTGATTAGATCATCTTACCAATTCAGAGTATCTATGAAGTAGGATTTTTGTTAAATTGTCCTAAATGTGTTAGATAGAACTAGACTTTTTGTGTTATCTTTTGGTCAAAAACTGTGATAAGAACACGTGGCTTCCACGCTCGCGAGTCAGAAAATTCGGTCGAATCGCCACGTAATTCATCCAGATGGGATTTGAGTCATTTGAGGAGTATTTGGAGAATTGGGGCCCACATTTATAGCTCCTGGTTTTCTGGAAAAGAATCTGTTTAACAAAACTGCTTTTAAATATGTCCAAAACTATTGACTGGTTTCTGGTTTTCGGTTTCCGGTTTTTGATCTTTTCTTCTTCTCTCACTGTGGGCGGATCTCTGTTCGCCGACGGTTTTGCAAATAAACGTAATCTTAAGTCATTTTACTTAATAAATAAATAAAATTATCTTTAATCACCTTTAGTTTAATTCAGACAACCAACAATCAGCTTTGATATTCTTAATTAATCCACTTTAATTTAATTTACACCTAGTAGAATACATTACAATATCTTGAGACCCATTTTGTTGCACATTTGATTTGAGTTTAATGGATTCTGTCAAAAGTAATTTCTAAAAAGCCACATGTAACATTTAACAACAAAACAAACCATATAGCATTCCATACATAATCATCTGATCAGTATTATACTTCTACTGCAATTCGTATCCATGGGTTTGGTTCAAAGTTTAATGAGTTCTAAACAAAATAAATTAGTCAAATACAATTTACATTCCTTTGGTTAGAGGTTTAGGTTGACGACAATATTGAAGTAATCTTTTTTTCGTTGAACAGACCGTACGTAATTCGGAAGTGTCACGTTACGTAGTCAACCACGGATGGCTCCGTTTCATTCGTATCCAACGAGACAAGACAATTAAAATCTAAAGACAGCAGCTTGTTCGAATGATACAAAAGCATTTAACATTTTAAATATATCAAAATTACAATTTACAAAGATTTGTGAATCTCTAGAAAGAAGAATCGTTACTATACAGAGAAAAGAGAACAATACTCCAAATTGGTTTTAATATGTTACAACGAACGAGACTCATTTAATTTTACGTAATTTAACACATAAAGCCTCGATCTTACCCATATATATACACAACACTGAACCTCATCATAGTCACAGAAAACTGCGGTAAAAGCCTTGAGTGATCTTTAATCTTCCTTCCCCTCTTCTTCTGCAAAAATATATATACTTGCTTCAAAAATAGAGTCTTGATTCTGGATCTTATGTACACTTTATGAATCTCTTTGTTCCTTCTTCTTTCTAGGCCATGGCAGGTATGCTTGAGTTTTGGCGGTCCCTGTTCAAGCAATCAAACCCTTCTACTCTAACAGTTGCTGGTTTCACCCCAAACTTCATTCTACCACAACCTCCTCCTCCTGCCTTAACACGAGATGCAGATGAGAGAAGAGGGGAGAGTGAGGGTGAGACAGTGATGAGTTTCTCATCTCCAAAGCGTGCATCTTGAGCTAACGGGTTTGCTGCTCGGCTCGGGGGAGACCCAAGGAAAAATGGGGGTGATGTAGATGATACTGATTCCTATAGAAAGAAGAAGACAAGAACCATAATTTAGATCTCAATACACAAAATGTGGACAGTAGCTTTTCAAATTCAACAAAAGATCAATCTTTCTATGCTACTATATAACTAAGAGTTGATACGATGTCCAAACTAAAACAAGGAGAAGCTTTGGAAACCATCTTGTAGAACAAGAATCATAATCCAGTCAAGTAATATCTGATGAAGACAATAATATATGGACCACTGCTTTAGAATTCACAAAGATAGATAAACCACTTGAAGCAACTATATAGCTTAAAGTTGATTACTATACAAAGAACTTCAATTAAAGAAAGACGGTTCAAACAAATAGAAATTTAATAGACATTGCTTCAATGCAACATTTTTGAAACAAATTGAAAAAAAGAGACAAACCTTTCTACGAAATATGTCCAAAAGATCTTCCCCGGCTTTAGAATCACACACATCATCAGCTCCTGATTGACTGTCAATCCACAAAGCAAAGCAAATCAACATTTTTTGTTATAAAAACCAATTCGATGTTTGGATGGACAAAGATAATAAAGGAAGAAACTTTATACCTAAAATGTAATCTAAGGGGACGAATAACGTTGTTGGCACGACGGGGCTTAGGGCAAACAACAGAGTCCATTGGATGACAATAGATAGGAACAAATCCTCTCGAATCGTCACGAGACATGAAGGCGTTCTGCTGAAGGCTACAATGATTCATCTTCGAACCACTTTTTATCCACAGAAGAGCAACTAATCTGTGCATCAAGTGAAACAAGAGAGAGAGAGAAAGATCAGAAACAAAAATAGGTTTTTTCAAGAAAAAGAAGTGAAAGATGTGTAATTTAAAAACTCCAATGGATAAGAAATCGGATTTACTTGGTAAAATCTGAACAAATTTCTCCTAAATTCGTCCAGAGTCCCGTTGAATTCGAGAGAATTTACAAAAACTCGTTTGAGGATCATTTCGAAATTCATTCAGAGAGAGATGGATATAAAAAGGGTGTTTTGAAAATGCCAACGAATACATTGACTAAAAGAAACCAATTTCATAGAATATAGAAATTAAAGAACACACAAGTATTGACTATACTAAAAACAGAAAAACTTTCACAAGACTAAAAAGAAAACGAAACAAGATAAGAATTATAAACCTTAGATCTGCAACAAACTGTCTACAAGGCAAATAAAGAAACTTTGATCTGTCATTTCCGACATCAACGGAGCTTGATTAAAGAAGAAAGAGAAGCAAGCAAACCTGATAGATAATTCAAGACGAAACAGCGGCGATAAGGGTGACTGGGAAAGAGGAGAAAAAAGAGCGGCTATCAAGGCACTTTATATAAATGCTCTGACTTTGCTAGAAGAATAAAAAGGTTTTGTGTCTTTAAAAAACGGTGTCGTTCGCTTAGAATGATAATTTTTTGACGGTTTATTCGTAGTTATATAGTAGTATTTGTGCACAAATTGATAACTATACTCTTAACGCAAGTCGGTTATGTTTATCTTCTGTCGGCCGCAAGTCGTTAATTGTGTAACTTATAAACCATCAAACATTTCATTTATTTTTTAATGGTGATCAAAATATGTAATATATTAGTTTCTTTTAATATTTTATCTATATATAAATCCATGGTTATTGACTAAGAAAACCAACGGTCCGATGTGTTTTTTTTGGTTTAGGTCAATACAATTCTATATTTATGGGCTAGCCCGAAAAAAGTAATATAAATTGAGCCCATCTAAGGCCCAGATTGGTTATAAACAGTGATTAGTGAATCCAGACCGTCCAAAATAGGGATCTCGAGAAACCCTTAGTATATAAAGCTTTGCTTCACCGAAATTGTGTCGCCTCCTTGAACAAGAAGCTCTGAAAGCCGTAAACTTCTAAGGTTCTTGGTCGTTCTTAACTGGTACGCTTCAAAAGCTTTCCTTTCTCTGTACTCTCCTTTCTGTGCAAACCACGAAATGGCTCTCGTTTTTGTAATTGCTCTCTCGGGCTTTTTTCTTCTTCCGGAGAAAGATATTAGATTTAGTGTACTAGGGGTTTAATTAGGATTACAATTATGTGCTTTATTTTGTGATCAATGGACAAACAGAGGACTTCCTCTAGGGTTATAAGCTCTTTGTTTGCTTTACTTATATGAATGTGATAAATGTCTCTCTAATTTGGATTCTTAGGTTATTTATGAAATTTTCAATGATTGAGTGTTGCGTGTAGCTCCATAAATTTGCTTTGTAATTTAGATTTTGAAGATGAGGAAACTTATTAGTATTTCTGGTTCAACAAAGCTTTAAAAACATTTCTTGCCGAGAGATATCAGTATTTTGGTTATTTTAGTTAAGAACTGTCCTAATTTCGGGAAAATAAATCAAATTGGTTTGATCATTATGTGGATGTACATACTATTTGCTAGCTTTTAAATTTCATTAGTCATATGTAAGTTGCCTTTTTAACCTAAAATTAATTGGCTGATTTTTGTGTCTTTTCTTGTAACTGTTGTAGATCTGTCAAGATGTTTTCTGGTCAGTACAAGATCCACAAGGATAAGGGTGTGGAACCAACAGAGTTTGAAGAGCAAGTTACTCAGGTTTTTGTCCTTGCTTTATTATTGTCTACGACCTATGAGTCTTTCTCTTTTTGTTTTATTGGTTGCTCATCGATTAGAATGTTGATTTCTTTTTTACTTACAGGCTCTCTTTGACTTGGAGAACACCAACCAGGAGTTGAAAAGCGAGTTGAAAGATCTCTACATTAACCAAGCAGTGTATGTACTTGTTTTCTCCGTTGGAATGATTTTAATTTTGGTTTCCATACTAAATTGTCCGTTTATTTCTTTGTACAGTCATATGGATATTTCTAGCAACCGCAAAGCTGTTGTCATCTACGTTCCATTCAGACTGAGGAAAGCTTTCCGCAAGATTCATCTCCGTCTTGTCAGAGAGCTTGAGAAGAAGTTCAGTGGAAAAGATGTTATCTTTGTTGCTACCAGAAGAATCATGCGTCCCCCAAAGAAAGGCTCAGCTGTTCAGAGACCACGCAACAGAACTCTTACTTCTGTCCATGAAGCCATGCTAGAGGATGTCGCTTACCCTGCTGAGATTGTAGGAAAACGAACCAGATACCGTCTTGATGGCACCAAGATCACAAAGGTAAAATGTTTACTAATTCATTAATCTTCGTCCTGTGCTTTAAACTGTTCTATAACATGACTCGTTCCTTTTATCTTTGGTCAGGTCTATTTGGACACTAAGCAGAAGAACGACACTGAGTACAAGCTTGAGACAATGGTGGGTGTGTACAGGAAACTTACAGGGAGAGATGTAGTTTTCGAGTACCCAGTCATAGAAGCTTGAAGAGACGAATGTTTGTTTTATTCTTTTTTGTCGGATAGAGAGCTTTTGATTCTGTTTGGGAGTATAACTCTTTGAAAAAGATTTTCTTGTTTCATCAACTTCTCAATCTTCTTCAAAGTTCTGTGACTTCTGTCTAACAAGACCCTTATTTTTTCCTACTAGCATTTCATAGTTTCAGAAACAAAATTTCAAAAAATTCCCACATTTTTTTTTTTTTTTTTTTTCACATTGAATTTGTTATTTCAGAGCACAAAAGTGATTTGACACTTAGATTAAAAAATCATACAAGAACTGAAAGAAAAACAAACATGTGTGTACTGTGTAGTTTGACTATAGAGGATACAAAAACCTACTGTTGATTCCTGCTCTGTACAACTTCAAGTCAGATGATGACCTCAAGTGAATCTCGGTATCTGCAGGCACAAATAAAACATCTCCCATTGAAATCCCATCTGCTGATGCTTCTGTAGACATTCTTCCTTCACCTTGGAGTACAAGCAGAAGAGAAGGGCCTGGAACAGAGGGAAACACTGTCGAGGCACCACTGGGAAGATCACACAGATCAACTTCAAACTCTTCGAAAGGCGGGAGGTATCTTGTGATGTATGGTCGAATCCTTGATCCCTTTAGGATTTCCGGATATCCCTGAAACTCAGAAATAAGACCTCAGTAACCAATCTGTGAACTTTCTTTGTGCGTCTTGGAATATACTTTTGAGTTTGGTTGAAAGCTTTACCAGTTTATATGAGAGCATGGAACAAAGGGTTTGAATATCCAGAGGCTTGGAAGTGAGGCCAGCTCGTACTACATTGTCTGAAGTCGCCATGACCTCAAGGCATTCACCGAATAAGTATGCGTGGGGCTCGTTAGCACCGAGGTACAAGGCTTCGCCAGGATTGAGCTTCACATAGTTGAAGAAGAATGCAGATATGACTCCAATATCATTTGGATATTGCTTCTCTAGCTTCAAAACTAGCCATTCCTTGTCTGTCAGTTGGCGTTCCTGCGTATATTGAGAAGGTTTCAGCAGTGGCATTGACAAGGCAATTAAGAGAAGGAATCATCTGAAAAAACAATCGAGCAAAGTAGACGGGGTAACAGGGAAGTTAGATGGCTGACCTGACTCTCCATATGCAGACGGCGTTTTAGTTTGGATACTATTTTCTTTGTTGTATCGGGATCTGCAGACATTAGCAGGGTGAAGATTGTTCGGACAACAGATTTCACTTTTTCCTCATCAGGTTCACTGATGCAGAAAACTTGGTTTGCTTCTTCACTCCCAACAAGTTCCTCAATCTCCGGAATAGCTTGAATGACACTCTTAAGCTCCTGCAACATTATTACAAGAAGAAACTTAAATCCTTCAATTCTGAAAGATAAGCTAACAATTCTAAAGTTTTGAAAACTGAATAACATGTAGCAGAGATTTCATAGAGCTGCTCTCCAAAATTAAGTTGTTTCCAAAGTTTTGGTAATGTGTTCATATTTGAAATATATCCAGAGGAAAAAATAGGAAAGAATGAATCATGTGCAACAACATGAACCAACAGAAATACTTGTTCAGCGTGTCCAATCTCAAACCTTAGACTCAAACTTAGAGCAATAGAGAAGGAGACACTACAGCCATCAACTCATCATGGAATTTAGAGTAATAGACCAAACAACATGTGTTACACCTGTCGAAATTGGGAAACTAAGTGGGCCATTGCATAGGTTCATCTCTAATGTACAGAAAACAAAAAAAATTAAGAAATGATAAAGTACAGTGATAACATAGCAATGTGATACCTGAAGAGGTATAAAGCCACATAGAGCCTCGAATTGAGTATAGGCCAAAGCCATTTCTGGTTTGTGATTGTCATCTTTATAAAGATTAGGATGAGCTTTGTGCATTTTCTTTGCTAATTTCTTATCTGGATGTGCTTGAATCGACAAGGGCCTTGCCACCGACAACACCTACCAAAATTTTACAAAATTCAAATCACATTTCTGCAACACACAGCATAAAAGAACTAACAGTACATATTCAACTCCATATCAGACGAAATGAGCAAAATCAATTCAGAAAATCATAAAATGCAGAGACTTTGTGGGAAATTGAACAATGTGGCAATGTCTATACCTTGAACAGAAATGGGAGATCGCAACCCCATTTCTCCAAAACCCTATCTCCAAGAGATTTAGGGTTTTCGGTGATCCACGATCTAAGGGTCACGCCATTGCTTCCATCAGCATCCTCCAAGTAACTCGGACCGGACTCGTGAGTCCCCATCCAAAGCTCGGCGTAAGGTCGTGTAGGATCGATCTGGTCATCAGAGTTAGCCGCATAAACCCTGTAAACGAGTGAATCCGATCCAATTTTGCCCCAATCGTAATCCTTAACAGAGCATCTCAATCGGCGAAGCCGTCGTCGATCCGCTTCACAACCGCCATTAGCCTTAACGACAGTAGCGATCTCCATTACACCAAAACTCACGATTACGAATCTAAATCCGTGTCTCGGAGGGAAATAAATATCTCAAGTATAATAAGCTAAGCGCCCATGTCAATGGAAGACTCAAAGCTTTTCTCTTTACCCCGAATCGTGGAAATTTTTGTCTTTATAAACAGAGGAAGGTATGATTGCAAAATCAAAAGTGTGGGGGTCAAAAGTGTGAATAAAATAGAAATGTGGGGCTGCGATGTTTAACTTAAGAAAGTGCAAAAGTGACAGATGTTAAAAGAAATCACGTGTTTTGCCGACGGTATTAACGTCCGTCCGTTGGTTGTGGGCCGTTTGCTAGCTGTCCACGTGGACTCTAATGATGACTCACTCTCACGTCTTAAAATTATTTTGTAGTTTTATTCAAAATAAACCGACAAAATGTACCAAAATAAAATGTTCAAAACGTTTTCATTTTTTTTACGATAATTCCAAATTTACTCTTTTATGATTTTAACAAATAGAACAAGATCTAATATTGACAAAGGAAACAATAAATTTAAAAAAATATATAGCCGAAGCGTTGAGTAGAATAAAAAGCTTGTTAGTTTTTCTATTCAGACCAATAAAATCTTCATTTTTGTGTTGTAGTAAACTGTAAACGTCATACATCCAAGTTATGAAACACCAAACATTAACTAAATAACAGAATTGGAATGTGATTGTTAAAAAAAAAAAACAGAATTGCAATGTTCAAATCATTTAGATTTTATTTTAAAAAAATTTGAATCGCGTGATAAAATAATTTAAAATTTATTCATATTATTTAAATTAAGAAAGATATAAAATGTTAAATTTATTAATAATCTTAATTTGTATTTTAAAATACAGTTTGTGGTTTGGGTTTACATTCTGGGCCTTATGTTATTAGCCCATTAAAATATTATGGGTCCAACGCCGTTTGATACGTTTCTGACGGCGCGTGACTGTCGTTCCGTTCCACGTGCGGGCACGTCATCTTATAGACTACAAGTACAACTGTAAAAGGACCAACAAGCAGCATCTTTTGTATCTCCCGTCGGAATCTAAATCAACTCCTACTTCTTTCTCTCTTTACTCAACTCCCCTTTAACTTTTAGCTTTTTCCAAATTTCACCCCTATATAATTTTATGACACACCAATACCCATCTTTTCTTCTACAATCTCCCACAGAATCACACACTTACAAACAGGCACATGATCTTCTCCTTATCATACTCGCTGCTAAACTCTCAAAATTTTGATGTGTGAGACAATTCATGAATTCATTGTCGAAAATTTTGATTGATTCGAATATTAAAAAAAGCTAGAAACATGCCAAAGAGTCTGTTGTCAAAATGTGTTTTGGTAATATATTATGTTGAATATTTCCCACCTTTCATTCTTCATTCATAAACTTGGTGACGTGGGTTTATTTCCAATATACAAGTATAAGGTTCAATTTGTAAATATAACAAAATATTGGGAGCTATTTTGATAAAGTCAAAACAGTGGGCCAAGAACTACAAAATTACCATGAACATGAGAGAGTGAGAGAAGATCAACCAATCAATCATAAATCTCTCTGTGTACCACATGCATTACTACTGTTGACTCGTTCCGATTTAGTGAAAAAGGGTAAAGTAAAATCAAGCCGGCGAATCTTCTTTCGTTTTCCGGCACCGATCGCGGTGGATCTCCGATTTAAATGGCGGCGGACAATGCGTATCTGATGCAGTTTGTCGACGAAACCTCTTTTTACAACCGAATCGTTTTGAGTCATCTTTTGCCGGCGAATCTCTGGGAACCCTTACCTCATTTTCTCCAGACATGGCTCCGAAATTACCTCGCCGGAACCCTACTCTACTTCATCTCCGGCTTCCTCTGGTGCTTCTACATCTATTACCTTAAAATCAACGTTTACCTTCCCAAAGGTCTCGACTTTCAATTATGTTTTCACTAATGCTTAAGAGTTTTTTCTGAGTTTGATGGCTCTCTTGTGTTATCGATTTTCAAATTAAGAAAAGGGGTTTCTTTGTGTACTGTACTGTAATTTGGATTTGATGTACGATAAAATTTGATGGGGATGGTTCATGTTTGCATTTATTGATTATTTGTGAGGTAAGCAAGCATGATTACAAAATCCTCCATCTAAGGGATTGAACAGTTAGTTGCTGATATAATAAGTTCTTGTGCAACCAATGAAAAGTCATAGATCTTTGAAGTTGAATTTTCTACTGTATGTATACTTGGCATTTAACTCAACTTAAATTGATACTGATTGTCTACGTTCAATCTTGACTTAATTCGATATTTGAAGCACATTCTTTTCTGCTTCTCTGAAACTTTGCCTGTAAAAGGATATATCATTAGTGTTTCTCTAAGAAAATTGTAGTTATTGCTTTAATTCTTCAAAAACCTCTAAGCCGTTGTCTTAGTTTGAATGAAACCTTTTTTGATCTGTTTTGCTTCAGATGCCATTCCTACAATAAAGGCTATGCGTTTGCAAATGTTTGTGGCAATGAAGGCTATGCCTTGGTATACTCTTCTTCCAACTGTCTCCGAGAGTATGATTGAACGTGGTTGGACCAAATGTTTCGCTAGCATAGGCGAATTCGGCTGGATCCTCTATTTTGTTTACATCGCCATCTATCTTGTTTTCGTTGAGTTTGGTATTTATTGGATGCACAGAGAGCTTCATGACATTAAGCCTCTCTATAAGTATCTCCATGCGACCCATCATATCTACAACAAGCAAAATACACTCTCTCCATTTGCCGGTAAGTGTTTTCAGTATGTTATTCTTTATTCATTTGCCAGTAAGAATTTTATAAATGTCAGCTGCATTACTTCACATATGTCAGAGAAACTTATGCATTAACCAGAGTTTAAAACTTTGTTTCTCTTCTGGTCTCGGACTGATTGGAAAGTACTAGAAGTTCTTTTTATCTACTTGCCTGGAGTGTATCTTGGTTAATCCAAGAAAGTCGCATCTAGTATGACTTCTAACTTACGTATGGTTTGGTGTTCAGGGCTTGCGTTTCACCCAGTAGATGGGATACTTCAGGCTGTACCGCATGTGATAGCGCTGTTTATAGTGCCAATTCATTTCACAACCCATATAGGTCTTTTGTTCATGGAAGCGATATGGACAGCGAACATCCATGACTGCATCCACGGCAACATCTGGCCTGTAATGGGTGCAGGATACCATACGATACACCACACAACATACAAGCATAACTATGGTCATTATACCATATGGATGGACTGGATGTTCGGCTCCCTTAAGGATCCTCTTTTAGAAGAAGATGACAACAAAGACAGCTCCAAGAAAGCAGAGTGAGAATGCCCACTTGGTTTTTTTTTCTGTTTTGTCTTGTGTTCTGCTTGCTTGTTGTGGTCAAAGTTTCAGCCTTTCTTGTTCGTTTTCTTTTTCATGTGTCTCTCACAACCTTTCCAATTAGTTTGTTACAGACATTTGCTGTGTAGTTTAAAACATGTAAATGTTTGATTTTTGCAAGACTCCATTTTTGTTAAAGGTAAACCTTGAAACAAAGATTTTGACTTTTCTGTCAATCTTGCGCCACCAGTTGTGGCATTGCGAATGATATGTCTTCGTCAAATATCAAAATTCGGCCTGGCCCAATATATAGCTGGGCCAGTAGACCCGCTACTGATGAGTAATGACTTGTCCTTTTCTTGTTGAACAAGTCAACAAGCAAAACACACACTCTCTATTTGCCGATATGTCAAGTTATGTTCTCAATCTAAGTTCAAGAATGTTGTATCAATAGTGACTTCTTTACTTAAACGTTTTTCCGGTTTTCCAGGGCTCGCATTCCATCCGTTGGACGGGATACTTCAGGCTGTACCGCATGTGATAGCGCTGTTTATAGTGCTGATTCATCTCATAACACATCTGATCAGTTTTTAGTTTTTTGGAAGGGATATGGACTGATGGACAGCAAGCATCCATGGTAAAATTTGGCCTATAATGGTGCAGGATACCATACACCATAAGACATACAAGCATAACTATGGTCACTATACCATATGGATGGATTGGATGTTTGGCTCCCTTAGGGCTCCTTTAGCAGAAGAAGACAGTTTCAAACAGAAAGAAAAGTGAGAATGTTCAATGCTCACGTGTCTCTTCTTGATATGTTGTTGTTCTCGTGACTCTTACTTAAACCTTTCTAGTTTCTAAGCACTTTGTGGGAATTAAATAAATCACAACACTGTAAAAAGCAAATCATTTAAATATTGTAAGTTTGTTTTATCTGAAATGGTTGTAGCTATAAATCACTCTCTCTACCACAAACATTTTCAGTAACGCTTAAGCACAGTTTAACTTTTCTTGGCGGTTTCATGGCGGCGACTACGGCAGATCATAATCAGTTCGTCAATGAGACCTCTTTTTACAACCGAATGGTCCTGAGTCACCTTTTTCCGGCGAGTCTATGGGAACCTTTACCACATTTCCTACAGACATGGCTCCGGAACTACCTTGCCGGAAACATACTCTACTTCATCTCTGGCTTCCTCTGGTGCTTCTACATCTATTACCTTAAACCCAACGTTTACGTCCCCAAAGGTGCTTTTTTTTCTTTCTTTCAATTTTCGATCTTCTATTTTTTAAAAGCACGTAAATATAGTTATTTCTCAACTTTGAATCTAACGATTTGGCTAATTTACGTTTTTAAGTTGAATTTTTGATCTCTGGATGAGGTTTGAGCTCAAAATGTATCTTGAAATTGAAAAAATGTGCTTTTAAGTTCTGTTTCTTGTGGGGGTTTCTTCTCTTTTGTGTTCAGATGCTATCCCTACAAGAAAGGCAATGATTCTGCAAATATCTGTGGCAATGAAGACTATGCCTTGGCACACTCTTCTTCCAGCTGTCTCTGAGTATATGATCGAGCATGGTTGGACCAAATGTTACTCTACACTTGACCATTTCAACTGGTTCCACTATATCCTCTACATAGCACTCTATCTTGTTATCGTTGAGTTTGGGGTTTACTGGATTCACAAAGGGCTTCATGAGAATAAATTTCTCTATAAGCATCTCCATGCGACCCATCACATCTACAACAAGCAAAACACAATCTCTCCATTTGCTGGTATGTCAAGTTATGTTTTCAATCTAAATTTAAGAATATGCTGAGTATCAATAGTGACTTCTTTACTTAAAACGTTTTTTCGGTCTTCCAGGGTTCGCATTCCATCCGTTGGACGGGATAATTCAGTCTTTACCACACGTGATAGCGCTGTTTATAGTGCCGATTCATCTCATAACACATCTGTGTCTTTTGTTTTCGGAAGGGATGTGGGCAACAAACATCCATGACTGCATCCACGGCAACATCTGGCCAGTAATGGGTGCAGGATATCATACGATACACCACACGACATACAAGCATAACTATGGTCACAAAACCATATTGATGGATTGGATGTTTGGCTCTCTTAAGGCTCCTTTAGCAGAAGAAGACAGTTTCAAGGAGAAAGCAAACTGAGAATGTTCAATGCTCACATCACATGTCTCTTCTTCATATATTGTTCTTCTCGTGACTCTTAAACCTTTCTAATCACTGTTGGAAATTAATAAATATATGTTGGAATCACTCATAAACTTCTTTCTTGTTCAACAAGTCACCTGGTTGTGACCATATCGCATACTTTGAGAGTCGAGGCTAATGATAGTAAAACGCTATTTAACCCCCTAAAAGTTTAATCGTTTTCAAAGAATGGCCCCAGAGACTTGAAATAATCCATCACAAACCCTCCATATCAAAAATTCCTTAAATAAATAGCAAATCATTTAAATATTGTAAGTTTGCTTCATTCGAAATTTTAGCTACAGATCTCAAAGCTCCTCCTGTTGGCTATATCTCTCTCTCTCTATCTCTCACAAACGCATTCCTAGTAACGCTTAAGCAGAGTTTGACTTTTCTCGGCGGTTTCATGCATGGCGGTGACTAGTGCAGATTATAATCAGTTCGTCAATGAGACCTCTTTTTACAACCGAATGGTTCTGACTTCTGAGTCACCTTTTGCCGGCGAATCTATGGGAACCTTTACCACACTTCCTACAGACATGGCTCCGGAACTACCTCGCCGGAAACATACTCTACTTCATCTCCGGCTTCCTTTGGTGCTTCTACATCTATTACCTTAAACTCAACGTTTACGTCCCCAAAGGTGACTTTTTATATTTTCGATGTTCTGTTTTTAAGCCTTCTTTTGTTGATTCCTTCGATTGTATCGCCTGGTGGTTTCTGTTATACGTTTCAATTTGACGAACCTTACCCTCTCTTTGTTTTTCCCCTTACAGTTACTTTCAGTTCTTGTCTTCTACTTCTCATTTAATTAGTCTTGAAGTTTAATAATTTTTATTTCCAAGCAAGTAAATTTAGTTATTTCTCAAGTTTGAATCTAACTTACATTTTTTAAGTTGAATTTTCGATCTCTCGATGAAATTTGAGCTCAAATCTGATTGTGTTAGATACTTCATGGGGTACTGAACATTTTAGTGAAAGATTGTTGTGCTCAATTGTTGTTAGTACGTAGAAGTTTTAACCCATAGGAACATAAGTGTTATATTCATGTTAAGCTAATATTCAGTACCTTGAAATTCAAAAAATGTGGTTCTTAGTTCTGTTTCTTGTGGGGTTTCATCTATTTTGTGTTCAGATTCCATTCCTACAAGAAAGGCTATGCTTTTGCAAATATACGTGGCAATGAAGGCTATGCCTTGGTACACTCTTCTTCCTGCAGTCTCTGAGTATATGATCGAGCATGGTTGGACCAAATGTTACTCTTCACTTGACCATTTCAACTGGTTCCTCTGTTTGCTCTACATAGCTCTCTATCTTGTTTTGGTTGAGTTTATGATTTATTGGGTTCACAAAGAGCTTCATGACATTAAATTTCTCTATAAGCATCTCCATGCGACCCATCATATGTACAACAAGCAAAACACACTCTCTCCATTTGCCGGTATGTCAAAGCTATATGTTCTGAATCTATAAATTCAAGAACTTGGATCAATGGTGACTTATTTTCTCTATTAAATCGAAGGGTCAGTCTCTAAACTCAGTATATATAACTTTACTTAACGTTTTTCGGTTTTTCAGGGCTCGCATTCCATCCGTTGGACGGGATACTTCAGGCTGTACCGCACGTGATAGCGCTATTTATAGTGCCGATTCATCTCATAACACATTTGAGTCTTTTGTTTTTGGAAGGGATATGGACAGCAAGCATCCATGATTGCATACATGGTAACATTTGGCCTATAATGGGAGCAGGATACCATACCATACACCATACGACATACAAGCATAACTATGGTCATTATACCATATGGATGGACTGGATGTTTGGCTCCCTTAGGGTTCCTTTAGCAGAAGAAGACAATTTCAAGGAGAAAGAAAAGTGAGAATGTTCAATGCTCACATTTCTCTTCTTAATATGTTGTTCTTCTCGTGACTCTTAAAACCTTTCTTATCACTTTGTTGGAATTCAAAACATGACTGCATAATTTGAAGCAAAGTTTCTGACTTTTAGTTTTAAAATCTCTAATGATTATTAACCTTGTATAATTGCTGGATGAAGTTTCAAATTTGGTTATTATAGATTTAAAATCTGAAGGGTTTAATAGGTCAGATACGGTGTCAATTTTAGCACATTTTTTTCTTACCATCACCCAAAAAAACTAGCCAAAGTTTTACAACAGTAATCTTTGAATTTTCAGAACTAGTAAAATAATTATAATCATATGGTAGGTGAGGTTGCTCAAGATATGATGACATGTAAGAGGCAAAGTTTCCTTTTCTGTCGGTTAAGGTTAAGAATTTGAAGAGCAAGAAAACACACAAAAAAGGATGGAAATAACAATCAAAGTTTGAAAACATAACAAATTAAGACCTAAAAATTTACAGAATTTCAAGTCATTATTCTCTATACTTTATCTGAAACGCGTAGTCGCGTGTACTCTCTCTTTCATCCGCCATGGAAGTATAAGACACCTTTTTCGCTGCCCACTTTATTTTTTTTGGCTAAGCATCAAACAATTCACAAGGCGAGTCGATCAAAGACAGGTAAATTTCTTTTCTTTCTCGCTAAAATATTCTCCTTTTTGCTTTTTTTCTTTTCACAGGAGGAAATCGACTAGAGTCTGGTAAATTCTCTTCTGTAATTTCATTAAAAAAAATCTTCTTTTGAATATCCATGGGGGCATAAAGGTCGTTACTTTTACATGGGTTTTTGTAGATACATAAATATTGTCCACTCCCACTTGTTGTGTTGATTAGATTGTCCCTAGAGTCACTGTTTTGGTCTACTTATCGCTCTTTCAATTACTGTAATGTTGAATTGGGGTTTCATCTACTAAATAAGATGAAGTTTCTTGTCTCTTTCTGTCTCCCTCTTTCTTAATTGCTCCTCTTCAGCTAACTTTGGGGCTTTTAAGTGATACAATGGCTCGCTTCAGTTTTCCATGTTTTCCAAATTTTGGGGGTTTTAATCAGGTTTGTTGATTCTTATTGGAAAAGATTTAAATTTGGTGGGTGGGTTTTACTTGAATCTCTACTTTATATTTGATGTGTTCGTACAAGGTTGTGTTTGGTTTTATCCAGTTCCAAGTAATTAGGTGAAGTTTGCCTTTTTTTTGGATCTCATTGTAGATTGTTAGGTCTGCAATAGTCTTAATTAAACCTTCTAGTTTGCATATTATCAGTTCAGTGACTCTTGGTTCCAGATTCGTTTTGGTGGTCATAGTATTTTTAGTCATGGTTTGGTTCTAAGCGAGTAAGAATCTCTTCTGAATCTTCTCTGTTCTTCTCTCTTCTGGTTGTGTGGTTTGAGTCCTTTGCAGATAAGTGATATCTTTTGGTGTGAATCTTATATACTTTTTGTTTCCTGCTTGATTGATTGAACAGGGCAATGATAATTATATTCGGTGGTTAATGTAGAAGAAAGAGTTTCAGATCTTAACGAAACCAAATAGTAGTGGCAGATACAAATTTAGCTTAAATTTAGACCAGAAAAAAGAAAAAAATATCTCACCTGATTACATAATTTGTGTGATCATGAAACAAAGAATGAGCTGTGAATTGTACAATCAATGATTTGTTAGAAACATTGTCTGTGGAATTGTTAAGTTTAGTTAGCAATTTATGCAGGCAGGTTTGGTTGCATCAATTACATCATTAGATAGGCTTGATTTAAGACACTCATCATGTTTTATCACTACATGTAGCCGCAGTTGTACACCAAACCAATCAAAACTTGTGCTATTCAATCCAAATTTCATCTTCAATCAAATCTTCTTCCATAAGCATTAGCAAGTCAATAATTTGCATGTTCAATCGAGTAAAAGTACATGTGGTCATGTCAGGACATTTTAGGATCGGTGCATCCTTAATCTTGTTTCTTGGTATTCTTCATATTTCCCTGTTAAACTTATTACCTGTAAGAGTGTGTGATTTCTTGGGATGATCTTAGGCTGTGACAAATCGAGGGCCTGAGATTTCAGAAACTGCTGATAATTGGGTCTCACCATCTGACATTCCACTCATAGAACCTAATAGTAAAGAGGTACCCCTAATTGTTTGTCTTTTCGCCAACTATTTCTTGGCGAGTGTAGTCTATATCAAAACTTAATCTTGTGTTGCAACGAATACCATAAATTAGACATCAAATTTCCATATATTTCTTGTTTGCACATCATATTGGTCGTTATTGATGAGTTGAATTTAGGATAGCACTGTGATACAGCAGGTAAGTTTTATAGAGAACTCAATATTATACTACAAATAGCTTTTCTAACGAGTCCATGTAACTATTTTGACCCACAACAGCGGTCTCTTGCCGATTCTTTGCTTTTCACACACTACAAGTACTTTTCTTGCTTAGATTGTTGGCTTTTCCATCATAGTGTCCGCATTGAAATGTAAAGATAGAAAGGAAAAATTATTTGATTTTGGTGTATTTGATGTCTCTAAGCAGCACAGGATGAGAGAGGCACAGCTTGGCGCTCACACTTTGAGGTCCCATGGAATGACTGTTGCAAGGACTCACATGCATGATTGGATCATTCTCGTGTTACTTGTTATTCTTGAGTGCGTACTCCTTATAATCCACCCGTTTTATCGCTTTGTTGGGAAAGATATGATGACTGATCTCAGTTACCCGTTAAAGAGTAACACCGTACCAATTTGGTCTGTCCCGGTAAGCTTCCATTAAGTCAACTTCTAACATTGGCCTCAGACGTTTTTCACAGTATAAATAACGTTTCTTTTCTTCGGAATGACAGGTGTATGCGATGCTGTTACCTTTGGTAATCTTCATATTTATCTACTTCCGTCGAAGAGATGTTTATGATCTTCATCACGCGGTGCTAGGTCAGAATTTCTGAAGGAGAGTACTGTTTGCGTCAAAATGTCTTCTTTCGCATATATAATCAACATTAAAATTGGCCTTTCTCGATGTGCAGGTCTCTTATACTCTGTTCTGGTGACAGCAGTACTTACCGATGCAATAAAGAATGCAGTTGGTCGACCACGTCCTGACTTCTTCTGGCGTTGTTTTCCAGATGGCAAAGCTGTAAATGTTTTCAATGAGTTTTACTTATCTCGTTTTAAATCCTGTTCTGCCTCTTAAATCTTGAATTTGCTTCTCAGCTTTATGATAGCCTTGGAGATGTTATATGCCATGGTGATAAAAGCGTCATAAGGGAAGGGCACAAAAGCTTCCCAAGCGGACACACCTCTTGTAAGACCTAGTTACTGGTTTATAATTCAGAACTAGAAAGATGCTAAAGAGTAAACTGCGGGGTTGAATTGTTTTTGCAGGGTCTTTTGCGGGTCTGGGATTTCTTTCGCTTTACTTATCGGGAAAGATTCAAGCATTTGATGGTAAAGGCCACGTTGCAAAGCTATGCATAGTCATACTCCCTTTGCTATTTGCGGCTCTTGTGGGTATTTCCCGTGTTGATGACTATTGGCATCATTGGCAAGACGTCTTTGCAGGAGGCTTGCTAGGTTTGTTTTCTCTCTCTACTCAAAAAGGTCAAAACTTTTTCCCTTTAAACATCATTCAAAACTTATACCATTGTCTGAAATCGCAGGTCTTGTGATCTCTACAATCTGTTATCTCCAATTTTTCCCGCCACCATATCACACCGAAGGTGCAAACGAACTGCGGATTCCATTTATGGTTTGCTGAAAAGAAGTATCTTTTATATTGTGAATTGATTGACAAGGGTTTGATATTTTTTTAGGTTGGGGACCATATGCTTACTTCCAAGTGTTGGAGGCGGCGAGAGTGCAAGGAACCGCTAATGGAGCAATGCAGCAGCCACCCCAAGTTGATAACGGTGAAGAAGAAGACGGTGGGTTTATGGGTTTACATTTGGTGGATAATCCGACTGTGAGGAGAGAAGAAGATGTAGAAACTGGTAGAGGCTGAGATGAAGAAACTCTGAAGCTGGTTTGGTTACTTCTTAGGACACTTTCTCTTGTTCTTTTGATTCTTTGTTTGACTACTTAAGTAGATTTCTGTAAGATAACTTAGTAACAACTACAATCGTTTGGTTTTGGTTTTGGTTTAAATGGATGCCCGGTATTTATGGGTCCGGTATTGGTATTGATACTGGATAAATGTAGCTTTATTTTAACAATATTTTAAGAATTGAAATTGGATTTGAACTTACTCATAGAAAACTTAAACACAAGAAAATTAATATCTAAACTATCTTTGTCTTTTCTAAAACTAAAATTACATCTTTTACATCTATAATCAATGTGTATATTCGTATTCAAATAGTGTGAACTTTTTTGTGTGCGTTATTTATTCATACACTTGCGGACTTTACCTTACACAAAATTTTGAAATTTATTTATTGTTTACTGTTGTTGTTGGGTCACAATCAATACACGAAGAAATAATTTTTTATTTATTTAATGCAAAAACACAAAAGGATTTTTAAAAAAATATTTGTTTCTGTATGGGTGTTGAATACTTCCAAGTTCCAACTCTCTAATTAAGTACTGCATTTATGTTTCGTGTTCTTTTCTAATATTGCAAGTTTTGTAACGTCTGATTTTCATAGCTATTACATATCAACTTCGTGGAAAACAGACACGACACGAGTATTTCTCGATCAAGCCGATTGTTTTTTTACAAACGCCATGCGTTACCAAACTTTATTATGTACCAAAAACGATTCGTTAAGAATATAAAAAACTAAACATATCATCAATTTTTCAAAAATAAAATAAAAATAAACATACCATCAATGTGATGATTTGTTTATTGTAAAACCAAATAATTGTCATATGTCACACAAGTGCATAGTTGTATATTAATAAGTAAATATTAAACATAAGAGCTGGCTAGGGGGTGACATGTTTAACACTCCATCTTTTTGTCAACTCACTATATACATATACTCCTCTCTCTCCTCATAACACAGAGACACAAGGGCAAGGAGAAAAGAGAGAGAGAGAGATAGATAAATGACGATGGCTCTTCTCTTGAACTCGACGATGACGGTTGCTATGAAGCAGAATCCCGCGGTGGTGGTATCTTTTCCGCCGCCTGCTTGCTTGGGATATAGTTTTTCTCCTCCTCGTCGTCTTCGAGTTTCGTGTGTTGCCACAAACCCTAGGTGAGTATATTTTTAGATCTTCAATTCTTTTCGTTTATCAATTTTAATTTTTTTTTTGCTTCATAATGGTTAATTTCGTGGTATATGTTTAAGTAACTCATTGGATTTCCCTTTTCTAAAATATGATGAAAGTGTTAGATGATCATTTTGTTTTAAAGTATTTGTCTAATTGGCATATTCTGTCAAACCGAATCGAAACGGTACAAAACTGATCAAAAATGTAATGATTGTTTGTTCTATGTATATATCAGATAAAATGGCACTGAATAGTGAAAGTGAACAATATTGAACTTGAAAATACTTCAAATCAATAAAATTGATTGTGCGTTATTTGCATAAAAACACACAAAATCGCATGAATTGTTAGGTAAACTCATTGTATTGTTAATAACTTTTAAACTTTTAAATACTTGCAAATTAAAAACACGTTCTGTAAATTACAATAAGACACGAACCTGATTATCAAAATAACAATTTTCTTAACAATGAATATGTTATAGCAAGACGAGTGAAGAAACAGACAAGAAAAAGTTTCGACCCATCAAAGAAGTATCAAACCAAGTGACACACACAATAACACAAGAGAAGCTCGAGATCTTCAAATCAATGGAGAATTGGGCCCAAGAAAACTTATTATCTTACCTCAAACCCGTCGAAGCTTCATGGCAACCACAAGACTTTTTGCCGGAAACCATCGACGAAGACCGATTCTACGAACAAGTGAAAGAACTTAGAGATCGAACAAGAGAGATCCCTGACGATTACTTTGTAGTTCTTGTCGGGGATATGATCACCGAAGAAGCATTACCGACTTATCAAACGACTTTGAACACTCTCGACGGCGCCAAAGACGAGACCGGTGGTAGTCTAACACCGTGGGCGGTTTGGGTTAGAGCGTGGACGGCTGAGGAAAATCGACACGGCGATTTGTTGAATAAGTATCTTTACTTATCAGGTCGTGTTGATATGCGACATGTTGAAAAGACTATTCAATATCTTATCGGATCTGGTATGGTACGTTCTTTTCTTTTGGTATAAGCTAAATTGTTGTATTCCCATAAATATATATGTGCTCAAAATGTAAATTATAATTTTCTTAGGACCAAACTGATAATTGTATAATTGTTTTTCAGGACTCCAAATTTGAGAACAATCCCTACAATGGCTTCATCTACACTTCCTTTCAAGAGAGAGCCACTTTTATCTCCCACGGCAACACGGCGAAACTAGCCACGACCTACGGCGACACAACTCTCGCCAAAATCTGCGGAACAATCGCGGCAGACGAGAAGCGTCACGAGACGGCGTACACACGAATCGTCGAGAAGCTGTTCGAGATCGATCCCGATGGTACAGTACAAGCTCTAGCGAGTATGATGAGGAAGCGAATCACGATGCCGGCTCATCTGATGCACGACGGTCGCGACGACGATCTGTTCGATCATTACGCCGCCGTGGCGCAGAGAATCGGAGTTTATACAGCGACGGATTACGCCGGGATTTTGGAGTTTTTGTTGCGGCGGTGGGAGGTGGAGAAGTTAGGGATGGGTTTGTCCGGTGAAGGAAGGAGAGCACAGGATTATCTGTGTACCTTGCCGCAGAGGATCAGGAGGTTAGAGGAAAGAGCTAACGATAGAGTCAAACTTGGGTCAAAGTCAAAACCTTCTGTTTCCTTCAGCTGGATTTACGGGAGAGAAGTTGAACTATAAAACGACAAAGGTTGTTGCGTTTTTACTGTATTAGACTCTAAAACGTTAATGCGAGCTTATGGGCTTTAGTAATGTAATATGGGCCTTAATAATGTAATCAAGAAAGTATTTAGTAACAAAACGCTAAAAGATCTTGCGTTTTAGTGAAACAGTGGGTTATATATCATATGGCCCATGGGCTTTTAAAATAAGCGAAGAAAATATCTGAGTGGCATAGACGTAATTGAAAGAGTAGCTGAGGGATATTCTAGAGAACAAAAAAGGTTATATATTAATGTCCCTGGGCTCGATCATCACGCCCAAAGCTTCTGCTTCACATTGTCTCTTTTCACAGTGTCAGAGCATAGAAATAATCGAAAGTTTTTCTTTTTAAATTCTGGGATTTGCTTTTTTTGGTCATTGATCATCTTCGATTGATTTGAGTTTGTTGGAGAAGAAGAAAATGGCGATGGCTATGGATCGGATCGTCTTCTCCCCTTCATCTTACGTCTATCGTCCTTGTCAAGTTAGGGGATCCAGATCTTCCAGAGTTTCCATGGCTTCTACGATTCGCTCTGCTACTACGTGAGTTTTAATCTCTTCATTTCGAATTCGTGGGCTTATTTCTTTCTTTAATGTTTTGAATTTGTCCTGATCTGGGTTTGCTTTGAGTATCGATGATAAACCTCTGGCTTTGGTTGATCCAGTTTCTTGTTTTCATCAATTTGGTTCCCAATGCACTCTCATTATGTGTAATTACGAGATATACTATTAGTTTCTGGTTCGTGAAAGGATGAATTTGCTTCATATGTATGTTCAAATCTTTCATTTTTACTCGTTTTCTGATTTAGATCAAAGAATCTTAATTTTTTCTCTTTCCTTGAAAAATTGTTTGATTTGAAAATCTATCCTTACATGCAAAGGACAATCTTTGCTATTCTCTTCTTCTTTCCCAAACGCATGCATGACTTGTTTTGTGTTTTTGAATTTCTTTTTACTTGGTTGTTGACCCATAAGACTACTATACTAATCAATTTCTTATTCATTTATTCTTTTGTTTGTTTATTATGTTAAGAAAGCTTAATGGTGTTGTTCAGGATTGTTGTGTAGTACCTGCTTAGGTATTTTCTAAAGCTGTATTTGGTTTTGATTACAGAGAGGTTACGAATGGAAGGAAACTGTATATCCCTCCTAGAGAGGTGCATGTTCAAGTGAAACATTCAATGCCGCCACAAAAGTTGGAGATCTTCAAGTCTTTAGAAGGATGGGCTGATGAAACCCTATTGACTTATTTAAAACCTGTTGAGAAATCGTGGCAGCCTACCGATTTTCTTCCCGAACCTGAGTCAGAAGGATTTTATGACCAAGTCAAGGAGTTAAGGGAAAGGTGTAAGGAACTTCCTGATGACTATTTTGTGGTGCTTGTTGGGGATATGATCACTGAAGAAGCACTTCCTACTTACCAGACGATGTTGAACACATTGGATGGTGTTAGGGATGAGACAGGAGCAAGTCCTACTCCTTGGGCTATATGGACCAGGGCTTGGACTGCTGAGGAGAATAGACATGGGGATCTTCTTAACAAGTATCTTTATCTGTCTGGTCGAGTTGACATGAGGCAGATTGAAAAGACAATTCAGTACCTGATTGGTTCTGGAATGGTAAGCTCTGCTAACTTTCTTTTTTTGCTTTAACCCCTAAGCCCCTGAAGTTGCATTTACTCCTTAGTAAAAAGTAACTGGGGTTGGGAATACAACCGTTGCCTGCTTATTTGAATTGACTGTAAATTCAATAGGTAGGGGAACAGAAGAGGAATAAGTTGGAACCATTTACCAGTTTTTACTTATTTTTGGAACTTATCTTGTCATTTCTAAGTGAAGCTTGAATTGATTTGGCAATGATTAATCGCAAATCTTTCTTTTAGCAGCATAAGCATAGTTTATGTTTCAAGTTCTGAAGATATAGTTGAAGCGATTCTTCTTAGCTGCCACTTTAAAACGCTTTTACGGTTTAGCATTGTCTGTAGTTTTGTACTCCTAATTTCTGATATATGATTGATTGATTTGTCTTATTATTTTAGGATCCAAAAACTGAAAACAACCCTTACTTGGGTTTCATCTACACTTCCTTCCAAGAGAGAGCGACCTTCATCTCCCATGGAAACACTGCCAGACTGGCGAAAGATCGTGGAGATTTGAAACTTGCGCAGATATGCGGGACCATTGCTGCTGATGAGAGGCGTCATGAGACTGCTTACACCAAGATTGTGGAGAAGCTCTTTGAAATTGACCCTGATGGCACGATCTTGGGCTTGGCTGATATGATGAAGAAAAAGATCTCAATGCCTGCACATTTAATGTATGATGGCCAAGATGATAACCTGTTTGAGCACTTCTCAACCGTTGCCCAGAGGCTCGGTGTCTACACCGCCAAAGACTATGCTGATATTCTGGAGTTTCTTGTTGAACGGTGGAATGTGGAGACTTTGTCAGGCCTTTCTAGTGAAGGACACAGGGCCCAGGTAAATTACCTCCATGAAACTTCTTGTGATAAAACCTCCAAGTTTATGAATAATTATCATAATCTTATAGTAGTTTTTGGTCATGAATACTATATTAGATACTGTTTTGTTGATCTGATCGGGACCTAAACTTGAATTCTGACTCCATCATTGCCTTTGACAGGACTTTGTCTGTGGACTTCCTGCAAGAATCCGCAAAATTGAAGAGAGAGCTCAAGGAAGAGCCAAAGAAGCAGCCAAAAACATACCATTCAGCTGGATATTTGGTCGAAATATTAGGGCTTAAGAAGTTTACTACACAATTCTCTTTCGAACTATCCCAAGTAAGCCATAAAGGTCTTCACCAACCATCTCACCAATGAAGGACCAGTTTTAAGACCACGAAAGTTCATTTGAATATGTTTTGTTTTATACGGAACATTGTAGATAAAGTTATGTGGTTAGGTTATGTTTCTTGTTTGAATCAGTCAAGACCAAAGAAAATTGAGTGTTATTAGTGATGTTGTATGGTTACCAAGAACAAGACTTAAGAGTTTGCTTTACCTTTTTGTTGTATCAGTCTAAATAATGTTCTCTCTTAAGTAAAGAGTGGTTTGTAACTCAACCCATTTTCTCTCTTGTTTGTTTAGGCATTTGTAAAATACTCCTTTCGTTTCTTAGTTTCAGATGTTATATATAAAACCAAAAACTAAGCAAAATCTGGATAAAAAATTTCAATTTGTAAATAAATAAACCTTCTTGAACTCGTAACCAATGGATCATTGTTCTGTCGTGCTTGCTCAAAGTTCCTATTTCTATAGTTCTAGAAAACTTGGGTACACATAGTTCAATGAATATCATTAATTAAGTTTACTTATGCAAGACATATATTCAGAATCATCAACAAAGTAATCAACCAATTCAATTCTTCAATACATATAAACCAAACCCTGAAAAACAGATCAAACTAACATTTGATACAAACTCTCTTCTCTCAAACAATATCATTACAAGAAATCACTTTTCTTCAAACTTGGAACGCCCATGGCGAATTCTTGAGAGTGTCTTCACTCTGAACCTTACCAGTCCTCTTCATAGCAACTCCATCACCATCGACATAAGCATAGTACTTCAAGAAGAAGGCAAGAACAAGAACGATCCACTCAAGGCAAAAGATCACAACACAGAGCCCACCAGCTAGTTTCAAGATCATAGACGCTTCTTTCTCACGGACATAAGAGTTAAGGCTCTCGAGGAAATTCGAAGTGTTGGTGAAGATGAGAACAGAGACTGAGCCTTGGAAAATGGCGGTAAGGACAGTGGCGATCATGTGAGCTGCGTACCACCGGTTCTTACCATAAGATGCGGCTGCACAGCCAGAGACGGCGGCTACGATCGTGGTGGCGTGAAGGAGGATGAGGAAGAAACCGCAGAGCGAAGGGATTAGACGGAGAGAGAGAGTGAGGAAGATGCAGCTTGAGGATGCACCGAGGAGGACGTAGTTTGAGAAGAGGAAGAGTTTATGTGTGTAGTAATGAGATTCTTGAATCGAGTCTTGTGGTTGAGGAATTAAACCCATGGTGTTGGATTTTTCTGATTCGGATTGCAGAAAAATTTGGATTTTGAGATTGATAAGAAGAAGGCTTGTGAGTTGTGATTGTGGTGAGTTAATAATCTGGGTTTATGTATAGAGAGATTTAAACGGTCGGATTTTCCAAATATGACCGTTGAGGATTTACACAAGTGAAAGGACAGATCACGGACAGAGTGATGTAACGGCTAGTGTTTTGCTTTTCCTTTGTTCAGAGCAAGACTGGCAGGCCCAATGGGCCGAGTTGGGTTCTTGTTCGGCCGAGACAAGGATATTTTTATCCTGAACTCGGATATGTTATTAGGAACCAAACATAGGTTTATGTGGTGTGTGTTTGGTCCGCTAAATTGAACCGACTCAATCCTACCGAACCAAATAATTCGATTCACACAGTTTATTGAAGATGAAACTTAAAGACCGTTTTAATACAATTGAAACAGAGTAAAGTCTAGATGAAACCATAACTGCAAGAAGGAAAAAAAAACTGTTTCTTCTTCTCCTGTTTAATCTCAGATTGAAAGAAGAAGAATGATTCGATTCACGATCTTGTGCTGCTTCTAAAAATTAAAAATCATGTTACCTAAAAAACCAATTATTTCATCTGCAGAGCAACACAGTTTTGACGAAACTCGATGGGTCATCAATGTCCAAAAATCTCTCGATGCAGATATCGAAGAACACGATCTCGAAGAAGTCACAGTCAGCATATTCAATGTTCCTAAAGCATTAATGTGTAGCCATCCAGATTCATACACACCTCACCGGGTTTCGATCGGACCTTATCACTGTCTAAAACCAGAGCTTCACGAAATGGAAAGGTATAAACTAATGATCGCGAGAAAAACTCGAAATCAATCCAAATCTTTCAAGTTTCATGATCTTGTAGAGAAATTACAATCCATTGAGATGAAGATTCGAGCCTGTTATCATAAGTACATAGGGTTTAACGGAGAGACTCTGTTATGGATAATGGCGGTAGATTCGTCGTTCTTGATCGAGTTTCTTAAGATTTACAGTTTTAGAAAGGTGGAGACTTTGATTAATAGAGTTGGGCATAACGAGATTCTTAGAGATATAATGATGATCGAGAACCAAATCCCACTTTTCGTTTTGAGGAAAACACTTGAGTTTCAGCTAGAATCGACTGAATCAGCTGATGATCTGTTGGTCTCTGTTCTTACGGGACTATGCAGAGATCTCTCTCCTCTCGTTATCAAATTCGACGATGATGAGATTCTGAAGGCTCAGTTTCATGAGTGTAATCATATCTTAGACTTCTTGTATCAGATGATCGTTCCGAGGATCGAAGAAGAAGAGCTAGAAGAAGAAGAAGACGAAGAAAACAGAGCAGACGACAATGGCGGAAACAGAGCAATTAGGTTTCTGGAAGAGATTAAGTATCAATTCAAAAGGGTTTTCGCATCTCGACCTGCGGATTTAATCTTGAGATTCCCGTGGAGAATCATATCGAATCTTCCTGGATTCATGGCACTGAAACTTTCAGCTGATTATCTCTTCACAAGACAAGAAAACGAAGCAACAACAACGAGACGAGAATCATCATCATCGGTTTCGATTCCCGATATCGAAAAGCCTCCTCTTGTGGAAGAACTTACAATCCCATCAGTCTCTGATCTCCACAAAGCCGGAGTTAGATTCAAACCAACAACACACGGTAACATTTCAACGGTAACATTCGATTCAAACTCTGGTCAATTTCACCTCCCTGTAATAAACCTAGACATCAACACAGAAACCGTTCTTAGAAACCTCGTCGCTTACGAAGCTTCAAACACTTCAGGACCATTAGTATTCACTCGTTACACAGAGCTAATAAACGGAATAATTGATTCGGAAGAAGACGTTAGGTTGCTTAGAGAACAAGGCGTCCTTGTGAGCCGTCTCAAGAGTGACCAAGAAGCTGCAGAGATGTGGAATGGTATGAGCAAATCTGTGAGGTTGACCAAAGTTGGTTTTTTGGATAAGACTATTGAGGATGTTAACCGATATTATACCGGACGGTGGAAAGTGAAGATTGGAAGATTGGTTGAGGTTTACGTTTATGGTTCTTGGCAGATTCTTGCTTTTTTGGCGGCGGTTTTGTTGTTGATGTTGGTTTCGTTGCAATTGTTTTCTTTGGTGTTTAGCTCCTTCCTTCGGTTTAGAACCGGTTAGGCGTAATTCGAGTTGGTTCGCTATGTATTTGTTATTCCTAATTTCACTTGGTTTGGTTTGATTTGGTTTATGTTGAACCATATTGAAATCGAAATTACTGTGCTTTTTTGTAACAAAAAAAAGTCCTCCTTTGATTCATTGCAATTAAGAATTATTTTTCTTAAAGATCCGAACTTGAGAGTAGGGTTTTGGGTTTAGAATCAGAAACTGCTGCTGAAGATAGTCTCCGAGTGAGAGATAGTAGAAATGTTGAGATCTTTTCTCTGTAGATCGCAAAATGCGTCTCGGAATCTCGCCGTTACTCGAATCTCGAAGAAGAAGACCCAGATGACTCCATCGCTAACCTCTCTTTCGAGATTTTCATATCTCGAGTCGTCTGGAAATGCTTATGCCCGAAACATCAGGTTCTTCTCCGCGAGCCCTCCTACGGAAGAGAACCCAGTTTCTTTACCGACGGATGAGATCCCAATCTCGTCAGCCGCAGAGCTTACCCTTGAAGAATCGGTTGCTTCCGCTTTGGGGTTCTCAGAAAGTGGCGATTTTGGTGTAAATGGAGGTACTTCCATGGAAGCCGTTGGTGGTGTTGCTGAATATGGAGATTCAGAGATTGTTGCAATTGAAAACGAGGTTAGCGAGGTGTACCAATTTGATGACGAAAAGTTGGAATCTGTACTGTGTTTGTTACGGAGTGATGAAGAGTCCTTGGAGTTTGGTCTTAATGCGCTTAATGTTGATTTACATTTAGATTTTGTGGTAAGAGTGTTTGAATCCCCAGGAATTTCCGGTAAGAATTTGATTAGGTTTTTAAAGTGGGCAACTTTGAACGAAGAGATTACTGTTACAACCTCACTTGTAGAATCTCTTCTTGTAGCAATTGCTGGTGATACACGTCGAATGGATGCTTATGGTTTGTGGGATTTGGTTAAGGAGATTGGTGAGAAGGAGAATACTAGTGTTTTGAATTTGGAAATATTGAATGAATTGATTGCCTTGTTTGGGAAACTTGGTAAATCCAAAGCTGCTTTTGATGTGTTTAGTAAAACCCAAGAGTTTGGTTTTACTCCGAATGCGAAAACATATTATTTGACACTGGAGGCTCTTTGTAAGCGGTCGTTTATGGATTGGGCATGTTCTGTATGTGAGAAAATGCTTAAGAGTGGTGTGTTACCAGAGGGAGAACAGATGGGTAACATCATAACTTGGTTTTCTAAGGAAGGGAAGGCCGAAGAGGCTTATTCGGTTTACGAATTGGCAAAGACGAAAGAGAAATCTCTGCCTCCTAGATCTGTGGCTACTCTGATAAGTGCTCTCTGCAAGAATGATGGGACTATCACGTTTGCTCAGGAGATGTTGAGTGATTTATCTGGAGAAGCTAGGCGACGTGGGATAAAACCATTTTCTGATGTTATCCATAGTTTATGCAGGATGAGAAATGTTAAAGACGCTAAAGCTTTGCTTTTGGATATGATTTCTAAAGGGCCTGCTCCTGGGAATGCGGTTTTTAATTTGATTGTCCATGCTTGTTCGAAAACTGGAGATCTGGATGAAGCAAAAGAGGTTTTAAAGTTGATGGAGAGTAGAGGTTTGAAACCAGATGTGTACACCTACACTGTCATCATTAGTGGTTATGCTAAAGGAGGGATGATGAATGAAGCTCAAGAGATTCTCGCAGAGGCGAAAAAGAAACATAAGAAGCTTAGTCCTGTGACATATCACGCACTCATCCGAGGCTATTGCAAGATTGAAGAATATGACGAAGCTCTGAAACTTTTGAAAGAAATGGATCGTTTCGGGGTGCAGCCTAATGCTGATGAGTACAATAAGCTGATACAGTCATTTTGCCTCAAAGCTTTGGATTGGGAAAAAGCAGAGATGCTGTTTGAGGAGATGAAGCAGAAAGGCTTGCACTTGAATGCAATTAGTCAGGGGCTTATAAGGGCAGTTAAAGAGATGGAATCTGAAGCCAAGGTAACGGAAGATGACAACTTACTTGCTGAAGCATAGAATTGGATCCGATATTTATCATTGTTCTAACAATGCTGCGGACTAGCTGTTGAAGATGTTATCTCTTGGTTTGAAATATCAGGAAATACCTGGTTTGTTCTTTTGTTACTGGAATTTTCTTTTGTATTCTTCCAGCATTTGCCAATAAGCCTTCACTTGGGTTCAATTTCTTTTAGCTTTTGTGATTTAAGAATCGAATCATTTTCCATGGTCATTGTTCGGTTTGCATTTGATTTTCTTTAAAATGACATGTTTTGATTTTAGCTCAGTTGGGAAAAGTTATAAACCATTAGTGATTCAATGCTGGTTCATAACAAAATACGTAATAAAATGAGTACAGATTTGTTATGAAAAATCTCAGGAAATTCTAACGACCACTTTATTCTTCTTGCCTGCTGATAGAACAAGACCTTTCCCTTCAACAATATCCTCTTCTTCAACTCTCTTGTTCTCATCATCAACTCTCTCATTGTTCATATAAAACCCACCTTGCTTCAATATTCTCCTCGCAGCAGATTTGCTCTCAAACAAACCCGCAGAAACTGATAGATCCACAATCGATAAACCCGACACTCGATCAATGGGCAGTGAGCAAGAAGGTATATCTTCTGCTATTCTCTCAATCAAGTTCCAATCAAGCTTTGTCTCAGCTCCTGGTCTTAAAGCTTCTGTTGCTTTAATGGCTTCCTTCAAGCCCTCTTCGCCATGTACAAATCTGGTTACTTCTTCAGCGAGTTTGATTTGTGCGGTGTTGGGAACATACCCAGGTTTGGTCATTTGATCTTCCAAGATCTTTATCTCATCCAAACTCAGAAAAGTTAGAGTCTTTAAGAAGCGTATCACGTCAACGTCTGGAACTGAGAAGAAGTACTGATAAAACTTATAAGGCGATAGCATCGAAGGAGATAGCCAGATTGCTCCATCTTCTGATTTCCCGAATTTCGTCCCATCGTTTTTCAATAGGAGGGGAAATGTTAGCCCGTAAGCCGCTTCTTCTGCTTGGAGAATCTTCCGGATCAAATCAGTTCCAGCTGTTATATTCCCCCATTGATCACTACCACCTATCTGAACATTGATCCCTTCGTTCTTGAACAGGTGAAGAAAATCATAGGCTTGCAATAACTGATAAGTGAACTCGGTGTAGCTCATACCTTGTTCTGATTCTAATCTCTTCTTCACACTCTCCTTTGCCATCATAGTACCAACCCTAGCAAACCTACCAACTTTGTTCAGAAAGTCGAGCATTGTCATATCTTTCCACCAGTCATAGTTATTAAAAATCACGTAAGAGCCACCGGAACTCGGATTGCCACCCAGAATCTTGATAATGATTCTTTTAATCCCGGAAATGTTTTTCTCCAGTGTATCAGCGTCAAGCTCAGGTCTTTCTAGGCTTTTACCAGATGGGTCACCAACTCGTCCCGTGGCACCACCAATTAAACCAACAGCTTGATGTCCACATCTTTGGAACCAAGAAAGCACAATGATACCAAGTAGATTACCTAAGTGTAAACTCTCAGCCGTTGGATCAAACCCGCAGTAGACCCTTAGAGGAGCTACTTTAGGATCAGAACAAGCTGACCTGAGATTTTCGCTTGTGATCGACTCAAGGAGACCTCTTTCTTCAAGTATATCGACAACATTAGGGCGAGAAACAGCTTGATTTTCTGTCTCAAGAGATGAAGTAGATTGAATTGAGCACTTAACAGAGGAAAACAGAGGAGTAGTAGAAGTGGAGAAAAGGTGAGGAACTTGGACCCTTCTGAAGAAAGTTGCGGATGATTTCTCAGGAAAAACGAGTAAAGAAGTGACACGTAAGGGAGATAAGAAAGTTCTGGAACACATAGGAAAGATACTCCTTGAAGCAAGCGTCATTCCTGTTGCATATGCCATAAATCTATATGCTTGGACAGCCAAGCTGGTAAACTACAACTGCAAACTAAATAGAAACACCAATTAGCTGAAAAAACGATAAATAACCGATCTTTATCGTCTAAAACTGTAAAAAAACATATGCAAGTAAATGCACAAGTTGACCCAAAACTAGCCTCGTATACTACAGGTCATCTATTTTATCAAAAACTGATTCCAAACCCAAAAACTCTCAGGCAGACAATTTCACAAACACCTTATGGGCATTGTCTCTTATTGTCTCCATAAACACGCGTAACGAGTCAATATCCAAAAATGAGAACTTCAAAACAGAATTATAAAGGAATGCTAAAATTCTACACCAAATTATAAAGGAATCTCCCATCATTGCATCGAAACAGACCCAGAGAAACTAACAACTTGGAGATAACAATCCTAACTTCAGAGACATTACAACACACCTAAATGGATACCCAATTAAACTTTGAGGAAGAAGAAGAAGATGATGATGAAGTGAAAGAGCTTTACTTGTTTGCAGCTCCAGGAATGGAATTTGTTTTCGACCTTTGCTTTGCTTATTCCACAGGTCAATTGCTTCAGATTAGCCGAAACCGACATTGATCCTAAAGTCTCCGGTTTATTTTAATAGACCGGTATCTGTTCGATTTTAATGGGTTAAGTTACTAAACCGGGATCCATAAAACCCAGTTTATTTAATCATCTCTTTCGGGTTTGTTTTAGGGCCCGTTAAAAGCTTTCTGGGCTCCATCCCTATATATCCAATTATCCACACAACTTTTATATAATATATATATTTAAAAATTCGTATATATTTGACATACGAACGCAGCTAATTGATGCTAATTTTGTGACAAATTCGAATATACATTATAACTATATAGGTAGACTGATTTAACAACTAAAAATGCATGTACAATTTCCAAAATAAATACTAATTACATATATCAAAACCAGCTGTATGATTACATATTTACATATTAATTACATAAGATTTGGTTGTAAAAGGAAAATAGAAACATGAAAATTTGACTACTTATATATACAGGCATGCATACAGCTCATAAATTTGACTAATTACATATATCAGAACCAGCTGTATGATTACATATTTACATATTCCTTTTTAACATTCACATTTCTTATTCATTGTTTTATATCCTTCCTAAAACACTGATTATGTATATATATTCATACATATTAAGAAACAAGAATTATATATCTATTTTTTCCTAATTATTTTATCTTACTTTTTTTTAATACCAATTTTGACTAAATATTTGGAAACCAGCTGTATTTTTACATATTTACATATTCCTTTTTAACATTTTCACGAAATTGACTTTTGTTCTTGTATACGTACGTCCAACTAGACTGATTGGTTCCGAGAATGAAACGATGTGTGGTTCGGATTAAGTATCAAGTAAGACATCGTTGTGAATGAGTGACTATTAAATGTTTGTGTATAGCGGTAAATATATTATATGTGTGTAAGTGAGGTCTTTTTGAGATTAAAGATTAATAGAGAAGCTAGAATTTGTGGAAATTAGTAGGACCACACTTCTCTAAAAGAATTAGAAAACCTATATGCTATGGTCTAACACCTCACCTCCTTCAAAGGTTTGATCAACTAAGCTATATTAATCAGAAATACCAAGAAATTTGTAAAACAACACATCGAACTCAAGCCATGCACAAATACAATGATTCATTTTACTTGGATACACCGTCGTATTGGACTGAAACTCAAATCGAAGTCTTTATTTATTAGATAAACATACACTTACATAATGTAAGTTACATTACACGACACAGAATACTCATTTTATTAATATCATAAGAGTACACATGATCATTATCGATACAATAGCATGAGCTTACTCCATATCCAACGGGACATGTTCACTGAGTGGCCGGTGGGAGGAATGGTAACGGAGGAAACCTAAATCCAGGGAAACCAGGAATACCGGGAATACCAGGAATACCTCCTCCTGCTAGAGGTGGTAACGGAGGAAACCTAAAGGCAGGGAAACCGGGAATACCTGGAATACCTCCTCCTGCTAGAGGTGATGACGGGATTGGTAACGGCGGAAACCTAAAGGCAGGGAAACCGGGAATACCAGGAATACCGGGAATACCTCCTCCTGATGGTGATGACGGGAATGGAAACGGAAGTCTAAAGCCAGGGGAACCAGGAATACCGGGAATACCTCCTGGTGGTGATGACGGGAATGGAAACGGAAGCCTAAAGCCAGGGGAACCTGGAATACCGGGAATACCTCCTGGTGATGACGGGAATGGAAACGGAAGCCTAAAGCCAGGAGAACCTGGAATACCGGGAATACCTCCTGGTGATGACGGGAATGGAAACGGAAGCCTAAAGCCAGGGGAACCTGGAATACCGGGAATACCTCCTGGTGATGACGGGAATGGAAACGGAAGCCTAAAGCCAGGAGAACCTGGAATACCGGGAATACCTCCTCCTCCTGGAGGTGATGACGGGAATGGAAACGGAAGCGTGAAGCCAGGAGAACCGGGAATAGCTGATGTTGGAGGTGATGACTGCAAACTAGGGAACGGATCAGATACAAAGGCTAGGTTTTTGGCTTCATCGGTGGTGGTGGTTACGACTCCATCAACCGGCTTCTGATCGTTGAGAGGGCGAGCTAGAGCTGTTTCTGGTGTGAGATGGAAGATCAAGAAAAGAATTAGGGCTAAAGTGGTCGCTAATGATGCCATTGTGTGGAAATATTTTTGTCTGTTGTAGTAGTAGGTGTTTAGTGCTTGTTTATATAGGCCTATATTTAGTGTTGGCTCCATCTTTATCTTTGTTATAATTATATTAAAAAAGAAAATGTCAAAAAAATATAAACACATTATAAGAAGTTTTAATCTCTTTATGGACATGATAATCAATTTTGGGTAATGTTGACTATTTTTTACAAATTTATAATATGCATTCTATTTATCAAATAATAAGCTAGTTTTTAGGAATTCAACAAGGCAATTTCGTTTTGCTTTCTTGTGTTCTTTTTCTGGATAAACCTTGCTATAAAAAAAGACCTTGACAGCAAGGTTTTGTTCTGTCTTTAATCAAACTATTGGGCCTATATATATATATATATATATGTTTTTAATTTTTGTCATTTTTCATGCAACTAACTGGAAATATAGGACCCCTAAAATAGAGGAAAAATATATTCATCATATTCACTCACTCACAACAAAAATTTCCACAACTAAGCATATCCTCTTGCTTCCTCCACAAGAAATTACAATGAAAGATATCAATAATGCTTTCAACGTTCAATTCGTTGTTGACTTGGAATAATTAATCTGTTTGTTAATAAAAGATTGATGATTTGGTTTTTAGATATTTCAGAGACCTCAAATCATAATCAATATGAAGAAACGCCAGAACGAGCTTATATTTATTATGCCATGATTATCCATACATTTGAACACAACCAAAGGCAGGGTACGTACTAGACACAACAACTATATGTGTATGTCTATATCAGCTAGATCATGGTAATACACCGCTTGAGCTTGAATAGGTTTGAAAAGATTAAGATCGACTGCAATTGCCACTTTTTTCCCTGTTGCGGCTGCAAGATCTGTCAACTCGGCTCCAAGATCTGAGACACAATGTAACGAAAAGGACAGCAATCAATGATTTTGTTCAAGTGCTTAATTATATTGATTTTGTTCTTACCTAGTGCCTCGCTCATGTATCGAACCCTTTGTCCTTCCTGAAATTTGCATTTCATATAATAACCTTAAAAACAAAACCAAAAATTTGGTTAATTAGTAGAAAAATCAACAAAGAAAAGAATAGAAATAAAATGTCTCTAGCTACATACTACGGCCGGCAAGAGGTACCACCACTGTACATTCTAGTTCATTCGTGGACTCTGCAATCAAATTAAAAAAAAATTAGAAGAAATCACCAATCCTAATATCTAAAAAAAAAGGCCATAATAAGGTCATTTGAGATTAACCTCCGACTGGATGTCTGGAATCATCATCATCATAAAACACCACTTGATGTTTATTAAGTTTGAAAAAATTTAAGTCGTGATTAAATGCCATTTTTTTCCCCTTCTCGGCTGCAAGAGCTGAAACACACAAAGAGATCATGAAAATGAGAAAAAATAGTAATCAACTGATACCAAATTTTATCAAAATAAATATAAGTGCTAACTGATTTTGTTTTTACCTTTAGCCACTTTAACGTCTTGAAGAGTTACTTTTCCCTCCACACTTTTAAACATCAAATAACCCACTTTGAAAACGGAAAAAATCTGGTTAATTCGTCGGAAAAAATAAGAAATAAAAATTGATATCTGGCACTACATACAGAGGCCAACTTTCAATGCTGCTTCAGTCTTCGGTGACAACTCTGCAATCAAAAGAAGAAATCACAAATAAAAACATGATTCGAGACAGAGAATTGAGGCTCTCACAAATGAAATTTGTAGATCGAGTACCATTTTTTGGTAGGTCCGTAGGTGATGATGAAGAGAAACCGCGAGATTGGCGATTTCCACTCGATCTCCATCCGCGGTAACACTGTAATTCTTCTATCAACAGATCAATCGCACGAATAATAGGAAAAAAACAACCGAGAATCAGATCTTGGACGTACGTACCTTGGCAACGAAGGGTCTCAGATACTGCATGATCCAAGAATTAGGTAGTTTGTTAGGATTGTGTGCAACGAAGGGTCTCGAGTCAGTGGGGGTTTCCTTAAAAAGAGCTTTCTACAAGGACAGTGGAATACACGTCGTGTAAACCTGCAGCCCGTAATCCAATCAGTAACTGACACGTCAGATACATTTGTTAATAGGAATGACATGGCGTTGTGGTATTGGAATAATAAGCCTTAGTCCAAATATTTGATACGGGGAAAGATATTAGCGGTTGGTGCGGTGATATTAACAGAAAACGAGTGTGCGAGAAAGATGCGTAAAGAATCATCCACACACCTTCGTCGTGAGCTAACAGCAAGGAGAGAGACAAATCCAAGTCCTTATCACTTATCAGGAGGACAAATGATCCAAGAATTAGGTAGTTTGTTAGGATTGTGTGGAGTCAGTGGGGTTTTACTTAAAAAGAGCTTTCTACAAGGACAGTGGAATCAGAAAGATGCGTAAAGAATCCACACACCTTTTTGTATATTTCAATAGATATATACAACATGTTTGGTGAATATAACGAACAGATATATTACAGTAGTTTGGTGGTGATAGGTTGGTGTTGCAGCCCACAGAACCCAGGTTTGGTTCTCCGATTCCTTTTTTTTTTTTTTTTTTCTCTCTTTATTCTCTTTGTCACCTCCTTCACAAAAACGCTAGGGCGAACATCGCTGCCGGTGTGAGCTTGAGATTCTAACCGATACCGTTGCCGTAGGGCTTGAGGTTCGTTTATGACTGAACTTTTTCTTTTTGTTATCTTCTTCTCCAACAAACCTTTGTTTTTAAAAAATGGTTTTGAAGGAAACGTGAACCAGTGGTGGAATCTATGGGAACTAAATCCAATTTTAACTTGTTAATATAGAGATTACTGTAATTAATGGGTGAATTAGGAAAGTAATTCTTCAATTGAATCTTCAATTTGGTGAAACGAATTACATAACATCACGATTTAGCATAAATGAGCAATATAACTTCTTGGAGAAGTGAGGAGGAAGAAGAAGAAGGAGATAAGCGGAAGGGATTAAGCAGTCATGTGAGGACAGCCACTATTCGTAATACACGGCTTGAGCTTGAATAGGTTTGAAAACATGAAGATCGACTAAAATTGCCACTTTTTTCCCTGTTGCGGCTGCAAGATCTTTCAACTCGGCTCCACGATCTGAGACACAATGTAACGAAAAGGACAGCAATCAATGATTTTGTTCAAGTGCTTAATTATATTGATTTTCTTCTTACCTAGTGCCTCTCTCATGCATCGAGCCCTTTGTCCTTTCTGAATATTCATATAAGAACCTTAAAAACAAAACCAAAAATTTGGTTAATTCGTAGAAAAATCAACAAAGAAAAGAATAGAAATAAAATGTCTCTAGCTACATACTGCCGGCAAGAGGTACCACCACTGTACATTCTAGTTCATTCGTGGACTCTACAATCAAATTAAAAGAAAATTAGAAGAAATCACCAATCCTTATATCTCAAAAAGGCCATAATAAGGTCATTTGAGATTAACCTCCGACTAGATGTCTGGAATCATCATCATCATAAAACACGACTTGAAGTTTACTAGGTTTTAAAAAATTTAAATTGTGTCTAAATACCAATTTTTTTTCCTTCTCGGCTGCAAGAGCTGAAACACACAAAGAGATCATGAAAATGAGAAAAAATAGTAATCAACTGATACCAAATTTTGTCAAAATAAATATAAGTGCTAACTGATTTTGTTTTTACCCCTAGTCACATCAACGTCTTGAGGAAGAAGTACCATTGTCGCCCAACTTTCAAACATTATATAACCCACTTTGAAAACGGAAAAAATCTGGTTAATTCGTCGGAAAAAATAAGAAATAAAAATTGGAATATAGATATCTCGCACTACATACAGAGGCCAACTTTCAATGCTGCTTCAGTCTTCGGTGACAACTCTGCAATCAAAAGAAGAAATCACAAATAAAAACATGATTCGAGACAGAGAATAGAGGCTCTCACGAATGAAATTTGTAGATCGAGTACCATTTTTTGGTAGGTCCGTAGGTGATGATGAAGAGAAACCGCGAGACTGGCGATTTCCACTCGATCTCCATCCGCGGTAACACTGTAATTCTTCTATCAACAGATCAATCGCACGAATAATAGGAAAAAAAACAAAACCGAGAATCAGATCTACGACGTACGTACCTTGGCAACGAAGGGTCTCAGATTCTGCATGATCCAAGAATTAGGTAGTTTGTTAGGATTGTGTGGAGTGGGTGGGGTTTTACTTAAAAAGAGCTTTCTACTAGGACAGTGGAATCAGAAAGATGCGTAAAGAATCCACACACCTTCGTCGTGAGAAATCCAAGTCGGACAAATGGGCCTACTGTTTTATTGTTGGGCCAATTATCTCGTTTTTTTTCTTTTGTAACAAGTCCCGTCTCCTTTCATCTAGATTCGAGAAAACCAGGTAAACCAAAGAATCTCAAGTTTATTTTGGAAAACCGGATTATGCTTGGTTTACAAAACCGGTCTTCTAGAAAAAAAACCCCAAACCCAGTAAAAGAGGGAGCACGCAAGTCTTTCTGAAGAAACAAACCAAAACCCCTTCGTATCAATAATGGTTTGGGGTCTCTTTCCCGTTGATCCTCTTTCAGGTCTTTTTCTCCATTAGAACTCGATTGGATTGCAAGTGAATGACTTAGATTGTCTCCTGTTCAATTTTTTTCTTCATTACGAGAATTTTGCTCCATCATTAATTGCAATTCTCAACTATGTTATCAACTTGGAATCGTGAAATTTGTTATCAAATTTTGTTTTAGTTGTTTTCTACCTTTTTAACAAGTGTTTTCTGATGAATGTGTAAGAAAAACCCCAAATTTCTTCTGGGTTTATGCTAGAGGAGCTTTTTACGAATCTCTAGTTTTGTAACCTTAATTGGCTGTAAAATGGTTTGAATCTGTGTCTCAGGTGAAGATAAATACTATATCTTTTCAAAGGGTATTTACAAGATTGGTCGAAAAGGTAGTGTTATTACACTTTCATCATCGTCTTGCTCGTGTTCTGTGCCTTTATGGGTTTTTCTTTCTCTCTAGGATGTGATATTATTATCAATAAGGATAAGGGGGTGTCTAGGATCCACGCTGAGTTAACTTTTGATTCAACCTCTCGGAGGGACAAATCTTCAGATGCCTCCTCCTTTGTTATCCGTGTCAAAGATTGTTCTAAGTATGGCACCTTTATCAAAACTGACCTGGGGACAAAATACAAAGTTCATGAGCTACCTAATAAGGAGAAAATTCTCCAAGATGGACATGTTATCGCGTTTGGTACAGGTTCAGCTACTTACAGGTATTCCTGGCTTGTCAGTGTGATATGTTTCTTAGGTTGTAGCTTCGTGTAATACGGCTTATATCTATCCCTTCTTGAAATAAAATGGTTGCAGGTTGTCCTTAATTCCGCTTGTTTTTTACTTCTGCCCTTCCTCTGAGACCTTTAAGGTGGATCAGTCGGTACAAGATGCAGTTTCATCAATTGGTTAGTGAAAAACGTTATCCCCTGCCTCATGGAGTAAAACTGGTTAATGTAGTTTCATATTACCCGCATTGCCTGAAAATATGTCGATATTCAGGTGCTCGTATATCTCCTACCTTGAGTGAGGAGTGCACTCATGTGCTTCTTGAGCCACGTATGCAAGTGAATGAAGCTCTGGTCAATGCAATTTTAGCCAAAAAACCAATCATTTTGACAAATTGGGTGAAGGTATGTGTGAGCTTTCCATTGTCATCACTTGTCTGTTAATTGGTTTTTAACTTCACTGGTTTTTTCTAGCTTCTCTCAGAGAAAAGTATCTGCAGCGAATTTCCTGGATACAGCCAGTGAGTGTATTTACTGTTTTCCGGTTGTAGAATTAAAATAGAATAAATTCTGCAGTTACTGACTTTCAAATAATCAATGTTATTTTAGGTACAGACCATCAGTGATGGTTGAAGAAGCGTTGGTGGATGTACTAGAATTAAACGTCCGTGAAAAATGTCTAGAAGGATTTACCTTTGTGTTGGAACCACCAGACATGGTATAATCTCTTATTTGTCCCAAAAAGAATCAGATTCAACTGATGGTTCCAATTGATTCTTGTTATAGGTGTCAATAGATATTAGTCTTGCTAATTATTGATGAACTTTGCATTTACCCATTCATGCCTTTTTCGTTATGCAGTACAGATTTGGTTGCAGCTTCCCATCTTTACTTAAAGTATGTGGTGCAGAGACTGTTACCATAGCAGACGTTAGCTCCATGAGTCAGGTTTGTGCTTTTATATTGTTTTACTTATTTGCTCTTTCTGTAGCTAGCCTTAACCGTAATCAACTCTGCAGGATTCTCAGTATGGAGAAATTAATCGCATGATATGTGTCATCCCAAAAAGTTCAGGAGACAAATTTGGCCGTTTGAAGAATCTCAGTTTGTTATCTAGAGTGAACGAGATAGATTTAGTGTGCGCCGTCTTTTCCGGAAATCTACCTTCGACTTCACTGATACCACCATCCGGTGAGTACACAAAGCCAAATGTATTTGCTTTTCTCGGGACTATGACACTGATCTTGAAACATTTCCTGTTTGTAGTTGTAATTTCATCCTCATGCTCTACGGATGAGACAGTGGTAGCGGATTCTGATGCCGAAGAGGAAGAAACAACATCGTCTGTTCATATGATTGATGCTACTGAAAAGGCAGAAACACCAGAGAAGCCTGCTGCTATTATAATAGAGGATAGTCCTGTTACGATAGTGGAAGAAACTATGAATTTGAATGAGTTTAAAAGCGTTAACTTATTAGCAGATACTGAAAATAGAGGCCACATCAATGAAAAGAACTCAGGTGATAGTGTGACAATCCGAAGGGATCGGAACGATGAGGCTGAAACTGGGAATTCGGAGATTATATACACTCAAGATCTTATCGTTAGGGACTTGCGGTCGACTAGAAAAGTTCAATCGACAGGAGAGGAAGGAGTTGTGGACTTCAAGCGATTCAGAAAGGTAAAATAGAACCTTTGGATTCTGGACAGATGTTGTGTTTGCGAGATGATGATTTTGTTTGTTTTGTTAGGGAAATGTTACATGCGGAAACAGCTTCAGTAGCCTAATACCTTTTGCGAAGGATCCATACAAGTAATCCCGGGTCGTATCTCTTGCTTGTTAGTTCATAATGTTTTCTCCTCTATGTTTCTTGATCATCGTTTGCTTCGGTGATGCCAGAGAATACGATAGCGGGGACGTGACAGATTTTATGAAAGAAGAGAAGAAAAGGAAGCAGATGGAAGCCATTGCAGAGGACTTGTTTAACACTGAAAAGGTGTCAACTTTATTATCATCTAACATCAAAATCTATAGATCATCCAGCGATTCTTTCAAAACTAATATCGTAATGTGCAGGCTAGAAAGCGTGGAACGGCTGGTTCCATACGCGGGTTTCTCACTCGAAGTTGAGGTCTCATGGTAAAATGGCCTCTGGACGCATGATTCTGGATCAGTGGATCACTAGGAACTAAACAAAATCTTGTCTTTTTTTTTCGTTCTTCATGAGTTAAACAATGTATGTACACGGGGAAGTGTAGATACATACACATATATATAATGATCTTTGGTTTCTCTGATGAAAACAAAAATTCAATATTTATTTTCAGAAATTTAAAAACTGAAAACATGTGGCCATTACTTCTCCGTTAACTCGAAAAGATACAAAATTTATCCTTTCTCTTGTTCTAAGTACAAGCAACAATGGAATGGCCATGGTCGGCCATCGCTGCTGCTTCTTCCTCTTCTTCTAGTTGCTTCTTTGCTTCTCCTAACTCTTGCTTGTCTATTACTAGACAAACGAATTCGAGCTGTGCTAACAAATATCCATCGAACACTTCGGTTAAATCCTTGCGACATAGCAGATTCGACTCGAAGCATATTCTCGTTTCGATCTCTAAACGTCGAATCAATGGAGATTCCGTTGTTCGAAGAAGCACCACTAGCAATAAAAGCACCGAGGAGACTGAATCATCATCGTCTTCGTCTGTAGATTGCGTTGGAATGGGATCAGACGTGGAGTGCGTCTATAACGGAGAAGATGAGGAGAATCGGAGCTCCGGAATCTTGAACGGCGGAGAAGGAACGTTGCTTGAATGGACGGTTCTGATTTCACCCTTCTTTTTCTGGGGAACGGCGATGGTGGCGATGAAGGAAGTGTTGCCCATTACTGGTCCTTTCTTCGTGGCCGCGTTTCGGTTAATTCCGGCTGGTTTGTTGCTTGTCGCGTTTGCAGTTTACAAAGGCAGACCTTTGCCTAAAGGAATCAATGCTTGGCTCTCTATTGCTCTCTTTGCTCTTGTGGACGCCACTTGTTTCCAGGTCTGCTTACTTGACATGAACACTTAAAGAGTTAAGTTGATAGATTCTTGTCTGCGTGATGCTGATTATGAATTCTGATTATGGTTCAGGGATTTCTTGCTCAAGGGTTACAGAGAACTTCTGCTGGTTTAGGAAGTGTAAGTTGTTTTCTATCTCTTAAACTGTGCTCTTGTTAAAACATGAGAATTTTGTATGGCTGCTAATCTGTGGCGGTGCAGGTTATAATTGATTCTCAGCCACTGACTGTTGCTGTATTAGCATCTTTCTTGTTTGGTGAGTCCATTGGAATAGTGAGAGCTGGAGGTTTGCTTCTTGGTGTTGCTGGACTTTTGCTTCTTGAGGTAAAACATCTACTTAAACATCTATACCAAGTCCGAGTAGTATCTCGATAGTGTTCTTACAACTTGAGAATATGCCTGATTCACTATAGGTTCCATCAGTTACTTCAGATGGTAATAACTTTTCCTTGTGGGGAAGTGGAGAGTGGTGGATGCTTCTTGCAGCTCAGAGCATGGCTATTGGCACTGTGATGGTCCGATGGGTCTCAAAATACTCAGATCCAATTATGGCTACCGGTTGGGTAATGATGCTCGATCCTCCTCACCCCTATCAAACCTTACTTGTCCCCATTTCTGTTCAATGCCTTGTATTTGAGAGTTCTTCTTACAAGAACTAAACTAAACTAAACATGACTCCAATTTTATCTGCAGCATATGGTTATCGGTGGCCTTCCTCTTTTGGCGATTTCTGTTATAAATCATGACCCGGTTTTTAATGGCAGTCTTCAAGATCTATCCACAAATGATGTTATAGCACTTCTCTACACATCCATTTTTGGCAGCGCAGTTAGCTACGGTGTTTACTTCTATAGCGCTACTAAAGGTCCTATTTCACTACCCTCTCGAGAGACTATCGCTACTTTGGATTTCAGATCTCTGATGCTTTTATGATGTCTTATTTTGCAGGAAGTCTAACTAAACTCAGCTCACTCACCTTCTTGACACCAATGTTTGCATCAATCTTTGGGTAAGACCATAATCAGCAACCGATAAATCCATGATTCCGATCACAAGTTTCTTTAGTCATAGTTCTGATATGTTTAATTTGGGCCAGGTATCTGTACCTCAATGAGACTTTCTCCTCATTGCAACTGGTCGGAGCAGCAGTAACTTTGGTCGCCATATACTTGGTGAACTTTCCCGAAGGCAACGACTGAGACACTCTTTCAGTTCTTACTTCATTTTTAAACTTGTTCAAAGTATCATTATGTTCAATATTATTGTATATAATAAAATGAATCAGCATAGTTTCAGTGTTAATCAAAAGCCAAGTTTCATAATCACATGACAAATGTTGCACAACTCGATACAGCAGAAGCAGATTCTCTTACTTCCTCCACAACCTTTACAATCAGAGATCAACCATACTTCCACACGCAGCCAGTATGGTAATACAGGAGTGAGCAGTTTTGGATTAAGTGGTCATCATATCTTCTGGTTTAGCTTCCATCTCCGACTTATCAGCCACATCAGCAACTAGTCTCTCCACAGGCACCTTGCTCACATCCCATCGCATGCCAATATCTGAAACCAGGCGACTGGTGCAGTACATGCCATATCCAGCCACAGCCAAACCACCAAAACCTGCTACAAACCTGAGTGGCGAAGAAAGAAGAACACTGGCAGCTGCAACAATGGAAGCGGCTTGACCGCTCCTCCCCACATCGGTGTTTGCCACTAGCAAACCAGTTTTACAATAGATGGCAAAATCTTCACAGTTGTTCTTGAAAACATTGTACACACCAAAACCATTTTGCAAGAGAAAGTTTGCACGGTAAATGACTTCTTCTGGAGGATCTGAAGATGCTATTGTGCATACGCCGCCTCGAGGTTTGGCAAGAAAAATAGCAGGTGAAACACTGTACTCAAAGACATAGAGATCACCTCCGGCAAGGAAACATTCAAGGCAGGAAGAGATGACACCGCCAAGATTGGATCGATCTCCACAATTAGGACATGGGTTATCTCCATGATTATGGGATGAACTAACAATGATATTGTCCAAGAAAGTCCCAGTTCCAGTCTCTTGACCATCACCACGAGTAAAATGGTTGACTTGTCCATCACCTACATAGATTCCTGCAAATCATACACACATACAAGTTAACATGATAGATTACATAACAAAGAAAAGATGACAAGAAGATGTCACTAATCACATTGTCAAATTCAGGCCTTGAATTTTAGATACAGGCATTGTGAAGATCAAAGAATGAGCTATGCCTAGTAACAAAGAATAGCTGTTAAAATCATTATCATAGAAGTTTCCTAAACCTTCTACTTATTTGGATTCAAACAAAAGAATCATATTATTCGAAATTTTCGTAAATCTCAACAGATTCACAAATAATCGAATTGAGACAACTCAAATTGGAAATTGAATCATCTCGCATCGCCATGAATGTGAAATGTATGTATCTATCTGTAAAAAGGGATTTACAAAGAGAGAGAGATAAGAGTGAGATCGAACCGTGATGAGCGTAAATATAGGCCTGACGCCATGAATAGATGTGATCGCCTGGTTTCACATCGTCTCTGGAGATTTTATTGGAAAGGAATCCCATCTTCTCGCTTCCTCAAAATCTCCCACCGACGAACGGAGAACCAGAAATTAGGGATTACGTCGTCAGAGAGAGAAAAAGATCTGATTTTGCTTAGTGTGCAGGGTTTTCCATCTTCCTTGTATAAAAATCATTACTTTTTTTTTAAGTTCCCCAGAGACATGCATCTTTTGACCCCAGAAAAAAAAAAAAAAAAAAAAGAGATTTAAATTTTAATTGCTTAAATATCTCTCCTATTAAACGACACCGTTCAATTGGGCCTCAAACGACTTTTCTTTCATTAATAAAAAGCCCAAATTTAAATTCAGCCACTATTTCAGCCCTTAAACCAAAAATCTTAGTCTGAGACGGAAAGAGAGAGAGTATAGCCATGGAAGTCTCAAATCAGACCAGAAAACGGAAAGCAATCGACGCCGGGCATAGCTCGCCGCCGCCGGCGTATCGAGGCTCAGATGCTTACGAAGCTAGCAGTGTAGATCTTTCTCTCCTTGAAGCACTTGAGAAGTCTTCGCATCATGCAGTAGAAGCGCTTGATCTTAAAACCCTAAAAAAGCTTGTCCTCTCCTTCGAGCGGCGTCTTAGGGACAACATAGCTGCTCGTCTCAAGTATGTGGAGAATCCAGAAAAGTTCGCTGACTCAGAGGTTGACCTTCACGACGATCTTCAGAAGCTAAAGGTTCTCGCTGGAGCTCCGGAGCTTTACCCGGACCTTGTTGCTTCCAATTCGGTTCCTTCGATTGTTAACCTCCTCTCCCATGATAACTCCGACATCGCCAACGATGTTGTTCAGCTTCTTCAGGATCTGACTGACGAAGATGCATTAGAGGATAACGATGAGCCGGCGCGTGTGTTAGTCGACGCACTGGTTGAAAACAATGTGCTCGAGCTCTTGGTTCAGAATATGAATCGTTTGTCTGAGGCAGACCCAGATGAAGCTACGGCTATATACGCAACTTTGACAGTGATTGAGAATTTGGTGGAAGTAAAGCCGGCTGTTGCTGAATTGGCGTGTGAACGAACGAAACTCTTGCGGTGGCTTCTGACGAAGATTAAGGTGAGGGAATTCGAAGGAATCAAGCAGTACGCGTCTGAGATTCTTGCAATTCTGCTGCAAAACAGCTCGGCGAATCAGAAACGGCTAGGTCAGATGAATGGTGTAGACGCTGTGCTTGAAGGTGTGGCGATGTATAAGTCGAAGGATCCTAAAACTCCTGATGAGGAAGAGATGTTGGAGAATCTATTTGATTGTTTGTGTTGCCTCTTGATGCCATTGGAGAACAAGGAGAGGTTCGTGAATGCGGAAGGTGTTGAGCTGATGATTATTATCATGAAGCAGAAGAAATATGCTTACGGGTCTGCAATTCGAGCTCTAGACTTTGCCATGACCAATTATCCACCAGCGTGTGAGAGGTTTGTGGATGTTATGGGACTGAAAACAGCATTTGCTGCTTTCATGGGTAAGGCAAGTTTTTCAACCCGTTTTCTTCTTACCATCTTTGTACACTCTCTAGTGGGCTTATTGGGTATTGAATCTGTATCTTTTGTTAGAAAATGCTTGCGTAGTAGATCAAAGTAATGTGAAAGAGTCGATTTTGAGGCATACTTGCATATTGATTTTGTTTAGTTCTTTGAATGTTTAGATTCCGCTAAACAAGAGGATCAAAAGGGAGCGGTATAAAGAGGAGCTAGAGGAGCGGGTTATTTCCCTGATTGCGTCATTATTTGGTAAGAAGGCAAGTCATATGTTTATGTAAAAGTAACTGTGTTTTCCTTGTATGTTCTTGATATTTATTCTTTCGTTTTCTTGGCTGTTGGCTGTATCTCTCAGCTGGTATTTTAAGGGGTTCTAGGAGAGATCGTTTATTAAGTAAGTTTGTGGAGAATGAGTTTGAGAAGATTGACCGGCTCATGGAATTATACTTGAGGTAATAGAAATGTTCTGTTTCTCTTCAATAGTACACCAATTTAAGCATTTTGATTAAAAATCCAAGGCTTCTATATGGTGAAAGCTGTGGTGAAATGCAGTTACCTCAAAGTTGTGTTTCCTCTCTCATTATTGTTTGCACTTGGCAGATACTCTGATAGGGTTAGATCAGAGGCGGAGAGGTTAGACCAGCTTGAGCTTGATGACCTTGAGGTAATTTTCACTTTATCATTTTCAATTTTCATATTTTGATGTTTTCATTCTGAGCTTTAAATCTGTTTATGAACTGACTTCACTGTTTTACTTTCCAGTTGGATGAAGATGAGAAATATAACCGGAAGCTAGAATCAGGGCTCTACAGTCTTCAGGTTCGACTAAGTTTAATTTTGTCCAGTTTCATGTCCGTTTGGGAAATGGCAAATGTGCCTCATATGTGTACATATGCTCTATTACACACTTATATAGGCCTCTAAACTTGATTTTATCTTCTTTTTCTAGTTGTTCTTATTCTTAATCTTGAATAACGTTTTCTCTGAAATTGCAGCTTGTTGCTGTTATCCTGGGCCATATTTGGTGTTCTGAGTAAGTCACACCCTTAAGAGCACCCACCAAAAAGATACTTTCCTGAGGTTTCGCTTCAGACATACTAATTTGTAATCAATACTTGATGTAGGCATTCTGGAATGAGAGCGCGGATCGAGCTGCTACTGAAACAACAGAAGCTTAGTAAAACCGATGTCAAGCAGATTCTTCAGGTTATCTTTCTCTTTCCTCACCTAAAAAGTAGTCTACACACCAATTAATTAGTGACTTGACTTGATATGGATAAAACATGAACAAATTGATTCACTGAAACCATCAGACTTAGTTCTAAGGACTGTGAAACATAAGTTTGTAATGAAAACTCTCTGTTACCTGTTTTTATCTCTTGTGGTTGCTCACTTGCATTTGCTAACATAAACCCATAACAGGAATATCACGACAACATTGGAGATCTTGATGGGCCAGAGGAGAAGGAACGAGGACAGGCAAGAATTCAGTTGTTCATATCGGCAATGTGATTTAGAGAAAAAAAGAAAGAAGTTGGAGATATCGCAAATGGCTTGGTATTAGATTCCAATATGGGACCAGATATAATCTGTCTCAGAGGCTTGAAGTCTAGCAAAAATCAATTATTGGTGACCAGATTCATACCCTTTGTTTTGGTTTTGTCCCCTTTCGATCGATTTGGGTTATAAACTTACTTTTTTTTTGTACTTAGATAATTTAGCTGGCAGCTTTCTTACACATCTGTGTTTTCAATTCTTTGACACTTATTGTTCGTGTGAAATTCCCTCTTTCAAATAGCTTACCAATATCTAGGTTTAACAGATAATGATATACAGACAAGTGGACGTGCCGGAGTGGTTATCGGGCATGACTAGAAATCATGTGGGCTTTGCCCGCGCAGGTTCGAATCCTGCCGTTCACGTATTTTAATTTCCTTAAATCCTTTTTTTTCTTTTTTTTTTTTTAATTCTGGCATACGTGTGAAATTGAAGAGACCACATGACACATGTGCTCCCCAAACGTCGCCGTGACCAAATCCCTCCGGTCAGAGTCATTATCTCTCCAAATTCAAAACACGTTCAACCAGAATCTCTCTCTCTCTCTCTCTTGCTGAAAAATGGCGAACTCGAGAACTGTTTTGATCTTGTGCGGTGACTACATGGAAGACTACGAGGTCATCTTCTTCCTCTGCTACTGTTTCTTTGTCTCTTTCTTAATCCCATTTATTCCTTGTTCTTCTTATATACCAGCTGATTAGTGTGTGGCTTCTTCTCTCAGGTGATGGTCCCGTTCCAAGCTTTGCAAGCTTTCGGAGTCTCCGTCCACACCGTCTGTCCCGGAAAGAAAGCTGGCGACTCTTGCCCCACCGCCGTTCACGATTTCTGTGGCCACCAGGTTTCTCTCTCTCTCTCTCTCTCTCGATCTCGATGTGTTGCTGCTTGATCTATTTATATACGATCCATTGAAACTATATTTAGAAATGCTTCATTTCAATTGAGCTTCGAATTAGATGATATATGTATATATTGTAGACAAGTTTCTGATGTATTTCTTAGAGCATTTGCAGACATATTCTGAGTCACGAGGTCACAATTTCACGCTCAATGCAACTTTTGATGAAGTTGACCTTAGCAAGTATGATGGATTGGTTATACCAGGAGGACGTGCTCCAGAATACCTGGCCTTGACTGCATCTGTTGTTGAGCTGGTTAAAGAGTTTTCAAGATCTGGCAAGCCCATTGCCTCTATTTGCCATGGGCAGTTGATATTGGCAGCTGCAGACACAGTCAATGGTCGAAAGTGCACAGCTTATGCAACTGTTGGACCTGCCCTTATTGCTGCAGGTGCCAAGTGGGTTGAACCGATAACGCCGGATGTTTGTGTTGTTGATGGTAGTTTGATTACTGCAGCTACATATGAGGGTCATCCTGAATTTATCCAGCTTTTTGTCAAGGCTCTGGGCGGTAAAATAACTGGAGCAAATAAAAGGATCTTGTTTCTTTGTGGGGTAAGCGACCTTACCATTTTGTTCAATTAATTTTTTCACTAGTTTTGCTTATGATCTTGCTTTAGATTGTACTTCAAATTGCAGAGCCTCAGGGGCCGTAGAATCTATTGGTAGAAGATATCAAGATCGTTGATTCCCCTGATCCAACATACGTTTTACTCTTAGGATTTGACAGGCTATTCTAGTTTTTTCAAACATAGGTTTTGTTGGTGAATGAACTACGCACTTGGGTCTCTTAAACATCACAGTTTTGGTTATTTCTGACCTTTGCAGGATTATATGGAAGACTATGAAGTCAAAGTCCCTTTCCAGTCCCTTCAAGCTTTGGGATGTCAAGTTGATGCGGTTTGTCCAGAGAAGAAGGCTGGTGATCGCTGCCCAACTGCAATCCATGACTTTGAGGGTGACCAAACTTACAGTGAGAAACCAGGCCACACTTTTGCTTTAACTACTAACTTTGATGGCCTAGTTTCCTCGAGTTATGATGCTCTGGTCATTCCTGGAGGCAGAGCACCAGAATATCTGGCCTTGAACGAACATGTCGTTAACATAGTTAAAGAGTTCATGAATTCTGAGAAACCAGTTGCATCTATTTGCCACGGACAACAGATCTTAGCTGCTGCTGGTGTCCTCAAGGTCAGTATTGTTCCTTCGTAGCTCCAATGTATTTAACTATGTCCTCCTTTTTCTTGCCACAACAAGTAGTTTGAGGAATTTACTCTATGTGACCTGATCACTGGCTGGTGCAGGGAAGGAAATGCACTGCTTATCCAGCCGTGAAACTGAACGTGATACTTGGAGGAGGAACTTGGCTAGAACCAGATCCAATCCACAGATGCTTCACTGACAGGAATCTGGTAACTGGCGCGGCATGGCCTGGACACCCAGAGTTTGTGTCGCAGCTAATGGCTTTGTTGGGCATTCAGGTCTCATTCTAAGTTCCATGTTATGAAAAGAATCCGTCAAACACACTTGTCTACTATGTAATGTGTGTAATGGTGTATGGTAAATGTTACTGTCAAAAAATCACTTGAGTTTCATAACGAACCCCACTGTTGATGCTTTATGGTGAGAATGATTTCTATAACACTTGTGCTAGTTCTCAAGGTCCTCCCATAATTCTCTTCAACTACGGCAAATTTCGGCAACAATGCCTTGTTCTCAGGTTAAAGGAAATGGATATTTCAAGTTCTGCTTCCCATAAATAAATATCAAAAAAGAAATTTTATTGTTTTGCAGAAAAGTAAAACAAATTATGTCTCATTTGCAAGCAAAGCCGAAAACAAATTGAAACTACAGAAATAGCATATGATTGAACCGAAATTACCCGGTGACCCAACAGTAAAACCGAAACAAATCGGATCAGGGCCCATGAGTAAAGACGGATAAAAGAACATAATAAAATATATTAAAAGCTGGCTATAGTTTATTAAAGACCTTGAGGTTTTTTTCTTATCCCTTGCTGAATAAGTCAGAGACGAAAAGGAGCAAACCCTAATTTCCGATGATGCCGCCGAACATGAGATCAGTCATGTCGCTGGTAAATCGAAAAATAATAATGAATATGCGTGGAGAGAGATCAATGGGGGCTCGCCGTAATTTCTGTTCAACACCTGAAAGCAGCAATGGTAACGTTCTCTGATTCCGCTATCTAAGCGTGGGGCTTCGATGTATTTGTATTCGGAGGAGAAACAAACAATCTTTGATATGTTTTTGTATGTGTCGTGTTTGTGATTGTAGATTCCCTTCCAAGGGAAATTGTAGATTCCCTTCCAAGAGAAATGGCTATATGGTTGGTAAGTCGAGGTGTAGGAGTGGCTGTGGGATATGGCTTAGGTATGGACAGATTTTATTCTCTGAAATTTGTCATCGACCGATTCTCGAATTAATTAGCTTGTGATTTATTTTGTTGGTATCAAGGTGCTTATTTTCTGTCCGATTTTGTACCGATACTTGAGAAGAAGATGGAACGGGTAAAAACATAATCAAGAAGCACTTGAATGACATTGTGACCAGTCAGTCCTATTATTTCATCATTCTCATCTTTTGTTTTCAGAAATCGAGGAGGAAGAAGAATCACTACGAGCTAGTGGAAAAGATCTTATCTGCTTCGAATAAATCCTAATTATGATGAAGCTTTTGTATCCATAAATCAAGCCTTTTGCTAAAGAGGATATATGTATGATTTATGTTTAATAAATGGAAGAAAATTCAAGTATTATGGACATGATCAGTGAAACGCTTGACTAATTTCCCACATTTCCTGGTTTGGTAGTTCACTACACCTAACCCAAATCGGTTTATATTCCTCGTGTTCTATTGTGAATAAGTAATTCTTATCATGTCCTCGTGGCTAGAGTTTTCATAAAGCCGAACCGAACACAATAATGCCCAAATGCTTAGATTCTAGTAGTATACGTATGTTCGATAAAACCAAGGCTACGTCGTTTCAGCTTAGAATTTTACCTTCTTGCCATGGGAAAAAACCCAAAAAAACCGTCATCTATTTTTTTTTTGGCCGTTTAATACCTGTGTTTTTAAATTTGGAATAAAAATACCTAATTTAATTTTGATTGCCTTTTAAAACCATCGTTTTTTAAAACTTGGTAATTTCCAACCTGAGACATAACAGTCGTTACTGGGCGTAACGGAATTATTTGACAGCGTTAAATTTTAATCCCACGTGTTCATATAAATATATATAATCAGCTCACAATACAATAAGAGAATGTCAATGTGGCCTGGTGGTTGTGTGCGTGTTTTTGTAAACCACGAGAGCCGGGTTCGAATCTCAAACCTGTTTTGTTTTAGACGTTTTTAATTTTTTTTTTTATTGACTCAATTTTTTTTTTTGAACCCGTCTTCGTGAAGAAACAAATGGGGTTTTCGATTTCTGAGATGCTCTTTACTTTTTGTGTCTTCTATGTGATTCAATGCTCGATTTTGCTTCGTGTTAGGATTGGATCGATGATTGATTAGTTTAAATACCGCGTTATCTTTCTGCAAATCTTCTATAAGGATTTGAAGATGAACCATGAAAAATTTGAGATCCAATGTTTTTTCAATCACTTGTTTTAATTTTGATTGATGGTTAGAATCAGATCGATGATGTCAGTTGAAATACTGCGTTATCGATCTAAAAATCTCCGAAATAGGAGTTGCAGACCCTAAACAGAAAAAATTGAGATCTGATATTAAACCTAATTCAACTTGAAGAAGACGAAGCTTAAAAAAAACAAAAAAAAACGTGTAAAATAGTGGGAGATGGATTCGAACTCGGGTGCAAGAGAATTGTAAACCCACGTGTAACCACCATGCCACATTAACTATCTCTGAAAGCTCTGCAAACAGATAATATATATTTATATAAATATAGGGGGTTAAAATTTAACACCGTTAAATAGTTCCGTTACGCCTAGTAACGACTGTTAACTCTCGGGTTCGAAATTACCAAGTTTTAAAAAACGATAGTTTTAAAAGGCAATCGAAATTAAATTAGGTATTTTTATTCCAAATTTAAAAACACAGGTATTAAACGGCCAAAAAAAAAATAGATGGCGGTTTTTTCGGGTTTTTTCCCTTTTTGCCATTAACGATGATGCTGTTTTTGCACATAGAAATGACAGCAAGGCCGGCCATGGGCCCAACAGTATAGGCTGAGAAACGATAACGCAACGCAGGCCCGTTTTTAGAAACCATATGTTATATAACTTTCTGAAAAAATCAGAGGCGAAAAAGAGCGAACCTATCTAATTTTTTATCATGCCGCCGAATATGAGATCAGTCATGAGATCGATGGGGGCTCGCCGCAATTTCTGTTCATCAGTTGGTAACGCTCTCTGATTCCAATTTGCGGATGTATATGTATACGGGATTTGTGATTGTTCTTTCGATTGCAGGGTCGAAGGGAGACGCGGCTCGTTAGGCCTCCTTTTGGCTTAACGTCGTTGATCTTTGGATGTTGTATTTACAGTTGTTGGGGTATCAATTTTGAGATTTTTCTTTTTTTGGTTTAAGAGAGTAAGAAAAACAAATTCGTGATTGCCTTCTTTTTTTTTTGAATTCCCCACACTTCAGATTTGGCAAATTTCTACCCAAAGTGGAAGAAAAATAATGAAGAAGATAAACTAATGAAAGAACGTCATCACAAAGTGGTATGAATTCTTATTTTATAATTTTAGTTTGTTTTCGGGGTTGAATAAAAAAATAGAAAATCAACATGACTGTGACTTTGTCTGATTTCAGGTGTTGGAGGCGTGTCGTAGACGTGACAATAAATTAAATACAGAATAAAAGTTTGTGTTTTGCCCAAATTAAAGAGGGAAAAGCAAAGTCTGTATACGTGTTTAGTTTTTGTTTGGTTCTGCCATGGATGCTGTGAACTAAATTGATCTATGGGTTGCATTTTTTAGTGGCAGCTTTTTCCTTTTTACATCTTTTTTTTTTTTTTTTTGACTTCCATCAGCAAATAAAAGGATCTTGTTTCTTTGTGGGGTAAGCAATCTTACCATTCTGTGGAGTAAATTTTATTGATGGCCATGTCTTTTCATTAGTTTTGCTTACCATCTTGATTTAGATTGTACTTCAAACATGACCGAAGCATAGATTTTGTTGGTTAATGAACTACTCACTCCGTCACTCGGGTCCTCTATAAATATCACAGTTTTGGTTATTTTTGACCTTTGCATGCTTTTCTCTCGTCTTTTGACTAGCTTACCGTCAAAATAGCACTTGAGTTTCATAAAGAATACCACCGTTGATGCTTCATGGTGAGAATGTTTTCTTTAAGCCATGTGCTAGTTCTCAAGTTCCTCCTATGTTCTCTTAAACAATGGCAAACTTCGGCAAAAAAAAGCCCTCAGATTTCTCTATTTATTCAAATAGATTCAGGTTTTTCATTTTGGATATGCAAGGGAGAAATCTAAACGGATGATTGTTTTTCCTATTTTGATTCTGATATTGAATTTTGTGTATATTAGTGGATATATGTCGTTATGGGGTTGAAAAGGGTGTTTTCATTCCCGGGTGCTACATAATTTGGAAAATTTGCTTGCATGCATGCATTTGTTGTCTGTGAAGCTAACAAAACGTCGTACTAGACCATCAGCCACCTGAAGTCAAAGCAAAGAAAGAGTTTGAGTTACCAAATCTCTTTAGTAGAAGCAGAGATTCAATATCTTCGTCATCTTATTCATTGTATTTTCCATTGATAGGCAAAGAGATATCATCATCTTCCTTCATCATATATAGCTTTTGGTTTTTCTTTAGAGATATCTTGGCCTTTCTTGTTCCAAGCCTGCCGACGATGTGTTGCTCTCGGCGGAATGCAGCCAGTTTTAACGTACATTGGAATATCAAATTAGGAAAGCTATAGAGCTATATATGTAACTTTTACCATGTCTTGTTTGTTTGCAAACACTAGAATGACATTGTTGAATGGGTCTTTTATGATCGCCTTAAGAAATCAATAAGCAGAGGTTATAGAAACACATCAGAGACTAATTTTACCCAAAGTTTTGTGCAATTTCTCAAAGGTACCTGAAATTCTTGCTTAAAAAAATGACTCTTTTAATTTTTAAACATTATATAAAAAGGAAATTACCGAAAAAAGGAAACAAGCAAAACGAAAATACTCAGACCTTCAAAAAAGAGGAAATTTTGGTGATAGATTTCCCTTTTGTGATACTCTTAAAAAAAAAGGAAATTTCGATGATCGATTTCCTTTTTTCTTGCTTATATAAACACTGACACATTCTCTTCTTCTTTATTGAGAAGTCAAAATTCACTGTTCATCTATTTCTTCTTCTCCAAGAAACGAAAACCAAAAATCTGTCCATCTTTCATCTATGATCGGCGCCGTGAGTTCGAGTCCATCATCTCCCACAGTCTTGACCCGATCGAGGATGATTTCAGAACCTAATTTCATAGGAAGAGATCGGAGGCAGTGAAAGCGAGGAGCAGCTGATTAAGAAGGTTTTGACGATTAGACCATTCTCTCCATGGAGAGGAACAAATTGCGAGCCAAATTGAGATTCCGAGCTCGACCTTCTAACATGAGAAAGAAAGACGATTGCTCTTTGTGAAAAAAATCCAGTCAACGAATACGCAGCGACCTTGATGAGACGTTGTATGATTCGGAGAAGGGTGGTTCTGGAGATGTTGTGAAGAGCCTGAGCGAGAGACGATGAACTTCTGGAGATGAGAGTGAAGACAATGACCAACAAAAGTTCTCAGATTTTCCAAGCGGCAACTACACGGTGGGCTCACATCTGGTCTTGGGCTTTTATTTGTATGGGCCTTCTTTGCTACAACTTTCAACAAGGTACATTATCTTTTTTCATTCTTATTTTTATTTTCTTTAAAAATTATTTTAGGTAAAACTAAAACTAATTAATTTAAAACTTTCACCAAAACTTTTAAATAAATAAATCTTTTGAATTTTTTAAAATTTAGTTTAAGTGTTCAATTTTAAAAATGTCGAAAACTAACCGCGCCTAGGCATCATGTCCTTAGTTGGTCCGTAAGTTTTGGTGTTCGAAGTTCGGCAATGTTTTCACGTTATAGAGATTTAACACTTAAACTAATTTTTAAAAAATAATAAAGATTTTCACTAAAATTTTAAACAAATTTAACATTTAAAATTTTTTTAAAAAAACAATTAATGTTTTTAACGAAAACCATGTTAATTTTACTATTACTTTTTAAAATTTAGTTTAAGTGTTCAATTTTAAAAACGTCAAAAACTAACCGCGCCTAGGCATCCTGTCCTTAGTTGGTCCGTAAGTTTTGATGTTCGAAGTTCGGCAATGTTTTTCACGTAATATACATTTAACACTTAAACTTATTTTTAAAAAATAATAATGATTTTCACTAAAAAAATTAACACAAATTTAGCACTTAAACTTTAAAAAAATTAATGCTTTTAAAACCATGTTAATTTCATTATTATTTTTTAAAAATTAGTTTAAGTGTTAAATTTTAAACACGTCGAAAACTAACCGCGCTTAGGCATCATGTCCTTAGTTGGTCCGTAAGCTTTGTTGTTCGAAGTTCGGCATGTTTTCACGTAATATAGATTTAACACATAAACTCATTTTTAAAAATTAATTATGATTTTGACTAAAATTCAAACAAATTTAACACTTAAACTTTTAAGAAAATAGTTAATATTTTTAACCAAAAACATGTTAATTTCATTATTACTTTTTAAAAATGAGTTTAAGTGTTAAATTTTTAAAACGTCAAAAACTAACCGCGCCTAGGCATCATGTCTTTAGTTGGTCCGTAAGTTTTGGTGTTCGTAGTTCGGCATATTTTCACGTAATATAGATTTAACACTTAAAACTCATTTAAAAAAAATAATAATGATTTTGACTAAAATTTAAATCAAATTTAACACTTAAACTTTTAAGAAAATAATTAATAATTTTAACTAAAACCATGTTAATTTCACTATTACTTTAATTAAATTTAATTAAAAAATTTAGTTTAAGTGTTCAATTTTAAAAACATTGAAAACTAACCGCGCCTAGGCATCTTGTCCTTAGTTGGTCCGTAAGTTTTGATGTTCGAAGTTCGGCATGTTTTCTCGTAATATAGATTTAACACTTAAACTAGTTTTAAAAAAAGAATAATAATTTTAACTAAAATTCTTTTGATTACACTAAAATTTAAAATAATTTTAGCACTTAAACTTTAAGAAACTAAAATGCTTTTAAATAAAACCATGTTAATTTCACTAAAGTGCATAATGCACCGACTCTTCCAAACCAAATCCAAAATTTCAACTACGAAATCCTTGAGACCAAATCAACTCAAACCTAATTAAAGATATGATTAATAAACATAAATCTTTTTCTTGATCATATATCTTGAAACATTTACACATACAACATAATCTCTTGCTGACGTTTCCTCATCACCTATAGGGATAACATCATTCAGATTTTCCATTACATACAACCAGTTATGGTAAAGACATATAATGGGATTGGTTTATCCCGAACCAACAGACCTCGCTGTTTCAATCGCTGCAACCAGATCATCGTATTTCGCACCGGTCACTTCCTTGATGACCTTGTTGTCCTTCAATATCTTGAAAGTTGGAACCACTCTTATTCCTAGCTCCTTTGCCAATGGCTGCACCAACAAAAAGAGTCTCAAAGTTTTTAATGGCTTAGCAACAACAACAACAATACGGAGTAGCATATTGACTAAAGACTTCTCTTATGTTTTGGTTTGAGCCCATAAATTATCCTTAGCTGATGATATTATGGTTCAATTGATATTTGGTTTAGGAAAACCGCGTAACCAAATCGAGAGATAAAGAGCAGAACACAAACCCGGTTATCAGGTTTGCAGTCAAGCTTTAGAAACACAACGTCCTCGTACTTCTCTGATAAAGCTTTGTATTTAGGAGCAATCACTTTACATGGACCACACCTGCATATGGTAAAAGAGAACATCTTTTGTTAAAGGATTTAAAACATTCACTATGGAATCTAAATGAACCACATGTGCAGAAGAATCTCATTAAGAAGATTTGAAAGCCAATTAGCCAAGGAAACTTTGAACAGTCTCAAAGATCAAAACCATCAGAAAATAAACATTCATTAGGAATTCTTTTGAAGCAAGAGCAAAAAGACGCACCAATACCTCAGCTAATCATTTGTATAAGCCACTGAATCCGAACTATATATGTTTCAGAACTTGAAAATTCTACACACTATTGAGGAAGAACTAACACAAAAATCAGAAGGAAAAAAAAACAGGTATCCAATTGAAGAAGGTATAAACACAAGACATAAAATTCTTCCTTAGTTTCATGATTCCATCGTTTCTGCTCTATGATCAATCGAAAACCTAAGTATTCGACATCGCAACGCCATTGATTCATCGATTCGGCTCTATGATCAATCGCAACAATCAAATCAATTAAGTTCTAGCTATCTACAATCGGAGAGTTAGAAGCCTAGAGAGTCATAGAAGCAGAGAAGATAGATACCATTGAGTGTACATGTCAAGTACGACAATCTTTTCACCGGCGGCTTTAACGATGGGCCAGAACGTGTCCTTATCGACCTCCGTAACTTGACCAACACTAACATTCACGGTTTCTAAGCTACACCTAACCACAGATGAATCTCCTCTTTTCCCATTATCCAAAGAACAGACACCAATCTTCGTCGTCGCGACGCCGGAGTAAGGAATCCGGCACTGTTTCCTCGATGGACCAAATCCTCCGGTGGTCGGAGCTAAAGCCGTCGGAGAAGGAGAAAGACGGAGAGAGAGAGGCATTTTTTGGGGAATTCAACAGAGTGACGATGAAGCAAAATTTTCGAAAAGTTGAATGATCAGAGAGTGTGTGTGTGTGAGGTCTCAACGGACTGAGCAAATATTTATTTTTGTGTTATGGATTTTATAGCTGAAAAGACGGTATTATCCTCGAATGAACAAGGATATTCGGGGGTAGTTACGGTAATTATATGTTTTCGTGATAGATGAACGGGAGGTGCAGAATTCTTGAGGAATTAAGATTGATATTTATGTTTTTACTAAGAAATTACGCTTCGGTCCCTCAAAATGATGAAACAAACATGAATTCTTTTATTTTCTATAAATATAACTATTTTAGACTAAAATACAAAAATACCAACAACATGCATGATAGTTCAGTGATTAATAGTTCTGGTTTTAAGGAAAACTCTCATAGTGATCAAACAGTTTTAAATCCAACTATTTCTGACAACGGATGATTTTAACACTAATCATTCATCTAGAGTCGATTTCTTTTATAGAAAAAATCTACATTACACGGTAAAAACGAGCCTAATAATGTATCACAAAGCATATTCATGTGAAAAAATGAATTATACAAGTGAAAATAACGTACTGAACAATTGCCGCCAAAGTGTAAGCTAGCAGTTATTTCCGTTTTCTTCTTTAAGTGATTACAATCTCGAATCTTTTTTTTTTCTTCTTTACTTATTTTACTCATGGAATCTTATAATATACATAGTATTTTTTTAGCCGGTCTTAAAGTTAATTTCGAATGTTTGTTTAATTTTTAAATACTTTTTTATTGGGAAAGTAGCAATTTTTCTTCTTCTTCTTCTTGGCCTAAATCTTACTCCACCGCCAAACTATACTTTTCTTTCTTTTTCTTCTTTCTCTCCACTTTCTTTGGGTCTCTCAACTAATTTACTTAGGGATATCTCCGGTAATGGATCTCAGGCGGAGACAGAGGTTCTTGTTGGCGATTTTACTGTCGGCGGCGTTGCTGATTGAGCTGCAGTTATCGACGGCGGCGACGGCTCCGGAGAATTTGGTATTTCAAGTTCGAAGCAAGTTCGCCGGAAAAAGAGAAAAAGATCTTGGAGCTCTCAGAGCTCACGACGTTCACCGTCACTCAAGACTCCTCTCCGCCATCGATCTTCCTCTCGGCGGCGATAGCCAGCCTGAGTCTATTGGGTTCGAATCGCCATTAACCAGAACCTGTAATTTGGGATTTTTTTTTAACAAAAAGTCGGAATTTTTGTCTTCTATGAATGTGGAATCTGAAGAAAAAACAAACCTTTTAGCTTTTGAATCTATTAAGATTCTCAACTCTTCGATTGGTTCTTGACTCATTGTTCTTAGACTAAGAAATGATCGTCTTCTTGTGTCTGCTATGTTAAAATGTTGATTCTTGTTCTTTGTGTTTGTAATTTCAGTTTATACTTCGCTAAAATTGGACTCGGAACTCCATCAAGAGACTTTCATGTCCAAGTTGATACAGGAAGTGATATCTTGTGGGTGAATTGTGCTGGTTGCATTAGATGTCCTAGGAAGAGTGATCTGGTATATACCATCAATTTTATCCCTCCAAAGAGAACAGAACTTTAAGTTACATTATGTTTTAGTTTCATAGTTTCATTATCTTTCAGGTAGAGCTGACACCTTATGATGCCGATGCTTCGTCCACTGCAAAATCTGTTTCGTGCAGTGACAACTTTTGCTCTTACGTTAACCAAAGATCTGAGTGTCACTCAGGTTCTACATGTCAATATGTTATTCTGTATGGAGATGGGAGCTCAACTAATGGATACTTGGTGCGAGATGTTGTACATTTGGATTTAGTTACTGGAAATCGTCAAACCGGTTCCACTAACGGAACTATTATCTTCGGGTTAGTTTAAGGAAAAACAGCTTTATTCTTCTATGAATCCATAGCTTGTGGCTTGCAAATCTCTAAAGCATTGTGCCAATTTCAATCAATATATGTGGGTCTTATACAGATGTGGGTCTAAACAGTCTGGTCAGCTCGGAGAATCCCAAGCTGCGGTTGATGGGATAATGGGATTTGGACAATCGAATTCATCGTTTATATCGCAGCTAGCTTCACAAGGAAAGGTCAAAAGGTCTTTTGCACATTGTTTGGATAATAACAATGGAGGCGGTATATTCGCCATTGGAGAGGTCGTGTCACCGAAAGTAAAGACTACTCCTATGCTCTCTAAATCGTAAGTGAATGCCTTCTCTTAAAGCTCTTCTATTTCGGTTCCTTGTCAAAAAGTTTTGAATTTCTTACACTGGTTTGTAACTATTTTACAGAGCTCACTATAGTGTCAACCTTAATGCAATTGAAGTTGGTAATTCAGTTCTAAAACTTTCTTCGGATGCGTTTGATTCGGGAGATGACAAAGGAGTTATTATTGATAGTGGTACAACTCTGGTGTATCTTCCTGATGCTGTTTATAACCCGTTAATGAATCAGGTCAATACCATTTCTGTTACTTGTGAATTTCTTTCTGTCTTCGTCTATAAAGTTCTTAACACTTTGTTTTTTTTACCCTTGGGGTTTGTCAGATTTTGGCTTCACATCAGGAGCTTAATTTGCATACAGTTCAAGATTCGTTTACTTGTTTCCATTATATAGACAAGTAAGAATCTAACTCATCGCTTTGTCATTCTCGGTGTTTAGTGTTCACGAGAATGTTTGAAATGGTACTGTCGTTTGCTGGAAATGTACTAGTTTTTGCTCTTGGAATTGAAATGGAGTTGGATTTAGCTGAATCTGATGGAATGCACCTAGTATACGATGTTTAATGTTTTGACCCGCTGAAACTTTCTGTCAAATTCACAGATTAGATCGGTTCCCAACTGTCACTTTTCAGTTCGACAAGTCTGTTTCATTGGCGGTTTATCCTCGGGAATATCTATTCCAAGTTCGAGTAAGTCTTGTTCCTGTTCTGAGTTCGTGTTCTTGTTTCCTTGTTCTGACATAAAAACTGATTATAGGAAGACACATGGTGTTTTGGCTGGCAAAACGGTGGATTGCAGACTAAAGGAGGAGCATCATTAACAATTCTTGGAGGTACATATCTCTTTTAAAAATGACTTTCATCCTGATATTGCTGAAAATTTTGAGTCTTGATTTGTTACGCTGCGCAGACATGGCCCTCTCTAACAAGTTAGTTGTCTACGATATCGAAAACCAAGTCATTGGATGGACCAATCACAACTGTAAGCATTACAAATCCTATCTTTGTCTTCATTGCCACAACTTCTATGAGATTTGAAGCATTAGGTGTTTTGACTGTAATGAAATTCTGAATCACACAGGCTCAGGAGGAATACAAGTCAAGGATGAAGAAACTGGAGCAATCTACACTGTTGGTGCACACAACCTCTCATGGTCGTCTTCTTTAGCTATTACAAAACTTCTTACACTTGTTTCTTTCTTAATTCCTTTCTTCTGTAACATTGCTTTATAGTTCAGATAAAACCCTTTTGGGACAAAGTTTATTCCTACTGTTGTTACCATTAAAGGATCTGATTCCCATTTGTTGAATTTTTTTTGCCACTTTCATGATTGAGAAAGAGAGGGATTGAGACAAATTCTGTACTTGGAATTGGAGCTTTTTGAAAAGACAAAAACAGGAAATTTTCCCAACAGACTGACAAAATTAAGCCTGAGGGGAATCACAGAATTACAGACACAAGCCATTATTACATCATGTGATGTTTTCACTCTTCTTTACTGACAAGACCAAAAAACAGCATAAACATCAACAAGAGAGAAAGACAATAAAAGACAAAACTGACAAAAATTTAGGTTCCAAAACCAATGAATTATGACTCAAAAAAAGAATAGAGATCAATGTAAGAAAGTTGAAAAGGAAAAACAAAAGAACAAAAAGACACAGTACCTTGTCTTGGGTGATTTATTTTGATATCATTTATCACCGCTCAACTTCTTCCACTTCAACTCTTCTTTCTCTTTTCACTTTCCAGGCACAAATCTTGGTAAGTTTAAAAGTGTATTAACTCTTGCAACACCTTCTAGTGCAGAATACTCTGTTCCAGGTTCTGAATCCAAGTTATCCGCTTCTTTTATCAGCTTCTCAGCTTCACTTTCATCAAGAGCAATCTCTTTCCCCGTCGTGACAGTACTCGAACGGCCTAGACCGCTTGGTCCTGATGCATCATCATCCTCAGACGCGGCTTTTAGTTCTTCTTCTTCTTCATCTTCCAGTTTGGAGATGGAAGAAGCTGTAGATATGGCGTTTGTGTTGTTGGAGTCTAGATACAAGCAAACAGCGGCACAGTCATCGACTTTGGAAGTCGGGTATTTGTATCTCCAAGCTCTAACTGCAGACTCGACTAAAGCTCTAGCTGCAGAGGAGCGCGATGGAGCTGAAGCTACAATCGCCACTACATCTTCATTTGAGAGAACATCCCAAATCTATCACACAAACAACATTAGAAATGTGAGCAAAAATTACAATACAAAAGATATGTGTCTAAGAGAGAGAGAAATTACCCCATCTGTAGCCAACACTATAAACTCATCTTTTTCGGTTAATCGACGGAAAGATACATCAGGCACAGAGATTAGGCCAAAATCTTTAAGGCAAAAGTCTCCAAAAGCACGTGCCATAGCAAGTCCAGGTGAGTCACAATTTGGCAGCCAAACTCTACAAACTTCAGGTTCATCTCTAAGTGCAAACACCCGTCCTCGACACTTTCTTATTCTCTCTGCCTCAGCTGCAAGTTCAATTGAGGGAATAAAAAAAACCAATAAACATGATTAATGGATCCATCATACATCCACAGGACAACATCATACATTCACATAAGGAAACATCATCCAACCTGGGAGATTTGGCTTAAGATCCACAGTTAGTTGAACAGCGACAAGAGCATTTTCACTGTCTCTTGTACCCATTACAGCTCTAGAGTCCCCAACATTTCCAACAACGAGATACTGACCCTGCAATATTGCAGAGGATACATAATAAAGATTTTTGAAACAGTGAATAAGGCTTAAACTTTAAACATACCAAACCGAGACAATACCTGCTTGATCAAGGTTACAGCTGTTGTCCCACTGCAGAAACAGTCAACACTTCCATGGAATTTAAGTTCTCTATCCATAACTTTAAAAGCCTTAAGAAACGACTCTTTCAGCGTTTGAAACAATTCCGGTTGGGATTCTGTGTTCTCCTCCTCCATGTCAGCAGATGTCCTAGGTTCTTCTTCAGCAGATACAAAAGCAGCAGCAGCAGCATCTTCAGGGTTGTTAATGTTGGTTGCATTATTAACGGTGTCGGTGGTGATTGGCTTTAGAACACCTTCAACTGGTACTTTTGCTTCCCAATAAGCACTTAATTTGAGAGGAAGATTGTCTCTGACCCTCTTTGCAACCATATGACCATATGGACCATGTCCATCAAACACTCCACAGAAGATTGTATCAGTCCTCGAACCAAAATTCTGAGCACGAAAACAGGAAACCATCAGAATGATTTGCATAGATCAGTATTAAAACCAAGATAGTCTGGTGATTCTACATGGGAGTACAAAGGTGAAGTCTTTGATGTAAAAATCAAGATTCTAAATCATTTACTGGTTAGATCAAAGCAGTGAAGAAGAAACAATAGGACCTAAGATCCATAATTAGAAACAATAAAAAAGGGAAGACTTAAGGAACAAACCTCCCAAACAACCATGGCATCTTGATTAGGCCCTTTCTTGCCTTGTTGAGTGAAGATACAAGCAACCTCAGTTGATCCATTCAAGAACATGCGCCCCGGAACCTGATTCAACGGTTCTTCTCTTCTGTAATCAAAGGAAGAGTTCCTAGAACCAGGTCGCTTCTTAGAGTTCTTCCTCTTCCTCACACTAAAAGCAGGAGAGCAAGGAGAGCCCGGTCTAGGGCTCCTGCTCTCTGCAGATAAACAGGACCCCATTCTAAGGGCCCTGATTATATTAAGAAGGCACTCCAGACCAACAATGGTACAATCACCCCCACGGTCCTCCAGCGAGAAAGATTGAACCTTTAGATCACAATTCTCCCCGCAAAGAGCAATGATGATTCAAACTATGCAAAAGAGATCTCTGTAAGAAAACAAAAACCCTATTCAGATCCCAATGATCACCACAAAGAGCAAACAAATGATGCTGATTCAGTCTGTAAGAAACAAACCTCAAATTTAGTTCCAGCTACTTTCTGCAAGAACCTTTTTTGATCAATCTAATTCTTCAACTACCAGTACATACATACATACATACATACATACACCCCCAGTGATTTTTAAACCCAAATCGTCAAAATTGAATGAACAAAAAAAAAAACAGAAATTTTAAAAAATCAAGCCTTTCAAAGCTGACCAAGGAAAAGGTAAAGGTGAGACTTCTGGGTCTGACCCTTTTCGAGTCTTCAAAAGAAAAAAAAAACGTTTTCTTCTAACAAATATTTTATTTGTACAGTAAAATTAAACCCAAAGAGTTTTATGAGAAAAAAAGGAACAGATCTACGTAGATTTTCTTTTTCCACCACACACAAGAAAAAAAAAAGAAAGAAGAGAAAGTGTTAAGTTTTATTTATACATCAAAAACAGTGATTGTGAAAGAGACTCAAAACACGAGAATCATGAGAACCCTTTCTTTCTCAGCAATCTCTTCTTCGTCTGCAACCAATCAAAAAAAGAATCACTGAGCAAAATAACTTTTTATATATCAAATTCCCAAATTCAAATTCGAGCTGATAAAGAGACTCACCAGGATCAAAAGGTAAGAGGATCTCAGAATCAGATTCAAATCGGGGGAAACAAGAGAAGAAGAGCTTGAGATTCTTCTGTTCGTGCGTAAATAGATTATAAACAAAAAAAGGAATTGGAAGATGAAAAAAAAAAGAGAAAGAAGAATTTAAACGAGAAAGAAACGCAACCACCAACTACAAACCCGTTCTTTCTTCTTCTTCGTCTTTCTACTTTTGTGTGTCTAGAGAGAGAAGAGAGAAGAGAGAGATAGAAACAGTAATGGAGATGGGTCACACTCTCTCTCTCTAATAATAATAATAAAAACTATATAATACAACCAAATATGTTATCAGATTTTTTTCTTTCTCATGAATCATTATTTTATTTTTATTAATAATTTAATATAAACGGTTTTTATGAATATTGTTTTTTTTTTTTTTTCAGGCTGGCAGAATTAACATGGGCTTGGATAAGACGTTTCTTACACATATATAATTTTCCGACATCCACTAGAATATAATATATAATAAGAAGAATTATTAAATTGTGAAAATAAAAAAATCCAATAACAGATCATTTATTTTACATCAAATCATATTAAGGTCACAATTAGTCAATCATCCCATGAGGGTGAGACTCTTTATCAGATTTAATCTATGATTTTAATTATGCTACTGATATAAAAAGAATAACTTAACCACTGTGAATTCTTCTAATTTTAGGTGAAAGAAACTTTTTTTTTTTTTTTTTTTTGAACACCAGGGTGAAAGAAACTACTGATTATTTTCTATTAATGATCAGAGGATGGTAAATCTACTTATTTTGTCCTATTGATCCTGTTTGATTTGTTTCCTAATCAAATTTAAGTATTTTTTACATCGAAAACGAGTAGACAATGGAAACGTGAGATGTGAATACAGAAGTGACCTTAGTTTACTTGAAGCCACCACATGTCGGCAGAGAGGTACAGAAACCAACACGTATCGTCTTTCTTCTTCTCATCTCATGCAAATGCAATCAGATAGATCTGCAGATCACATTTCTGTTTTTTTTGAGACAACCTTACCTGTCTGTTGTGTTTCATTTTCTCTTTTCGGTCTTCTTATATTCTTCCACCTCATTTCAATCAAAGAATCGTACTTCTTTTTTCTTATAACATCGCAGATTAGGTTATATAGGAACGACTATTTTGGTTGGGTCCCTTGATCAAAATCAGAATCGGGATAAGGATTTGTTTTGAAAGAAACGTAACTTTGATATTTGCGTTTACATTTACATATATAAGAAACAAATCAAACCGGGTCGGTTATCGACTAATGAATCACATCATCAATCAAGTACTCTCCTCTGAACAGATAAATACGGAAAACCTCATCAACATCAAAATCTCTAAGTTCTTATCATCATAAGTCATGCTTTTCCCATCAGATTTAAAACACCAATATCAAACATACGACACCAAAAAAAAAAAGAGAAAAAAAAAATGCAAAACACAGTATGATTCCTTTTTCTGGGCATCGAACCAGGGAGTGAGTGAGTGAGTGTGTGTGGAGTGTGTACCTTTCATCTCTTTTCAGCAACTCAGAGTAGTTTCAACAATTCTCCCACGAAACTATCTCTAGAACATGTTTGATCTTCTTTCTCTTCACTTCCCTTCTCGAGCTTCTTCAATGTCACAAAACCTCCACTAAGTTCCTTTTCTCCTACCATCACCATCCAAGGAATCCCTGATTCCTTTGCTCGATTGAAATGCTTTTCTTTCCTCTTGCTCACTAGATACTCTGCGTTGATCTTGGCATCCCATAACTTACTTACCAGTTCTGCTGCTTCCGCTAGTTTATTATCCACCATTATACTAACCAAAACCTGTGTCTCCGTTGGTCGAATCACCTAAATTCATAGCAAAAAACACAAAGTTCAAAATCCATTCTTATCAAACAAGGTCAACAAACAGCATAAGAGTTTAGCAAGTTACTTGTTTCTGTTTCTCGTTAAGTTCTTCCATTATATTAAACACTCTCTCGATTCCCAGGCTCATCCCAACCGCAGGGACTTGCTTTGTTCCAAACATTCCTATAAGGTTATCGTATCGCCCACCAGCACCAATTGATCCCACCTGCAGAAAGAAGAAATCAAAGGCCATACACTTTCTCTAATTGAATTGCAAGAAGCCAAGATGCGGGATTTTACCTCTGCTCCTATACAAACAGCTTCAAAGATGACACCGGTGTAGTAATCAAGACCTCTAGCTAGACTTAGATCAAAGACTATTCTGTGACTGCACTTTGATCTTTCAAGAGCTTCAAACATGATACTCAACTCATCAAGAGCTTCTTTTGATGACTGGTTATCTAAGAACTCACTCCCTTCTTGTCTCAGTTTAGACAATAGCTCTAAAGGAGCTCCCTTCTCCTTAACAAAGTTGCCAATTCTGTCTGCAATCTCTGAAGACAAGCCTTTCTCCTCCACCATTTCTTTCTTCACTTGCTCAAACGATTGCTTGTCTAACTTGTCGATACTCGAACAGATGGTTCTGAATTTCTCAGGTGGTACTCCACATATCTCCAGCATTCCATCAAGCAACTTGCGGTGATTCAGTTTCACCTATTTAAACAATCCAGAATTAAGAACATAGCCAAAGAGAAAACCAACCAGGAAAGATTAAGACTTTCAACTTAAGTTATTACCTCATAATCTCCAATCTCCAATTCGTCGAGGAGTTCAGTTAATATCTTGACAATTTCAAAATCGGGTCCCATTGGTTCGAACAAACCAGCGATATCAAAATCACACTGATAAAACTCTCTGTATCTCCCTTTAGATGGATTATCCCTTCTGTACACCTTTGCTATTTGGTATCTTTTGAATGATGTGATTCCATTCATAGCCACATACCGTGCAAATGGAACAGTTAAATCATATCGTAAAGAGCAAAGCTCTCCACCCTGCAATTAATATATCCACATGAGCACAAATTTGGACAACAAATCATCAAATAAACTGATGTTATTGCAGCAGCCAAGATGAGTTTTACCTGATCAGCAATATCATAAACCAATTTCGAGTCTTCTCCGTACTTTCCCATTAGGGTCTCTCTCAATTCAAAAACAGGAGTATCAAGTGCAGTTGCACCATGCCTCTTGAAAACGTTTTGTATGATTGAAAAGGCTTTTTCTCGGACTGCCATTTGTTCTTTAGCGAAATCTCGAGTTCCCTGTCATAGAATCAAACAAATCAGAAATTAACTTGGGGCCTAAACATTCTCCATATACGAGATTATAATTTACCTTTGGAAGCTTGGGAAGTCTCCTGTTTTCATTACTTTCTACAATCTCTTTCACTTTATCCAATAAGCTATCAAAACCGCGACCCTCCGGGTTGAAAAGATTTAAGATTTGCTTCAATGAACGCATCTGGTCACCATCACTTGCTGCCTCATTACTCACCAATCTATCTTTGATAAACTGGATAACTAAACTTGTCCCCTTCCCCACAACTGCTTTTTTCTCATTCTTCTTCTTTTTCTTATCGGTCTTCGACTCTTCTTTGTCCGCATCTCCGCTCTTCTGAACAAACAATTCTCCACCAGCAAGAGCAAAAAAGGCAGCAACTGCCTCCAAACCAACAATTCTCCATACAATTCCCAGAGACTCATTCAGTTCGTGAGCAAATCTGCAGTAATCCTCTTCCAAATGAGCAGTATAAGCTAACTTATAGCTATTCTTTAGATTCTCATACTCCACACGGCTCTTTTCGAACACTTCAGACAAACAACTCCTTAGATTCTCATTCACAATCTTCTCGAAACAAAGCTTAGCACGAAGGAACGAACACACACCCAAGTTTTTAATCGCCGTTAACAAAGGTAACAATGTTGTCCCTAAAGCCTCACCAATACCAGTGTTTCCAGACCCAGTTTTGCCTCCTTTAACACCGGAATTCAATTCTCTCCTAGCATCAGAATGCACACTTTTCACCACATACCTGAATTTCCCATGAATCCAAGGAATTTTCGAAATCTCTTCAATTTCTAATTTCCCCACACCTTTATACCCGTTAAGCAAAACCTTGAGATCACCAGCAACACCAATCACATCTTTATCACCATTCCCATCTCCTGAATCCAACAAGCTAAACGAAGCTATATCAGCCTTTGTAACCTCACAACTCAAAGCAGCAACAGAATCCACAATCTGGGAAAGAGTCGTCGATTTGTGATCTATAATAGAACAGAGTCCAATCAACGAAGCACAAGACTTCTCCAACACAATGTTTTCCCCTTCAGTCACATCAATCTCACCCAAATCCAAACTCTCAGCATTCGAATTCAGAATCTCTAAAATCTTAAGCGGAAGAACAGAACGAGCGGTGGAGGAAGAAGGAGGACCAGAAGTCGACAAAATAAGCTTGTTTAAGAGAACAGCCAAAGAAGCTCGAGTTTCTTCGTTCGTTAAACCTTGAGGGATACCAAAGGAGCTTCTTTTGATCGATGGAAGGTTTCTAGTGGAGAATCTCTCGACCGCAGAAGAGTCAATTCGTACATTAGCGACGCCGGAAGCAACCTTGTAAACGGAGGCAGAAGTGAAAGAAGAACCTTTCCCTCCGAGAGTGATGGACGATCTCTCCGCCGCCATTATTACACAGAGAGCTTAAGCCGGAGTGATTAGGGTTTTCTTGTTTAATCGGCGACGTTTACACCTTCTCTCTGTGACCTATTCCTCGTTGACTAACACAAAACAATCGTGGGTTGTGTTGGGCCACGATGGGCTTTACCACTACTTCTAACTACTACCATGTTGGGCTCTTTGCCTGTTAGGCCTTTCGGCTTTCTAAATTTTTATTTCTTATGCAATCAATAGCAAATGTTTTTTTTTTGTCAACTCCACAAACTCAAACAGATTCAAAAGTTCAATAATCATTCAAAGAAGCTAACTTTTACTCTGATAGGCTGATAGCCATTACAGAAAACACAAAGCACAAAAGTAGTAGCTTCAAGATTCAACATCACTTGTGTCCTTTAAACGGATAATTCAATTTGAGAAACAAGGATACCATCAGTATCTGCATAAAGCCATTCACCATCGCATATACGAGTGCCTGCTATGTTCAAAGGGACTCTTTGTTCACCAAGTCCTTTCTTACTAGCTTTTATTGGATGAGAAGCCAAAGCTCTCACTCCAATGTCGCAACCATTGATCTCATCAACGTCTCTGATGCAACCATTCACTATGATCCCTGCCCATCCATTGTTCTGCGCTTGTACTACCGGATTTCCTCCTAGTATCGCACAGCGTAAACTCCCTCCACCATCCACCACAAGAACTCTTCCATTGCCTGTTTTAACATTTAAAACATTAATCAGCGTTTGATGTGAAAGCTACAGAGAACAGATTGGTTTATTGACTCGGGTTTTTCAAAAGATCTATCTAGTCTCTAGTGTTCAAGAACTTGGTGTTTTGAAACATCCTGCACCCTCAGCATATCATCATCATCATCATTGTCATCACTAATAAAGAGTTCTTGAATCTTGATGTAAAGATACAGAGCCACTCTGGTTTATTCTAAATACAATGAACTAAAGCTATTTGACAAGTAAGTAGAGTAATAAACCAGAATTGAATCTAAACCATGTCAATGATCCTCTGGAAGCTCATATCTCTACAAGTAAAGTTTCAGTATTTATGAAATCTATTTTTGGCAAGAATTATTACAATACCTTTCTCTTCGAGGAAGTGACGGATTAAGCCATTGTCTTCAAATACTTTGACAGTAACTACTGGACCTGAAAATATTTGACGACGACCGTAAATCTGGAAAGCGGGTTGCAGAGCTCGGAGCTGGCCACTACGAATCATCTCTTGATTCGCGTCACAAACTTCCGCAGTGGTCACAAACGCCATATTTTGTTCTCACCTGAATCAAGAATTATGATCAAAACAAGTAATCTGGGAACTGATTATATGAGATTTGCAGAAAATCGCTCAAACACAGAAAGCAAAAGACAAATCGAGATTGTCTGGATAAAGTGATCATATATATATATTCACAGTCAATCGATCAAAACCCAGAAGGCAAAATACATACTTTTCATTCAATTCACAAGAACACTATTCAAAATCCATCTGGATATATAGAAGAGATTAGATCGATTCTTATTTAATTTACCTGAGATAGAAGAAACTCGGATGATAAAAAGAAGAGAAAACTCAAGTCTCTGAGAAATGAAGTGATGATTTAAAGGAGAACAAAGTCATCAACATACTTGTTTTGGTCGTTCAATAATAATAAAATTAATGACTTTTAACTTTACACATATAAATCTGATCGAAAGTGGTTGTCGTCAAGCTTCGAAAAAAGGAATCTATGCGTTGCCTTTTTTCAGGTTTCGACTCTGTTTCCTTGTTATCATTTTCCTCGACTGTTTATGCTTTATGTACATCTCATAAACTATGTAACATTAGAACTTAGAACATTGAAAAAAAATCATAAATTCAGATAAAATTGAAAACTTTATTGCCTGACGATGCTTGGAATCTTTAAAAGTCTCTCACATATCCCAATTATTATCATCACAAAGATAAAAATCATGAAGAGAAAGTTGATTTGAGAACTTAAAAAAAGATGTTCAGAGCTTGTGGATGGTTTTCATGTCTATAGCTTCACCCAAAGTTCCTTTCTCAACATGATCCCACCACTTCATCAAGAAGTTATCCACCACCAATCTGAACCATGGAGATAGTTTCAAACCTTCCTCACCTGCATCTGCTTTCTTCACCAGCTCCTTCAGCTCTTCCCGGCTCACATACTTGATATCAGCTACTTCGTCCGGGTTTGGTTGAACCTTCACATCCCGCACGATGAAGAGCAAGTAATCAACTGCAAAAGGAAGGCCAACACAGAAGAAGCTTAGCTGTTTTGTGATTGTATTCAAGAAAATGGGAAACAAGAGTCTTGAGAAACGGTGTTACGTTCGTGCTCTCCCCATTTCCCATCAGAAGGAGCCTTGTATAGCATACGTCCCAAGGCAGTGAACTCATCGACTGGTACATCTTCAGCTACAATACCAAGCTCGTCGAGAAGCTTTCTTTGTGCAGCATTCCTCACACCTGATGAATATGATACAAACAGTGAGGTCACGAAGCTATAGTTTGCCACATAGATAGTAAGAAGTAGTGAATTGTTTGCCAGTAGATACCAACCTAGTGCATTTTCCTGGATAAGCTCTGATTCACGGTAAAGAGGATGGCTGCAACAAGTGTTTGTCCACACTAGAGGGAATGTAACCTTTGTGTTTGACCTTTGCTGTTCAAACGAGAAAGAAATCGGTAAGATGACATATGAGCCAGATTATTAAGGCCCACCAACCATCTAAGATCACAAGAGCATCCCATCATCATAGCAACACCCAACATGTGCAACAAAATCTCTAGAGTCAAGCTTATGATCTAACCCACCATATTTTTGAGCTTATTTCTCTCTACAAAAAGGTGATTCTAGATATGACACAATCATGCCTAGTCAGAAGCCTGTGATCCATTTGTATACAGCACTTGACTTATTTAGACTTCAAAACACTCATATGTAAAATACCTGGAGAAGCAACTCATACTTCGAGTTGAATAAAAATACACTAAAAGCCCTGTGAAGCAAATTCTTAGCTTCAATATTTTCCATCAGATGACCTGCAGATATGAAAAAGTATCAGTATTTTGAACGGGGGCATAGACTGAGATAAAACACCCCTCTCTATCATTTTAGTACGACTAATATGCCAAGGAAACTAAGCGGATAGTTAATTTTCTTCAACTATTTTCCAGCAGCAACATCTTATATTCGTCTGTTTCTAAGATTCGATAAGGCAGATTTTACTTTGTCATTAGAGAAAGTATCATTGTCTGGATAAGTGGGTACAACACTGCAAGGTAAAGTGCCCTATAATACGTCCACACGCTTAAAGAAGGATAATTTACAAGCTCTGTAGACACTGAAAATGTTACTAGCGACACCAGAAATAATATGTTCGACACTGCAAGGTCAAGGGCCCTAAGACATTTGATAGAAACTCAAAGGTGCCCGCTAGAGGGGTTAAGATCAACATTAAATCAAAACAGCCACGCAATGTCAAATCGTGATCCCACAACTGTAACTAAGTTCAGTGACTACAGTCATAGGAGAAAGGCAAAGAAGCACATGAATTTTACTGCAAAACACTAAGTGAGGACGAGACTCAAACCAAGTTCACTTACAATTATATTTGCTGTCATGCCCCACGACACGATCAGTTTCATCAACAAGAATGCATCTGCAATCAAGATTGAAAACGAAGAATTGAATCACTAAAATAAGGTGGAGATATAGTACAGATTCTTGTACTATGCATCAAGAAACCTAAAAAACTTAGAGGAAACACTTCCATCAAAGCAAAAAAATCAACCATTATCATCAGAAAATTGTCTAAAAGGAGATAAACAAAAATATATATCCAAAGAATCCATTTTTGGCCAAAACATAGCTAAACCTGACTATGACATCTTTCACAGAAGACACTAAAGCATTGACTTTTTTCCTTGATTCCAATTACCATAAAAGAAAAAAATGGAAGACCCCTAACAAGTACTAAATCCAAAACTCATTTCTTATTACATCAAAGTCGACAAATCAACAGGCCTAAGTTCCTAAACCATTGTTAATCGAAAAAACTCCAAATCCCATAACCTAGTTTAGTCAATTTTCCCAGCGACCCAACGATAAAGATAAACCAGGTTCGAGAACACGACTTCAAGATAAAGGTACAATTTTGGTAACACCCAAAAATTGGAATCAAAATAGAGGCTCAGAAATCAAAGAAAAGACTTACTCGTCTTCAAACATGAGACGTCTCTGAACAGCATCCATACCAGCATCTTTAGTATCTGTCATTGCGGTACCAGAGAAAGCACGAAAAGTCGGTAACTTTCTCGGTGAAATCGATGACAGAGGACGATGTGCAAATCGGAAAGAAGAAGAAGATGAAAGAGCGAGAGATCTGAGGCGAATCAATGGGAGATTAAATAAAGAAGAAGCAGACATTGGTGGTGGTGAGTCGCATGTGCTGATCACTGATGCGTCTCTACTTTCTGCGTTTTATTTTATTTAGGTCCACAATTCTTACCATGTACCTCTCCACACACTATAAAACCCCCAAAAGACAAAAGCAGATAAGATTATTTCCATTTTTAAAAATAAAATTAGTATATATACTCATATCGGCTCTCGCGTCTTAAATCAGAAGAGTGGAGCACAATTAGGGTTAGGGTTAGGGCTTCTCCCTTCCTGGCAAAATCATCCCTTTGAGCCGCCATTGAAGATGACTGGTAAGGCGAAGCCAAAGAAGCATACAGCGAAGGAGATTCAAGCGAAGATCGATGCTGCGTTGACTAATCGAGGCGGAGGAAAAGCTGGAATCGCTGATCGGACTGGAAAAGAGAAAGGAGGTCACGCTAAGTACGAGTGTCCTCATTGCAAAATTACGGCTCCGGATCTAAAGACGATGCAGATCCATCACGAATCCAAGCATCCTAAGATCATTTATGAGGAATCAAAGCTCGTGAATCTCCATGCTGTTTTAGCACCAGTAGCTGAATCGAAACCTAAACCTGGTATCAGGGGAAGCTTGAAGAAGTAACTCTATGTTTCAATTTTATCAAAATTTGTTATCTTTTGATTTTGAAGATTGTAATGTGCTACTTATTACCCCAAATCTATCATGGTGTTGCTGTTATTTGGTTTAGCTTTGTAGTTTCAATCTTACATAACATTTTAAGGGCAAGAATCTTACATAGCTTTGTAGTGATGTTAAATCAACAACCTCTGTATTTTTTTTCAGACAAGTTTTAGATCATCAAGATAAGCAAAGCAAGCATATGATTGTGTTGTTAGTTGAAATTCTGCAGAACACACTTAGTTTAGTGGTTTAGGTATTAGGATTAAGGAGCTTGAAGCTTGTTTGCCTATTGAAGCTGCAAACGCATCAATGTGCAGACATCTTCTTGTTTTAAATCAAATACTCTGTTTCTGTTCGGACATAAACAGCGGAAACCTTAGGTCAGGATGATTTGCAAAGCACGTCAATGCACGGGCATCTTGTTTTCTGATAATGACATGAAATTTTCTTAGCTATAACTATAAGATTGAGTAAATATCACTCTGATTTGCGTTCTTGGTCTTGAGTTTTTTTATCCGATACTTGGGTTGGGTGATGATTTCTAAGGTAGGTGAGTTTTTTATCCGATACGTGGGTAATGATTCTTAGGTGAGATTTGGTTCGGTTTTGGATTTTTTTCGGTTTAGTTCTGGTCAGAAATTTCACGTTATCTTAATTTTCTCGGTTTTGGTTATTCTTTGTCAATCATGTGTTACATAGACAATGTCAATTATAGTTGCACACTTATATTTATCTGTACCAATTAGATGATTCAATCACGGGGAGACTGAGAATGGAAATCAAAAGCTAGATATATAATATTAAAAATATATATTATTTTTTCTGTATTGTAAAGATGAGAGTAACCATGATAGATGAATAGAATGTGGCTCTTTTAGTTAAAGAATACTCTAATCAAATTGTATTTCTTTAATTATCTTTGAAAACATACTTTTCCTAACACATGTGCTAGATTAGTCAGAAACCTTGTCCTGCAGTGCACATGGTATAAATTAGAAGCTGACTCGATACTCTTAACCTCCTCTCTGTTTTCTCTGTTTTAATTATTGATTTCATATCCAAAGAAAGTATACTACCGAATTTTGATCTTTTAACATTCAGTTTGATTGGCTAGAGAAGTTTTTTGAACATAAATCAGGAATGATTTTTTAACTTCTTTTTTTTTAAAATTAAAATCGTACTGCAAGTTTTTGTAAATTTTGATCTAATATCTAGTAATTTGATTATTTAAGAACTCTTTATAAATGATTTAATTATTTAAGTATAAGAATCAAAAACTTGGTATTTTGCATAATGCTCCACTTATATTGGTTATTCGAAAGAGTCTTTGAAGTTGAACAACAAGATAGGAGTTGACCAATAAAATAAAAAATAAAGCAACATAGGCATTGAATGGTCATTTGAGTTAAAATGACCTCTCCAGCATCAGTTTGTAATGAAGAATAACCTTTCTATACATTTCTATTTCTAAAAAACGAAATAAAACTTCTGGTTACGGATTTTGGGATAACTAAAACTTATCCCACTTAAAGAATCATCCAGCCACCGATAAATCGAAACTCAAATTAGAACCCGAAACATATCCCACTTGGTTGCTCTCTTTTTAAACTTTAGCAGCCTGCGGTTTTGGTGTCTGGATAGTTTCTTCTTCATACGCCAACCTTCTCCTCTTGAAGCCATAACCGTGATACTGATATATGATGCTCAAGAGACACTGTCTCAAGCTCACTATATCAAATGTCTCTATAAAATTCAAGTCCCTTTGTCTCCACTTTAAACCCGCGTTCTTCTGATATTCCTCGAGCACCGATGATAAGCACCAGCTCTGAACCTTTCTTAAGCATCCGACTAGACAACCTGTCCTATGCTGCAAGTTAACCAAAAACACCAAATCATTAGTGTCCTGCAAATAACTCAGAACACAAGCCAAGTTTGTAAAAGACCACCAAAGAGAGTACTGCACATAACAAATAACACAAGACAATCTCCTTAAAAAACCCACCATGAGTGTCCTGTAATAAATAAAAACATAGGTTAAGTTCCTAGAAGAGGCAGAAGAAACTGTAAATTACCTTTCCGCGTTTGCAATGTATGAGAATTGGATGGTTTCTTACATCTACAGAGAAACAAAAGATCTACTTTAAGACTCATGAACTAGCTAACAAGAGACAACAGACATCAAAAGACATTATTGAGTATTGATTCCTTACCAACTAAGACTCTGAGAGCATCCAAAACTGTATCTTTTGGCATAAGAGTTGGAGGATCCTGCAGATCATAAATGATTCAATATAAGACATCAAGGGCAAGTGAAATTCTTCGACAACAAGCAACAAGAAAGATTGTTGATCAACAGAGGCCAATGAGTCAAAAAAGGAAAAACGCACCGTTTTGCCTTCGATTCCAAATTGGTAAAGCTTAATGTTGTTAGCCTCAAGAAACTGGAGATTCTCCTCTGGGTATGGTTCAGGACACAGATAACTGTTTTGGTGAATCAATTAATCCAATCAAAATCAATTATTAAAGAGTATAATTTAATAAACCCAGAAGATTAATAAAGGGCCTTACATGATGGCACGAAGATTTAGGGTTTTGAGGAAACTGAAATTCTCAGGTCGAGGAAACCCAGATCGGTAAATTCCATCTTCAACCATCGAGAAATTCGACGGCGGCGCTAAAACAACAGCTTCGTGATCATCAGTTTCCATAATCAAACACATCGAATTCAATAAACCCTCAACGAATCAAAAGAGAGAAACAGAGCAAGACCCAAGATTTGATTTGAGAAGCAAAAAAAGAAGGAGTTTTTATAGGAGGAGGAGAAGGGATGATCAAGTGGGGTTCATAAAGGAGACAACTTTGAAAAGCGGACTCGGATTTTGGTAGGATTCTTCCTTCCTTTGTTGATTTGCTTATAAAAACCTTAAATGGATTTTAGGGTGGACCTCACTTAAGGAATCTCCAAGATCCTGACACGTGTCGTTTCCTCTGCTTTTTATTTGACCTCAATCCTCATAGCTGACGATTCTTTACGAATCTAATTTAGGTCAATCCTCTAAACATTCTTTAATTGAGGTAAAATTAATATTCTTATAAAGTATAGTGGTCGAATCATGAAAGAAAAGTAAACTTAAGTGGTCTCATATTAAAAAATTTATTCCAAAGACTGAAAACTTTTGACAATTGTCGTTGACAAAAATGGAAAACACAAAGACTATCCTTAATTACAAAATAGGATAAGAAGTATTTATATTTATATGAACTTTTTCTATCAGTTTAAGTATCTTATTCAGTATATCCAAATTGAGAATCTAATACTTTCCTTTTCCTATGGATAATCTAATATTTTGTTCTTAGGCTATATGAGTCATATATAGCTAAGATTGATTTTTAAGATTCTTATCTAGGTAGGGTTGTATTATCTCACTTGTTTTTCTTTAAAATGCTAAACTATTCTTATTTTATCTGCTATTTAAAGAAAAACATAACATTTGTTTTCAAAGGATTACAAAAGCTGAGATAAGTTTTCTCAATCAGATCATCTGATTTATACAGCTTGTTTCTTTAATTATCTATCAATCCAAAACATCTTCATCATGCCATAAAGAGAGATGGTTATAATTTGTTAAGAAAAAACATCAATATGTATCTTATAGTAATACTCAGCAATTGAGAGTTTTTCCCAAAATGATTCAAACTCTTTTTGTGAGCTTCAATGGATGGATTAAAAATCTTGAAAAAGTCACTCTTTAATAGAATCAATCTCAACCTCTGATTTTATCCGATGCAAAGAGGCTCCATTGTCATCTCCTGAATCATCATCATTATCAAAGTAAACACTTTGATCATCATCAGTTTTTGAGCTATGAATGTGTTCAATATGAGTATGCTCTTGCTCTTCCTCTTCCTCTTCCTCCTCTTCTTTCTCTTTCTCCTCCTGGTCTCTGTCGCTATCATAGCGCGAAGAAGTACTTTCCTCATTTGATTTCTGGCTGCTTTTACTGCTTAGCCTCTCATCACTGACATCTATATCTTCCCAGCTATATCTATACTTTATCTTCAAGCTTTGCGCCTGGTTCTTCTCATCAATAGGCTTTGGTGGTGGACTATCTTGGTCTTTTTCATGTTCAGAGTTAGAATCAGACCCATCATCAGATTCCATTGAGCTATCTTCCTCTTCATGGTTCTTCTTATACTTCTTCTTACTCACACTCTCCTTTTCACTGTCCAAAGATGATTCTTCGCCTGATGATGTACTAGATTTGTCATCTTCCGTAGCTAGCTCAGGGGGAGGAGACACAAGATTTGAATCATGCCGGCTTAAGGCTATAGACATGCTCTTGTCCTTGAAGGATAAGATAGGAACTGCTGTGGGAATACCGTCTTCTGTAGGCATCGAAAGGAAGCTAAGCGCAACCATTACATCGCTTATCAGAGGACGAGCTGCTGCCTCCTCTTGCACACACATTGACGCTATTGCCACTGCTTGGTTTAATCCTCTCTCTGATAATTTATTCTTCAGAACTGGATCTGCCATATCCGGATACTTCTTAGGATCTCTAAATATCGGTTGTGCCTGCGATAGCAAGAATTATTCAGAAAGTAAACAACTTTATGATTTTAAAAAATAAAGAGCAATCTTCATGGTTTATTATTTACCCAAGAAACTAAGTTCTGTTCATCATTAGGCCTAGTAGTATCAAGAGCTCTTCGACCCGTGATGAGCTCAAGCAACACAACACCAAAGCTGTAGACATCTGACTTCAAAGTGAGATTTCCTCCTCGCGTATACTCAGGAGCAGAGTAACCATAAGTTCCCATTACTCGTGAAGATAGAGCCATCATCTTATCACCTGTTCCTGGTCCTAGCTTATGCAGACCAAAGTCAGAAAGCTTAGGAGAAAAGTCATCATCTAACATAATGTTTGAAGCTTTCAAATCTCTGTATATCACAGGTGGATTCGCTTTATCGTGCAAGTAATCAAGCCCTTGTGCTGCACCATACGCTATTTGCATCCTCGTTGTCCAATCCATCGGTTCACAGTCTGGTTTTGGTTCTGCCAAAAAAACATCCAAAATCTTAGCTTTTCATCTCTTGAAAAGTTAAAAATGTGTTGAATAAGAAATCTCTCAATATAATACCGTGAAGATGGTCTTGAAGTGAACCTCCAGAGATATAATCATAGACCAAAAGTCTTTGATCTCCATCTGCGCAGTACCCAATAAGCTTAACAAGATTCGGATGATCAAGTTGGCCTAAAGACAAAACCTCAGCTTGAAACTCTTTGTTCCCATGTAATCCATGCTTGTCTAGTTGCTTTACAGCCACCACCTACATTTTCCAAAACAAGACAAATTCTTCTGATTTTGAGGATGGCTCATTGAAGAGTACCTAACTTTTGTGATGCAATCATGAATGTATCCTTAATACCAAATTCTAAAGATTTAAGAAAGAACCTGGCCAGTAGATTTAAGGGTTCCTTTGTAAACTCTACCAAATCCACCTTCTCCTAGCAAACATTCTTGCCGGAAATTCTTTGTGGCCGTTGCTAATTCCCGGAAAGTGAATATCTTTAACGATGTTCCTTCTGATTGCTCTGTTTCCTCTGTTTCTTCTGTACGTCTCCTATCTTTAAAAACAAACAAAAAAAGTATCAAATTTTTCATTTTACTGATCGTAAACGAAGAAAACTAAGAAAGGGTCCAACGTTAGGACATACATACCAGGTGGTCTGGGTTCGTTGTTGTCGTTAGTTTCATTCGTAGATGAAGATTTCTTGTTCTTTGGCGAAGAGAAACACGGAAAACAGTGCATGATGATCAGAATCGATTTTAGTAATTAAAGGGTATTAGAAGCTAAAAACAGAGAAGAGAGAAGATTTTTTTGGTTTTGTTAAGGATTAAGCAATGGTCGGGTCCTTCAAGGTGATTGAAGGACCCACGTAAAAGGAGAAACACAAGAAGAAAAATGAAAGGAGAAAGAGAGGAAGAAGATGAAGTAGACAAATCCAAGCCACCGGAAATCGATGAAAAAGAGTGACTCCTCCGAGGAAAAAGGGACAAAAAAATGTTTAGATTTTTTTTAATAATCTCAATCTCTCAGAAACGCTTACCTTCTCCCAAAAGCATGGAGAACCATCCTTCTTCTTTCGAATTTCTGTAAAACCTAATTTTAAAAATCTGTAAATAAAATAGTTTACGCTCCCAAGTAACGTCTTGAAGTGGATTAATCTGTCCCACAACAGACTAATATTAAATTTTTGCGAGTTTTGATAGATCATCCCGTTTAAAAAAACGCTATTTCTGGACTAAAAAAAAAACTACTCTATTTGCAAATTTGACGACTCCATTCAGATTTTCTAACCTGGGACCCATTATTTGCAACTCTATGTCTTCTCTACGTTACTATTATGTTCTACTGGGCTTTAAAGCCTCAGTTACAATATGTTTGGTTCCAAAATATGTGTTTAATGGGCTTCTCTTTCTTCAGTTTTTTCTAATAAACCGGGTCGGATAGTACCCGACCCGGTTCGACCCATCTAATTTTCCCGCTAAAGAAAAAGTAAAAACCGCCAAAATAATTTTCGACGGTGAATGATAAGACCTAAGAGAGAGAGAGATTGAGATCGAAGGGTGAAATCTGAAATGGAATCAGCTCCGACGGGATGTTTCAAGTGTGGCCGTCCCGGTCACTGGTCTCGCGATTGTCCATCATCGGCTCCGGTCGCCGGCAACAACTCCGTTTCGTCTTCTTCCGGTCCATCTCAAATCCCTAATAATGAATTTCAGAGATCCTCCAATAAAAGTGGAAATCCTGCCGCCGGAACCTCAATAGCTCCTGTTCCTAAAGTGACGAAGACGAGAGTGCAAAGGCCTAAGCTAACTCCTGAATTGTTACTCTCTGAGGATGGTCTCGGTTATGTTCTTCGCTATTTCCCTAAATCCTTTAAGTATCGTGGCCGAGGCAAAGAGGCAAGTCTTTTTTCCCGCAGATTCGATTAATAGCGATTTTACATGCGTAGTGTGATGATTTGGATATATGAATCATTTTTATAGGTTAGCGATTTGGGGAATTTGATACGGCTGTACAGTGAGTGGTACTCTCATTTGCTACCTTACTATTCCTTTGATCACTTTGTGCATAAAGTGCAACAAGTCGCTTCTACTAAACGTGTGAAGGTACTACATAGCTCGATCCCCTTTTTCTGTTTTTGTAAAGCGTTCTTCCTTGTGGCGATTTTGAACCTATGAATCCGGATTTAAAGGGTGAAAAAAATCCTCCGATGATTGCATCAAGCAGTGGATAGTCAAGATTGCTGAAATCAGAATGTCTCCTTCTTTGATGTTCAATCATTTGTTGCTTTCAAGTTACAAGTTAGAGGATCTAAGTATGTGTTAGGCTGTTTTGTTATATGATCATTATGCTCATTAGCTCATACCTTAACATACTGAGGTTCTGCTAGTAACTAAAACCTAAATTTATTCACTTAATCGGTATATTAACTTTGCATTTATACTTGACACATTTGATATATATACTGATGGGTTATCCTTTTTAGAATTGTATAAACGAACTGCGAGAAAGGGTTGCCAGTGGAGTTGATCCAAACAAGTTATACGAAAAGCCAGAAGAAAATACTGGTCCTTATGATGATCAAGGTATGTCAAATATATCAGCTTTTTTTCCCTTGAATCTTCTTTAATATCTAAATGCTCTGCTTGATCTTGGAATTCGGTTGGCTGCATAAATCTGAGATATTGATACGAAAAGGAAAGGCTTCTTGTGTGGCTGCATTCCACTTAAGTTCAGTTTCTGTTACTCCATTACAATCATTGTAGGTAATGAAAATTCTTTTGCAGGTAACCTAGATATGGATCAGCCAAGTCATGATGAAGAGAACATACCACCGAAGACCGTTGATGCTAATACAAATGCTGATGCTTTTGAAGACAGTATGTTGAATGAGATATTTGAAAATGCTTCAAAGCTACCGAGCGATGAACAAAACATGGATAAAAGCAGTGAACTGACAGAAGAGCAAAGAGCACGTATGGAAGCTAATAGACTGAAGGCAATGGGGAAAGCTCAGAACATTTCCGAGGAACAGAGAGTACGTATGGAAGCTAATAGGCTAAAGGCTCTTGAAAGAGCCAAAGCAAGGCTCCAACCAAATCAAGATTAGACTAGAGATGTTCAACTTGGATTGAAATTTTTGGGCTTTGGGGATTTCAGTTATAGTTATCTAGTTGTAACCAATGTGTGTCCGAATCTAGAACATATGTAATGTCTGGTCGTGTGTTAGATTCGGTTGTGGATCCATCAAATCCAATAGTATTATGGACCATAATTTGTTCCAACTTCCAACCCAAGTTGATGATAAAGGCTCTTAATTGTTGGTAGACTTGTGTTTTCCAAACAATTTAATATAAAATAAAAGTAGTATAGTCATTTTTTTCTTAATATATTTAATGAAATAACCACATAGAAAAGGACAAAGATAATAAAAATTTCTGACGTGTTCTCTACCGTCCAATTTTGGTGGAGAAGATAAAATAAAAATTGTCGCACTCTAGTCTTTACGAAAATAGAAAAAGAAAAAAATCAGTAGGGGTAATATCGTCATCGTACATACAGAAACATTGAATTAATAAATTTTTCTCAAAATTTCTTGTTTGATTTGTGTGGAGGTGAGACGAGAACGCTTTTTTGCTTTTTCGTCTTTCTCTCTCTCTCTTTCTTCACTACCTCTCACCTCTCTGTTTACACGATTCTTCTTCTTCTTCTTAGATGTCTTCTTCCTCCATTGTCATTTACCTCTCTACACTTCATTTTCTTGTTGGAGGAAGATCGATTATCGGTGACTCATTCATAGTGATGACAGTATAATGTCTGATGCTTATTATCATCATCATCGGAGACATTCTTCCTCTTCACGTCTATGGATTTTAATGCTGGAGTTCCCATGTCTTCTCTTTCACCTTTGATGAATCAAGGTCTAATCAATTTTCTTCCTCTTTTTCTCTGTTTTGATCTGAAAATTTTGATTTTTTTTTTCTTGAACGGATTGGGTTTAATCTCAGTTTCTTCTTGTTTTTTTGGGTTGTGGGTTCTGATCAGATGCAATGTGGCAAATGAATTTGAGTTCAGATGAAACAATGGAAACTGGTTCCTACCCTGAACGACCAGGAGAGCCTGATTGTTCTTATTACATAAGAACTGGACTTTGTAGATTTGGCTCTACTTGTCGGTTCAATCATCCTCGTGATCGGGAACTGGTACGATATGGTTTTTTGTGTTCCTGTCTGTGCTTTTGGAGTTTAGAGATCTGTTTGGTCGGATTATAATGTCAAAGCTATTGCCTTTTGGAATTTCTTTTTTTGATATCTTCTCTCTCATTGTCCAAATTCTAGGTTATAGCCACTGCAAGGATGAGAGGAGAGTACCCTGAAAGGATTGGTCAGCCTGAATGCGAGGTAAAGAAGTTTTGGGTTTGTCCAATTGTAGATTAACATTTTTCCAAGGTTTGATAATTGAATCATTATCTTCTTACACAAACTAAACTTACATTGTGATGTTGTATGCTTGCGCAGTACTATTTGAAGACAGGAACCTGCAAGTTTGGAGTAACATGTAAGTTTCATCATCCTAGGAACAAAGCTGGGATTGCTGGAAGAGTCTCTCTCAATATGTTAGGCTATCCTCTGCGCTCGGTATGTTGACTTTTGACTTTATGTTTTCATTATTTCCCATTGTTTCATTCTCTTAGTGATTCTCTGAATGTCATATATGCAGAATGAAGTTGATTGTGCTTATTTTCTAAGAACCGGACATTGTAAATTTGGTGGTACTTGTAAATTCAACCACCCTCAGCCTCAACCAACCAACATGATGGTTCCTACTTCAGGCCAACAGTCTTATCCTTGGTCAAGAGCTTCTTTTATTGCCAGCCCTCGTTGGCAAGATCCGTCTAGCTATGCTTCCTTAATCATGCCTCAAGGAGTTGTCCCGGTTCAAGGATGGAACCCTTACAGTGTAAGTTTACTAAACAACATTGCTTATTCTCTTTTAGATTTTGTATGACTTGGTTTTGATTTCTGTCGAGTGTTTCTCTTTCTCGGGGTTTCCATTTCGTTAGGGTCAGCTCGGCTCAGTTTCTCCTTCAGGTACCGGAAATGATCACAACTACAGAAACATACAGCAGAACGAGACAATAGAGTCAGGCTCTCAGTCTCAAGGGTCATTCTCGGGTTTCAATCCGGGATCCTCTGTTCCGCTAGGAGGGTATTATGCATTGCCGAGGGAAAATGTGTTCCCGGAAAGACCAGGACAACCCGAATGCCAATTCTACATGAAGACAGGTGACTGCAAATTTGGCACAGTTTGCAAATTTCACCATCCTAGAGACAGACAAGCTCCTCCTCCTGATTGTCTCTTAAGCTCCATTGGCCTCCCTTTACGCCCGGTAAGCTCAAAGACTGAAACATATGAATCGTCCTTGGTTTTCTTCGATTAGAACTCGGCGGTTGTTTGATTTTTCTAACTGTTTTTCTCGATAGGGAGAACCGCTGTGTGTGTTCTATACTCGCTATGGAATCTGCAAATTTGGTCCAAGCTGTAAATTTGATCACCCTATGCGAGTATTCGCATACGAGAACACAGCTTCAGAGACAGATGAGGTAGTGGAAACATCAACAGGGCAATCCAGAAGACACTCTGTATCTGAAACAAGACAAGCAGCAACAACATCCTCTGGAAAAGACACTACCATTGATAATACACAGCAGTGAGGAAACAAAAAGAAGAAGAGCTTTTAAAAGAAAAAAAAGCTTTGATTTTTCAAAAGAGGAATCTGTAAATTCTCATTTTCATTTAGTCTCTCAAGCATTTATTAATAATGTATAGAGGTGATTTATACAACTGATCTTGATCTTGATCTGATGGCCATTGTTGTAATATTCTTTTGGCGAATCAGGTTGAATAAAATTGAAAGTAATTTCCCCTCAAATTTGAATTTGAGCATGTGCATAGGTTTGATAATTTCCGGTATGGACCAGTTGGGTTAAATTTTCTTTAGTAGTAGTATTATTTATTTTTAGTTGAAAGATGTTACTTTTTCAGTTCGACACAATTAGGATCAAACTCTACAGAAGAAACAGAAATTAATTGCGATTAGAATATTTTTAAATCCAATAAAATTAGGATTTTGGTGACGCCTCTTTTATTTTATTTGTTGTCTATCGCTGAAGAGAGAAACCATCTCAGGGTTTAGCAGGGTTTAGGTCTCTAAGGAGTGATGACTAATCGGTGACTGAAACCAGCCAGAGAGTATCGGATCCGTCGCGAGGTATTTGAAAGTAAAATCGGTTCAAAATTAGTCTTCTTTGGCGTTGATTGATATGGTGGGTTTCTGTTTTCGCTAGGGTTTTGAGATTTATGGCGTCTGCTAGTGTTCTTCCGCATTGATTTCTAGGGTGGATTTCTGTTTTCGATAGAGGGTTTTGGGATTTTGCGGAAGGATCTTCAAAAGGGTTTAGCTCTCAGTGATGGATATCATAAGTGAATTGCCCGATACACTGCTCTTGAAGATATTGTCTTTTCTGCCTGCGAGAGAAGTTGTGGCCACAATGGTTTTGTCCAAACGATGGCAACCGCTTTGGATGATGGTGCCTAAACTCAGATATGATGATGCTACCGATGCAAGTTTTCCTCGTTTTGTGGACAGGTCTTTGCTTTTGCATGAGGCCCCGGTTATAAAGACTTTGCTTTTCAAACTTGGTCAAAACTCTGGTGCTGTTGATATCGGAGTATGGACCAGAACTGCACTTAAACGCTGTGTGCGTAAGCTGATTATCAAGATGGACCCTTCTTATACTACAGCTCTAGTCACACTTCCAAGGATTTTGTACACGGGGTGTAGCATGCTTGTCAAATTGAATGTAGATAAAGTTGTTTTTGTGGATGTCACTTCTCCAATCTCCTTTCCATCTCTCAAGAAGTTGAGCCTGAAATATGTGATATACCCAGGTAACGAGTTTGTTCAGAGGCTTTTATCGGATTGTCCTGTTCTTGAAAGCTTGGTTGTGAAACCAATTCAAGGTGACAATGTGACCAGTTTCACCATAAAAGTCCCTTCTCTCAAGAGTTTAGTCTTGCGTAAATATGAAGCTTCAGATATTGCAGCTGGGTTTGTGATAGACGCTCCATCTTTAGAGAGCTTTCAAATTTATGATATAAATGAGGGTAGTTTTTGTGTTATTGAGAGTCAAATGCCTAATGTTGTAGAGGCAAATATTGAGGTCATGGCTTATGATCCTGCGAATATTCTGAGTGCTATTACTTCGGTCAAGCGCCTCACTATACGTGGTATAACATACTCAACGGTAATAACTACTTAACTTATATTACATGCATACTTGATTTTGTTTTCCGAATCAGTTATTGAAGAACGACTAAAGCAAATACGTGTGTTCTTGTGAGCAAATTGTTGGCACTAATCATATAATGAAGCAGAGTGGTTGACTCTACTTATGCGTGTTCTCAAAGATTCCCCTAATTTACGAGCTCTCAAACTTGTACAGGTGCATAAAATTCGTCCCAAATGATTCAGTTTCCTTGGATCAGTATATATATGTTGATCTAATGCACTGTACTTGTATCATGTCAACTTATAGCTTCATTATGAAGATGATGATGAAGATGATGATCGCCCGTGCTGGAGTGAACCGAGTTCAGTCCCTGAATGTGTAAAATGGAGTCTCGAAACTCTTGAATGGACGGGTTATGATGGAGCAGAAGAATTGAAAGAAGTAATAGCATTTATCTTAAGAAACGCAAACCGTCTAAAGAGGGCAACTATCCACAATAGTAGTGAATACCACATTAGTGAAAAATCAACCGACCCCAACAAGAAACTCGAGATGCTTAAGGAGTTGTCGTCGTTACCCAGGTGTTCACCTACCTGTCAGCTTGCATTCGACTAAAGGTTATGGTCTGGCCTTAGTAATGTCTGGTTGGAGAGTGTTTTATTTATGTTGGAAGCTTATACTCAGCTCTTTGAATTTCTTATCTTCTTGCTCTGTCTTAGTTTATTTATGTTCTTCAACAAACTGGGCGTTGTTATGTTGGTTTGGTTCTGGATTGTAATTTGGCTGGTTTAAAAAGTTCGGGTATGGCTAGACTGGTTCAGTCTTCACTGTAAAATCAAACCCAAATGTGTAAAGGAAGTAAATTAAAATTTTATTCTTCAACTCTTAGGCTTTTTAAAGGTTGGACCTACTGTAGAAATAAGTTGGGCTCTAAATAAAGCCCATATTCTATTAAGCATCGTTTTGCTTAGTTCCATCGGTTGCCCTAAACCTGTCTCTCCATGAGTACATATATAAACTGCGTTTTCTTTCTTCCGTTACTTCCATATCAGTTTTTAGGGTTTAGTGTCACAGTGACGATGAAATCTTTGTTTGTGTTGATGTTTTCTTGTATGATGAGGTCATCTAACAAAGCAAGATAGGTTTAAATTGGTACCAATTTTGTGTCGGAAGATGACAAGATTAGTTTATAGACCTCCGTGGCACTTTCTTCATGGAACTCTTCTCTTCCATGGAGTTGCTCTACGGAGGTCACATTTACACGTTTCTATATATTTTATCTCTGTCCGAATCATAACCATTTGATTCAATTTCTTGCTGTTGTCAACATTTTGTTTAGTTTTTAACACGCTAAGCTACTGTATTCTTGGTGTCTGAGATTCCAATTATGAAGTCATCCTTAAAGCAAATAGGTTATAATCTCTGTGCCAATTTTGTGTCGGAAGATGACGACATTGATTTTGCCTCTCCATTACAATTTTGCATCATGGAAATCTTCTCTTCCATGGAGTAGATCTTTGGAGAGGCACATTATTGTGCAGCTTATAAATGTGTTTGCGTCTGATCTTTTTTTTTAATGAGTTTCTGCTTTTATTATTGTGAGAACATTATTCGGAACAAGACAATCCATTGTCTATTGTTGATACAGAGCATTAACGGGGTTAAATGAAATGATTATTCAAAGAGGATCTTATTGAAGATAAGTTTGTAAATTGAAGTATACAAGTTAGACCTGTTATTATCTCTGATACATTGGTTTTGTAATATGGATTTAACGAGTAAGGTGAATAAATGAGTTTGAATGTCATAAAATATTTTCCTCAATGTGTAATTTCTTGATCCTCTCCCTTATTATTTTGTACTACTTAAATCTATTTTCTCATTGCTTTTTAACAATGTTATTAAGCTATGATGCGTTTAAAATGTTAATTTCGATCCAGGAAACTTCATCTCAGTCAGTGATTATGTAACATAAATTTTAGTTATGTTAAAATTCAGTCACAAGTAAAGATATATTTAACTTGGAACCCAATAAACCACAAGAAGAGGCCTTGTTTCATCAAAAAGCCCAAATCATTTAAGAACCAATTTTCTTGATTCATGTCGATAATTTGTGTTTTACAGAAGATTAGGTAATTTTCAGCATTCATATAGTTTGAGAATTCATGACTTTGATTTAACCAACTGGCTTGTATTTCTGCGTTAGATTTGGTGATAAACACAAATGGGCTGTAATGAATCCGGTTTTGGGTTTGACTTTTTTTTTTTTTTTTTTCTTAGAAATTAAAATAATTAAGTGAAAATAACTCTTTCTGGATCGTTTTAAACAAATATAATATTAAATTTTACATATTTTTTTGGTGAAATTCGTTTTTGACTTTTGTCAGTTATATTTGGTTTAATCGAATCAAATCGTCTGGTTTATCTACATACTCCTAACTTTTAAATCACGTATATAAATCTCTTATCAAAAAAAAATTTCACGTATATAAGTATACGCGTAAACATATTGAAGTATATTGGAGAAACAATGACGCGGGGAAAAGTAAACAAACACGGACCCGACGACGGATAAGCGACCCAGCCCGAGTCGCACCGTCTTGGTCTAAAAGTCTTCCCTACTCGTTTTATCATTTTCTTTAACTAAAACTAATTTAATCACTCTTAATTACTACTTTTATTAATTCAACTATGACTATTTCTTATTCACAGAATGAGAATTATACTCGAGTCCAGTCCAAATGTTCCCATTCTTGTAATCTATACTACATATAATATTATACGTCATGGTCATATATGTCTCCTTATATATCGTATAAATAATCAAAGATGTAACATGATCGCGAACTAATTTCTAATCATTGTTGATATATACTTAAATTTATAGTATTTAATAACTTTTTAGTACTTTTTACAAGTTATTTAATTAAACATATAGTATACTGTATACAGTTGATCAAGGTGAAAAACGCGTAATCTATATGTTTATGTAATATTATATAGTTCTTGATATGATCTTCTATGTTATTTCTAAGCTTTCTAGACATAAACAATATTTGAATGAAAAACTCTAAATTTAATTAACCGCCAGAAAATAAAAAGTCATAATCCGTAGATTTCAACGGTCAACATTCCAATTCAGTTCACAAACCTAAATCAAACGTTCCATTTCTTACCTTTTTCTCTTTCAAGCTTATACAACCTTTGACCATGTCTCACTTTAGTAATAAGTACAAAACCACCTTACAATACATTAAGGAACATATATTTATACAAATCCCATAAACCCATTTCATTCTTCATCGAATACTCGAAAAATATTTGAATTTTCTTAGGAAACCAAACCAAATAACAAAAAGGAAAACGAAATAATGGTGTTACCTTGGAGATCAAGAGGAGGAGTAGCAAAGAGACGTAATCAATTGATTGCCGGCGATATCTCCGTCGTGGAAACCAAGATTCCGGTTCAACTCCGATCATCAAGGATGGAGCGGATTCAGTCACCGCGGGTGCTGTTGGCGCCGCGTGATGCCGTTGAGATAAGTCGGAGATTGGAAAATGCTACGGCGCGTGAGGAATATGCCGAGTGTTTCGAGATTGTAACCAAAATCAAGAACTTGGGAAGAGAAGG